TATAATGATTTCGTAGTTGAAACAATAATTATTCTTTCTTACATGATCCAATTTTCAAAATAAAAAGATAATCGCCACCCTCGAATAACCACCACATTTAAGGCATGAAAAATCTAAGAAGCGCTATGGTGCTCATTCGAGTAAATACGGTTAACTTGAACAAGGAAGGTTAAGCTTATCCATAAGCCGGGTCATATTATGGTTCTGGCTTATCCTATCCACCAGTTTGTGCAAGTTTGACTCAAACTTTGACCATTGAAATACGAGATTTTCCATCTATACCCGCTAGTCGTTAGCCACCCACACCAAGAGGAAAAGCTATTATTCAAATGGTAAGAAAAATGTAGAAACATTCGGCCAGAAACCATGGTAAAATCCGAAAACCTAATTTTAAGAACCTTGGGATCAAAATATCAGGAGACTAATCAATCTATTAAGGAGAAAGAAAAGCAATCTATGCCCTGGGAACTCAAGAATATAATCGAGGTCCTGGATGAGGGGAAGAACAGTATTTTGCATCATTCATCATTTTTTACATCATTCTGTCAGCAGTTAACAAAATCCATTAGGGATCTATTGAAGGGATTTTCTCACACTAGTATACTGTTTTTCGTTCTTGGCTTGAGTTGAAGACTTCACTGGGCTCGTTGTCGCCAATAATTTCCTCCACAGCAACCATCCTGAGGAATGACCACACAAGCAAAAGTAAGGGCTGCGCAGTCATACGGGAAAATAACGTAAACATTTACTGCAGCACGGGTAAATAGGTAAGCAGGCGGGATACAAAAATATCATTTATTAGTACGGATTTTTGAACTCTTCAATTAGAAATGAGTACGCTGGTTTAGCCCTTTGACTTGCATTTTGTGAGTTATGTTACATCATTCTCATTTTCAATTTTCACTCAAAATTTCTCTCCAGAGTTAATTCTCTGTGTATCATGGTTCTACATTGCTACCCGCCACAACATTATACAACATGATAGTTTCATCATATAAAAAGCTACAAAACTATGACAACACTTTATTCTGTTTTTAAAACAACAATATTACAAACATTGACAAACCGCATTCTTGAAACAGTATAAACACAGCAAGCGCTTTTTGGGCGTTGCAATTATTGGGTACCATGCATAAACAAAACTGGTTCCACGTATGAACGCCTTTTTGTCAAATATGCCTAAAAGGGTATTGAGACCTTTTCAGTATAATTTTGCTCTACTGATTGCAGTGTACCAGAAAACATTATATGGTGAAGGACACATGTAGTATACATTCCTCCTTACTCAAATTCTTTTTTGACCCATTCTCTACTAGTATCTGCTACATGAACTTTGCATTGCATTCCAAATCTGAACCAACATGATTATTTGATACAGTAAATCCACTTTTAATTAATATTTATCTAATGAACATTATTGAAGCAAAGAAGGCTAGTTTGTTTGCTGTCAATGTATGTTTCAGGTAAGCAATCACAGTATTCGTACCATCCAATGAGGTGTGGGGGGGAAGGGGGGAGCGGGGGTAGGGGTTTTACCACTTGAAATACATGAAAGGGTGGGAAAATCTGTCGTGGCATTCTGGGAAAGGTTTCGTGATTTACTCATATTTAAAAGACAGTGCATTTACAACAGTTAAAAGGGATGCAGCGTTCTACACAAGAAGGTGAAAGGGGTACCATTTGTCAATAAAAGGTGTGCGAATGGGGTCCCTTTTCTGTCCAAAATGGTTTATAAAAGGGTAAGGGGTTGGACCTCGGGTGGAGCCTCCCGGTATAGAAATTTGTTTAGTATCCTCCTTCCCCAGCATCCAACAAACCCACCCCAACGAAACATCTTGGGAATTACACACTTGCATGTTCACTGGCAGGAATCCCATGTGCGGGTGGCAAAAACCAAACAAATGGGTCCAATTGTTTAAACATTAGATAGAGCTACGAGAAAAATCACTATCCAGTGGATAAAAGTTAGGAAAACCGATTGTCTTATCTGGTGGGTAGTGATTTATCCAGTGTACAGCTTTATCCAACTTATGAACAACTGGCGGCAGGCATTTATGTAGTAGCCAACCCAGGAAGAACAACACCACACACACACACACACACACACACACACACACACACACACACACACACACACACACACACTGTCAGTAGCACAAGTCAGTCTGGAACTCTCTCTCTAAGACAGATACTGTTGGCCAGCAGGTACTTAGTGTCCACCCTAGAGTGCAGACTGTCCGCCTTACCAAAGGCTACCTTATTGGTACTTAATTTCGCGGTTTTGACGAGACAGTTTTTCGCGGTATTTTATATTCACAATTTTAACAGACAAATATGAAAAAAGGGCATAAAAATTCTTGATTAAAACGTTTTCAACTTCATTTTAGTATTTTAGTCTTTTTTTAAACTGAAGATACAAATCGGAGCATACCAGTGCCAGTTAGCAATTTGTGTTTGTTCATACATATCCTGTGTATGTTGTTGCAAGCTAATTCTATTTTGAATTTTCTATACGGGGATTAAATTTCGCGAGGATTTATTTTCGCGGGTCTTTAATTATGCGATTTTTCCACAACTACGAAAAACGCGAAATTAAGCACCAACAAGGTATGAATCAAACATGGCAGAGACCAACTCTAGAAAGAGACTGAAAGGCAGCGACAGCAGCAGCTGACTGTAGGTGTCTGTTTCCCTCAGCTGGGCCAAAACAATGTTATAATAGTAAGGTGGTTAGGGTTAGAAAAAGAAAATTAACAAGCCAAGCAAAGAAACACCACACAGTCATGCAATAAGGTAATCAATCAGAACTACATGCACATTGAAATTACAATACTTGAATTTAATAACTATTTTATCTTAGTTACAATTTTATTACTAATATTTTAAAATAACAAGCACTTTACCTTTCTCCATATATTGAAAGCTTACAGTAATTTTAGTCCTAGAATATTGAGAAGTATATCAAATACTTGTACTATTCATTTTATTTTCAATAAATATTTAATTTTATCATGAACAAGAAAAGTGAAACCACCATTAGCGAAAAATCTTATAGTAAAGGACAAAGTTCTTACAGTTTGTTGAAAGTCTTCAAGTCTATAACCATCACGCTGGACTTTAAGATCCTCATACTCATTACACTAATTTTAAAGTGGCAAACAATTTTACCACTTGCTATTAGGATATGAACATGGAACAAATCTACCCTCTCAACATTAATAGTCTAACCTATCAACCAGTTATTATCCAAGTGTTTTTAACCAATGAAATGTTCAATTTCCGCATGCTCAAAAATTATCATGAAAAAAAAAATTAACAAGTTTAATGAAGAATGTAAGAATTTCCCCTGGATATTTTAAGTAATTCCTTTAATTTTTCACCATTGTTGATCTTGAATGATTTTCTAATATATTTTAATTTATTTTAATACAGATTGACAGACGGAATTTAAACACTAGGCTTCTAAAACCCCATTATTAAGAAAGAAGCCAGTGTCCTTAGACTCAAAATGCCATCTCTAATCAGGTCCATTAAGGCATCTAATTTACAGATGCCAGTGTCTGGATATTATCAAAAATTATCCAAGTCGATACATTTTATGAAATTTTTTGCTATTAATGAAATTCCTGAAGACTTCCAAAGATGAGTCAAACTTTTCAAGAAAGATATGGCAAGGTTTGGATTACAGAATAAAATACCTTTTAGTTTGCTCAATTGTTGACTTGAAAGTTTTAAGAGTAATAATTATCTTGAACAGTGTCACAGAATACATACAGATGGGTACTCTTATGCATTAGTAAGCAAGAAAACTAAGCAAATCTTTAAATAACTAAAATCATACTTTGTACAATTTAGAACTTTCCTTTATTTAGTATGTTCATTAACTAATAATATTTGGCTGAGCCTGAAAAGTTGTATCAGAATTTTTTATCACTAATAGTTAAATACTCCATAAATTACTGTCTTGTTACGCTGTTTGATGTCTTGGTAAAAGAATACCTTTGAAGCTGTCTAATGTTATACAAGGAACCAAGCAACATTGCTTAAACTCAGCTAGGAAACTAATAAATACAACAAAATAATAATTTAAGATGACTGAAAAATATATTACATCCCTACATGTCGAAATGCAGCAAAATAAACTACTTGAATGTTTGCTGTTTTTCTTTCAAAAAAGGTAGATCATAAATTACTATGGGGGTAAATAAGATTTTTAGCACTCTTTTAAATAAATTTGCTTTGCCGAAAACTTTTAAAATTAGAAAGCTCTGTACAAGAAATGAAACAATAATTGTAGAATAATTGGTAGAATACAAGTTGTCACAGTTTAGCAAATCCAAAAGGACTTAAATATGACAAAAGTCTAGAAGATTTAAGAAGTTTGTCGCACTGTAACTACAGATATCCATTTAATTAATATCAGGCAAAGTAATAGACTGTTTTGCGAAATTTGCCATGTAACAGGCAGGCAGGCCGGCAGGCAAATATACAACAGTCACATTCTGAAAATTTGGAAGGAAAGTGTGATTTTCATTTTTTAAGGTGACGTCACTATTGCCAAGTTTTCTATTGCAGTTTTGTTTCTTGAAAGGTATGTGTTCATTTGTAGCCTACAATAAGAAATGTCTCAATCAAACTAAAGCATCCTTATGATGTACAGCCAGGACAAAGAATCGATGAAGTACCTATCTAAAATTGTCTGGGTAAACTATGGACCAGGACACAACAATAAATTACCATGACCATAGAACCACTGAATTCAAGTACAGTTTATAAACAATTTGTTATTGATTGGCTGTGTCTAAGAATGGCTACAGAGCATGAAAAAAAAAACCTACATGGACATCAAAGTTGATTTGGTTGGTCCACAAACACAATAATTTATTAGTTATGAACTTTATAGACTGTTATAAAATTGAATGAAAATGGCTAACAAAGTAAATTCCAGATTGCCATATACAATGACGGTTATTAATTTAACAAGCCCAGAGGTAGTCTGGATGCACATTAACAAGAAATCATTTAGAGGAACTTAATTTTTGACCATAAATTATTAGTATGATGAGCTGTCAAATACAACAATTATGAATCATTAGTCATCAGTCAAGCCATGCTCAATGCAGGTTAACAGGATCATATTTTCCTCCTCACATTGCCATGCTAAGATTAAGCCAAACAATAATCATGGTTCAGAATAATTCTTACTAACTACATCAATGACTAAATATCACTTCATTTCTTGCACCTTAAGGCAGAATGGAAGCAAGCCCTTCTTTGATTTGCCTCCACGTAGACGCAGATCCAGCCACTTTTGACTGTTGGGAATGGTCTTGTCATTCAGGACATCAATGTCATATGCATCAATATCCACACCAGATAATGATGACAACACAGAACTGCTACTCATTGTACTGACATTTGACTCAAGTTCTGGATCATCAGAGCTGTTTGAAGATTGTTTCTTTTTCCTTGGCTGCAGCATTAATAACCTGATAGCACCATCCAAATGCCGGAAAACATCTAAGTTCAAGAGGTGTGACTGGATCTCAGATGAGAGGTTACTTGAGTCAGAGGCTATCCAAACTTTGACATAACCAAAATCTAGGCTTAGCTGCTGGGCACCATAAAAGCTGTTGAGATTTTAAAAAAACACCAAACTAAGATGTGCAATATTGAAAGAGCTAGGAAAGTGAGTTAGAGCTAAGAACATCAAGTGTTTACTTTAAAAATGAATGCATTAAGGTCATTCCTCTGAAATAGAACCTGCATTGAGATTTTTGTCAAACGTTGTGTACTACTTTTTTGGGTTGTACAAACTTAAATTATTTTGGAATAAAATCTCAGGTATCCATACTCGTTTAGGAGCAGGAACAACTTGTATTTACACCAGTGATTCATTAAAACACCCAGTCAAGTCAAGGTCGATGAACAAAACATAAACTGCAAAGTAAAAGACTTAGTTTTCCTCATTCTTGCATCTGGCCATTAGATTAGAAGAGCAAAAGTATCAACCATCAAATGCTTCAAACTTTTTAAAGCATCTAGACAATAAGGACTTCACCAACTAAAAAATCGAACATTTGTTTTTGACCCATGCGGGTATTGCTTTGATTAAACTCAAAGAAATAAAAGAAAAAGAAAGAGAGAAAGCCTTCACTGACTATACTTCACCATAATTATTAAAATCACTATACACCACCATGTAGCTCTATTAAAATGGTGCCTTTCTGGGGTGATCACAACGCCAGAGCCAGCTCAGATTGGAATCCTTTCAATTTTGCGAACAGCATCAACTACCCTTTTATATGGGATAACTATTGCTTGAGAGTTTTTTATTTCACTGCCTCTTCTCCTATTTAGCTTTTCAGTCATAACACAAAATGGGTCCCAGATTAGTGTTAATGACACTTCTGTAATTGGCAGCAAACAAAATCTAATGTACAAATGTACATGATGTTGTAGTTTTTAAAGGAATGTTCATGAATTAAAACAGAATGCATATTGCTGTCTATGTTAAAAGCAGGCAAAATAAAATTAATAATTCAAATAGATGAAACGAAAGGCAACCCATCTCTAAGTCACCTGAAAACAATCTCCTGCTTGAGTATCCAATCACTCCATGACTCCATCATGTTATTCACAGTAAGAGTCAGCACATTCAGTCTACCATCCAGTGGAAATCCTTCTGTGCTTTCCACAACTGGTTCCAAAATCTGACGAATGGCATACTCTACATATGTGCTACGCTGATATGGAACACCTATAATGTTTAACAAAATAAGTTTGACTATAATGGTTTCAATAGGCGAATGTTCTTTCACAGTTCTTGCTCCATATTACACACTTATTAGCTTATTCTCTGATCAAGCTATTAAAATAACAACTTTGGATTATTTAAAGAGTATAACCGTACTAGTCAGAGTCTATGCAAAGTCCAGACATATTCTGAATACACATGATTGATAAACCAATTAATTGTACACTGAAGCAAACTGAAGAACACTTTACAGAGAAATTCACATTAAAGAATTTAGTGTACCTGAATGTCGGCTCTTTTTCCAGCTCTTTCCAACGGGCATGGCCTCTTGAAAGAACCCACTTGACATCTTTGTCAAATTGTTCGAGAACAGCATCCAAAACTTTTTTACCAGTCTCTGAAAGATGATAAAACCATCTTAAGTTTCGGCAGATGATGTAGGAAAAAGGGGGGCTTCCAGCTCGTGTTCCTCTTGTAACAAACGTAGCTGGTCATGCAGGGTACTACCTCAGAGCCATTATACACCTTACACGGTAAGCAAAATGGTAGCCTGCAAATACAGCAGTCTCTCAGTGCTCCTCACAGCTACAGGGAAAGACTCTCACTCTCACAGGACAGACGTCTGCAATTTAGCCCCAACAATTCCATATTGATCTTGCAGATTTGTCTGGAATCTGGCCAATGAGTACCAATTGGTTAACGTAGTAATAAACATATTTTGCTATTGTTTTCAAATGAAAGATAAAAGGACCCAAAGATCTCATATAAATGTAATGAGTCTGTTAAAAAACAATCATCAACAGTGCTTGACTTTCAGAAAAAAAATCTTGGGGCCAGCTGGCCCCCAAGTTTTCATTTTTTGTCGCCAGAACAAGTATTCTGGTCGCCAAAAATTATATTACTGGATTTAGTTTTGTGAAGGATAACAGATTATCGTTAGTGTACGTTTTCCCATAGAAGAAAGTTACCTATCTTGGGGGCCAGGCTGGCGACCAGGCATGAAAATTTGGTCGCCACTAAGTAAAAGCTGGTCGCATTGGCGACCCCACGGGTCGCAACGTCGAGCGCTGATCAATTGTGGATTATATAACACTAGCTGTTGACACTGGTAAATAATAAGCATTTAATTTTATTTTAGTCATTAACACCAACACACAAACCTCCAACTTGCTTTTCTGCTCTTGTAAACGATGATAGTGCAAGGACAGGGAATTCCAGTTATTGTTGTGATCATGAACAACACACAATAATTGAATGAAGCTAAAAGTCTTCTTGAATGACTCTAAAATAATCGGCAGGTCCCATTGCACAAGCAACAAAAACTGTTCCAAATACCAAGAGGTCAAAAACTGGTGCATCTTTGTGTCAAGCCAGTTCAAAGTGAAAGATAGCAGGGCATGCAGGCGACAAAGGCTTGGTGTAAGTGTTAGTGCTAATACTCTTGGAACTCTGCTGGACAAAGGATCTGGCTGGTTGGAAGAACGTTTCCAATAACTTGTCATTTCTAAAATACTGTCCAGGGGATCAAGAAGCCTGATCATGGCACACACTGTCCGTGTGGCTGGAACTCCATCTGTAAGCTGGTCACAAACCATACGGCATCTGTCAGTCCCTGCTGTCACAAGAAGACTGCAAAAAGCTGAAGACAAAATTATGGAGTTCATTAAGTTTACACAATTTAGTTCACACTTAAGGGCAGGCTAAACTAGGAAAATGACCTGACTTTGCATCCAAAAATAAAAATCTGTGTCCACACTCTGTTTTCCGCACAAAGTTAAGCTGGGAACATTGTATGTCCCCAACAATGTTTTATACTTCAGCCAGGTACTACTGATGGCAAATCATCAGAATGCACAAATGACTCTCCAGCAAAAAGTGGCTAGTGTCTCTTAGAAAATAATAATTATTTAGTTCGAGTTCACTCAAAATAAGCAAGCATTAATTAGTGTGATGGTTCATATCACCTTATGGTTATGGGATAACTTAAGGGGGTCAGGATTCATACAAAAATTGCAACCATTTTCAAGGACTTTTCAAGGACCACCTATTAGGAATATAATATCACAGATTGTACAAAAATGCACATCCCCAGTCTATTATAATAAAGCGTTTAAGCTTTAACTGTTTGCTTCACCAACCTCTCTATATTTTTCAGTTCACTTGTCTTAAATTGTTAGTTAATTATTGCATAAAACATTGAGTATTTTGGGTAAACTTAATAACCGTTAAATTCTCTGAGTTATGATTCATATTCTGTCTTGGACAACCAAAAAGCAAAGAACACTTTCCAAGCCACTACATTCAAAGTTGAAGAAAATTCAAGGACTTTTCAAGACTGTGTGAACCCTGTGTGTGTCTCATGTGCAAGTGATGTAGTGTGTTCTGGTTAAACAACAGATTCCCTAAAACCCTATATCAACCTTCAATGTGAATTTCCAATTCTTCAACTGAAGAACGTGATATTGAAACCAATAAATAAATGAACTCAATATTAAAAATAATCAATTTGAACTTTTATTACTAATATAAATACTTGACAGGGTTTTACTGTAAAGCACTGAACAAAAAAACTGTTAGGCAGGGTAAGGATTATCATCCAGAATAATTTCAAATAATCTAATGGAGAGCCACATATTCTACAATAACCAGTTGGGCTTATTTGCTTTGGCTTCAGACCTCCTTTGGCTGGCTTTTTTTCAACACTCTGTGTTGACATTCTTCAACAAACACACAACTTTGGCTGCCATTCTGTTGCATTTTTTATATTTAACTAAGTGTTGTAAAGTAACTCTTTAACGCTTAAAAGCCAATTACATGAGAATATTAATATCTTCAAATGTTACCAAACATTATACCAACTATGTGTATTCTCACTGGCTACAGTAGTAACAGCAGTTAATTTTGGAAATCGGCGCAACCTAAAGATGATTGGTTATGTGCTGGCGCCAGGTGCATGATCTCCAAGAGCAATGACAAAGTTTGTTCCATGAGACAGTGTGTTTGTCATTATTTTCTCCATGACCGTGTATAATAAAACAACAATTACATGACGCATTTCTGTTATCCAGAATAATCAAGGTCTGGGTAAGTGCTATCAGCCTTAGTCTTCACCTATGGCTCGTAACACTTACCCTGACCTTGGACCAATATAATCGGTGAGGCAGAAAACATTGCAGTTACTATTAGTAGTATTTTCACATAACTCTTTGTTACCTGAATCCCAGTTTGATGCTGAGGCCAGACAGTGAATGTAACAGCTGACAGCTTGTAGAGAACTTGCGCCAGCAGGTGGCAAATAGCCTGTAAACAAAAATTTACTTTTTAATACGCTTTGCAACAATAATGTTTTTAAATAGATTTCTTTAGCTTGTTAATATTCTGCTGTGCCAGTGTAGGTTATGTGATGCTTTCAAGTGAATTGGCTCTTGTCTTAATTAATTTTTTTATAAATTATGCATAGATAAGCACATAAATATGATGAAAATTGAAAGAAACAGTTCCCAAACTAATACGGCATGCATCACATCATGAACTGTATTTGGAAATGAAACATATATCAAGCTAAATTACAGAGCTCTAATATCACCAGTAGTTGCAGAGGCCTAGAGTACCGGTCATAAGGCGTTTTGAGCCCAACCACTGCGGCAGTTACTTCAATGAGTAATAAATTTATGTCTTGTTAAAAAGCTGTTATGTAATAATTTGTATTGTTACAAGAAATTTTCCCACGTAGGATTGTTTGGTTATGACACAAAAGCATAATTTTTCACCATTACTGTATAACAGCAATTTTACTGTCACACCAGTAAAATGTAGTTAATGGAACGTGACGCTAGTTATCAGTAACCCATTCATGGCGGTTCTTTTTCAACAAAGCAATTGTGTGGTCAGGTTGTCAAGGTCAGCGAGCTCTAAGATGCATTGTATTCTAGCGTAGAAACTTTATGGCCTTGTTGTCTTAACCAGGCTAGTACGAGCCCCAGCATTGGCCAATATTCTCAAAGCACTATTCATGGCTAAGAGTTTGCACATGCAACGCTGAGCTGTCTTGTAGTACAGCCTCTTCTACTGGCTATGCCAACAGACATTTGTCTACCTATAAAAGCCTAGAAAAACTGTTCAGAGTTCACTTGGGTTCCAGTGTTCAGCAAGGTTTAAGTGCTCAGTATACTATTCTTGTAAAATTTTTCCCTCCCTCCCTTTGGAGACAAGGTTTGGGCTTTGTTTTGTGCTATGCCATCAAATAAACTAGAGACACTCCTCGCAGTGCGGTTCAGTATGCGCAGAGACTTCCCCCAAGCTTGTTGGCTGCATTGCCGTTTAATATCGCCTGGAAACCGATACTCTTGTCCGATCCAGCAGAAGCTGTATTGTATTCAGCTCGTAATGCTGGGGAGATGAATGAGGTTCTTTGGTCACGCCATTGCCGGAAGTCACGCAGGCTAACCTAGCGCAAGGCAGTGCTCCCCAATTATCGCCAACTTGTCATTATCTGTTTTATAATTAAGTCACTTCACTTTTAACATGCATCATAACGGAGCAGAGACATTAACTGTCTTGTTTTATGTGGTTAAATGTAATTTAAGCTAACTTAAATGCAAAACAATGCTGGTCAGCAACCTTCCCCTGTTGTGGTTATGCAGAGTGGTTGGTGGAGGGTGTTGCAGGGGCTTGGGTAGTTTTACAGCTTGGCTGTTGAGATCAACTCATGCTCTTTGCCTGTTTCATTGTGTGCCCAGCGACTTCACTCCCTGCCCTCCCTCCCTCTCTGTGGTAAGCATGAGGTAAGTATCATTGTTCCACTGTTTTTTCAGTGTGACAGTGCCTGGTGGTTGCCGCTCACAGGGTTGTCATGGTTACCCCACACGCTCGGCTCTTGTGCTTGTCGTTCCAGCATCTTCCCAGTCACCTTCCCTAAGCTCATCTATTGTTGATGAATTTAATAAAAGGATAAACAAACATTTAAAAGAAGGAGACCCTTTTTTTATTGGATGTTACTGAACAAGGCCGTGTACATACAAAGACTTTTACCTCAGCATCTCAAAAGGAGTTAGACAGGTTAAGCATTCTCACTACGTTTATTTTTTTCTAACTTTAAATGTTATGGATATACAAGTACTTTGTGAATATGTACATATTCTTAACTATTTACTATTAATTATTTGAGTAATCATGAATCTTTGTAAAATTCCACATCAGCCTAGTGCCGCCTTTTATTTCTGACCTTTCCAAATATTAATGAACAGATGTTTGTATGCGCATATGAGATCATAAACTGAAAATGGCAACCAGTGGTGCCCTTCTATGCTGATGTTGAGCTTACAGTGCTGAAAAAATTTTCAGTTGTCTTCTAATCTGCAACATTACATAACATTACCATGTATATTTAAGTTAACATGATGTTGTTATATAATTATAACATGCCTTGGTCACTCGCTACCAACACTTAACTGCTAAACTTACATGGGTTGGATATACTAGATAAATTCATTACATTTGCTCTGCCATAACTGAGATCGTGAGCCAAATGAGGAGAGTGGAAGGTCTTTCAAATGCCAATTAGCTAAGCAAGTCAAATACACCATTTCTGTTTTTAGTCAAAACCTGCATGCACTTTCACAAAATTAAGGATCAAGTCCAACCAAAGATTAAAACAACCTGTTTTTAAAAGGATCAGCAAGGTCAAACTTTTAGCCATTACATTGTTAAAATACTGTCTGTTAAAAAAACCTTCAGAATCTATTATTTAAAAGAAAAACCTTATAAATGGATAACTTTCTTCACAGTGTCCTAGTTTGAGTGTTTCCACTCTGTCCATGATAATTTTTTACTTCCATGATAAACTTATTTAAATTATGTACCTGAAATATCTGGCTTCCTGGCCTTTTTTAAATTTTTAGTTATTCAGCAAGTCAGTACCCTTTTATTTAATTAATTATTTTAATCTAATATCTTGTGAAATAATTTTAATATCTTGCTTTGGGTACAATGAGTTGTTGTTGTTGTTGTTTACTGGAGACCTTTAGATTCTAAGACGAGTACAACTACGAAATCAATCGAGTACAAGATTTTCTCAATACTAGGTAGTGCATTTGCATGAACCAGCGTCATTTTGGTGATTGTGATTCTACTATGAGTTTCAACTTCAACTTCAACTTTATTTAAATTTGGAAATATATTACAAAAATACATTGGGACTGGCCTGCAGTTAGCAAGGCTATTTGAGACAGGCCAGGCTACATAATTTACTACAAACTCAATAAATACAAAGAAATTAAACGTTACACAAGTATATATATTTTACAGTAGATACATAATATTTTACTCAAATACAAGGAAAATACTGGAGTGAATTTTAAAAATAAGATAATATGAAAATAAAGGACAAGAGAATTGCTTCTTCATTTTCACTTAAATCATATCTACATCAATATAGGAGTCTTCAGTTTAAAGGATATCGAGAAGTGTTGCTTTTACTGATCTTTTAAAAGCTTTTTTCAGTCTTTCTTTAAGAATTTGAGGTATCCCATTCCAAATTCTGACCCCAACATGCGAGAAAGCATCTGTTTGACATTGAGTCAAGATTCTTTAGTATAAAAATGTTCAGAGGTCGAGGCACGTGTATTGTAAGTATGAACACCAGAAATTCGAGAGAAGAGTTACAAAATATTATCCGGAGCAGTGTTTTTACGTACATCACACATAGGACTACAAACGGATTCATAATATAGAGACTGTAAAGGTAGAATTTTAGCACTGACTGACAAAAAAAGGTATTGCGTGGTCGTTTGTTTCAACAAAATATATCAAACGCAGTGCGTGATTTGAAGGACAAGAATTTGGTCAAGGAAAGTTTTACATGTTGCCCCAAGAGATAAGACAGTAAGTTAGATAAGGTGTAATTAGTGACTGACAATTAGTTAGGAGGGTGCAAGTGGGAAAAATATGTCTTAATCTCGCAATTAGCCCAATTATTGTTTCACTAATATTTTGTTTGCAACAGAGTGAATATGGGTCTTCCATGATAGATTTTCATCGATTAACAGTCCAAGATATTTAATAAAGTTTTTAAATTCAAGATCTGTGGGGTATGCCACAATTGATATTTAGTTTACTAGATATATGAGAGTCAATTCTCAGCAGTTTGTGTACAATTTGATAAATAAGAGGAAAACCATTGATTGACAATTCCACGGAAGCCATAATAATTTAGTTTATCAAGTAATACATTATGATTCAGAGTGTCAAAGGCTGTTTTTAAGTTAATAACAACTCCACGTGAAAAGAGTTTTTTGTCCATATTGGTTTAGCAAGAATGTTGTGGTGGAAACAAGTTATCAAATGTTAGAGATTTTATCGATAATTTTTGCGACCAGGAGAGCGCTTAACTTCCTTCAATTTTTTTTTTTTTTTTTAATTTTTATTGTTTTTACAAACATAATGCTGACTTACTTACATAGTACTTACTTACTTACATAAAGCTTTAATACCCACTTACATATAACTTGCTAAGTTAAATACTACATACTTACATAATATAAACTTACAAGATAATGCTTACAAAACAGGAGCCAATGAGTTGGAGACTGTTACAAAATAATGAAAAAAGAATTCTAATACAACTAATTACTAACTTACTATCTATTAACGAAGAGTATATACGTAAAAAACGACAAAAAAATAGATAAATAAATAAATAAATAACAAACAAACAAACAAAACAAAAAAGCCAAAAAACAAGGGAAATTAGCCAGAATCAAGAAAATTATTTTTACAGCTTGACTTGCACCTTTGCTTTGCTAGTTTCAATTTGTATTTTATTTTTAAGGATAGACAAAAAAGCGTCGAAAAAATAATCTTCCTCATTTTTAGACGCGGTGTAAATATAGTATTTTGCAATTATCAAGCAGAGGTTTAAACCAAGACACTGAGGCACGGTGTCTGTAATGCCATAAAGTGTTTGTGCTTCAGAAAGCGAGATCTCAATGTTGTTTTTTTCGCGCCACCAAACTGAAAAATGTGTCCAAAACAGCTGAGCATTGGGGCAAGTCACAAATAGGTGTGTGATTGTTTGCTTTTCAGCGCATAAATGACAGCGGTCATGTTCCTTAATTCAATTTATATAATGTAGCGTTGGTGGGTAAGATGTGGTGTAAGATCTTGAACTGAAACATTGAGAGTTGTATGTCTTTCGTAGCACTGAAAGGCATCTTGTAAATTTGAGAAATTTGCTGTTCGTTTAAACTAGCTTTTCTCAGTCTTTTTTTTTTTTGCGGTGGCAGGAACAAATTTTCTTTCAACAAAAAGTTGGTAGCAAGTTTAGAAGAAAGCTTCTCAACGGGAATTCTATCCATACTTATGGATTTATTCGAAGGCGGTTGTAATTTACCTTTCATTATTTTAATCCAGTTAGGAGGAATTGCTTTGCATAAACCGTAGTAGGTAAGAAAATTAGTTTTAAGACCAAAATAAGAGCAGAAGTCTTGGTGAGATAGAAAGGTATTGCCGTTGAAGAGATCTCCAATTTTTTCAACACCCGCTACATGCCATGCTTTATAGTATACTGAATAATTGTTGATCCTAATAAAGCGGTTGTTCCATAAGATTTCATTCAGTATTTCTTCTTTTGAGGAGGGAGTGAACGAATTTATGGATTGCCAGGCCAACAAGGCTTTCTCGTAAAAGATCAATGGAATGTGGATGTTAAGATGTTTAAGTTCAAAGTTACATTTAAGGAGAAAGAGACCACCAACTCGCTCTAGCAGGGAAACAGGAATGTGAGTCCAACTCGCGGTGGGATGACAGCTGAGAAGGCTTCTGATCCAAGTTGCTTTGAGAGCATTGTTAATTATGTCAAAATCAGGCAATGAGAGACCACCTTTTTCTTTAGGGCCAATCAGGGTAGTTTGTTTTATTTTTGGTTTTTTCTTTTGCCAGACGAATTGAGTAATAGCTTTATTAACTTTTTGAATAAATGTGGGGGTGACAGTGAGGACAGCAGTGTTATAAATAAGTTTGGAGAGGGCTAATGCTTTTAAAATGACAATTCGACCATGTAAAGTTAAGTTCCTAGGGTACCACAAGTTTAGCAAGGAAGCCATCGAGGACAGTTTCTGTTCAAAGTTCCTTTTGAAAGCAGCTTCGTCATCATAAGAGAAGTGAATACCAAGTGCAAATACAGGATCTTTTGGCCATGCAATATCAAGAGGTTCTTCCGGGTTGTTTTTGTTCGCGCCTAGCCACAAGCCCTCTGTCTTGCTTCTGTTAACTTCAAGACCAGAGCATTTTTGAAAAGCGTGGAGCAGTTGGAAGAGGTTTTGGCCAGATGTTATATCAGAGACAAAAACAGTGGTATCATCTGCGTATTGTGAAATTTTGAATTCCTTTCCATATATGTTGATTCCTTGAATATTTGCATTAGACCTTATTGCATTAGCAAGAATTTCAGCGCACAGCACAAATAGGGAGCCGGAAAGAGGGCACCCTTGGCGAACACCTCTTTGTAGTTTAAAGAAGACAGAGGCGTAACCATTATTTACTACACAGCTAGAACAGTCAGTGTAAAAGGTTCGGATCCACTATCCACTTCAATAAAGGTAACTGTGCTAATTTCTTTCATGAAAAAAGTACAATGGAGCTTTCTGGGGTGCTTTTTTTATGAGAATATATGTGAAAAAAGCTTTATGTCAAAACTCATACTTGTAGTCATTCTCATCCTCGAATCTAAAGGTCTCTATTTTTACTAAAGAGAACACAACATCAGGCAAAGAAAAACTACATATACTTTTGCCAAGTGGGGTAAACATAACCTATGACACCTTAAATATAACTACTCTTCCACTGGGTAAAGTCTTAACTAAGATCCCTTTCAATGATTTTTCTTCAAGAAAGAAATGATCAAAATGAAGAACAAAATGGTTACAACTGTTTAACTATTTTGAATATTATTCAAATCAGATTTTTTTAAATTTAAAACTTCAGTGCAGTCAGAAAATGGTAGTTTGTCATTAAATGAAATTACCATTTAGCTTCACAAAACAAATGGAAATTAACCGAAATGCTTTCATATCTCTAAGTCCCCATTAATCATGTTTAGTTCCTTGGTTTTTAATCAATTGCATATTAAATGACAAAGATAAATTCACAACCATTTCACCACTAAAATTGTTGCGGCATTAAATATATGTAGAGAAATACAATTGACATTAATTTTCCACATACATGCATGCTTTGTTAAAAACGTTGTTTTCTGTTGTTTCTTACAAAAAGCACAACCTCAAGATCAGATAGTTCAAAATGAGTTTCCTTGCATAATTTTCACCTGACCTGGCCTCAGGGCAAGTGATTAATCAGAGAAGCGAAAGAATATTAACTTTACTTGTAAACGATTCCTTGAGGCCTTGTTTTGTGGGAAAAATGTATCCTATAAAATAATAAATAAAAACAGTAGCCATTGCAGGTTTACAATATTATTAAAAAGACATCAGAATTTCACATAAAGAATATTCACCTGCTAGGTTTCCTTCTTATATGTAATGCATCATATCGTACATGATAAGAGTACACAGTGCAAAATTGATAAACGAAAACATTCTGTGGAACTGGCCATTCGCAATATTTTTTTCTATCATTCAAATGAATTCTCCTGTTTTCTAAAGCAAATAATAGAATGACTGCAAAATGAACCCTATGCAACACGTGTATAATTCTGTTTTAAAAAGCACTCTTTAAATGACCACCAAAGTGAAAAAATAGATGATAAAAATTGCTCTTAGACTAGAAACAACTGAACATTGGAGGAACTGGGCTGTTTATGGTAAAAATTCTTTAACTTAAACATTTTTGCTATTGATATTTCTAACAAATTGTACAATAAAAGAGGTGGTCTTCACATCTCATAGCTTTTTAAATATTTTATGATGACAAAGAGGCAGCTGTAAAGGTACATTCAAAATGTGAAAATGAGAAACGTTTCAAGTGCACTTTGCGTGGTGCACACAAACAAAAATTTATTGCATTAACGTTTCACACAAAATTGATATGAATGTATTTAATAAGGATCTAAAAGTGATGGGATAAACAAGGTCTCCCAGGATTTTATGCCAGAGATATGGGTTGACTAACTTTGCAAAAGGTTGTTGAAGGCATTCTATTTGAAATGTAATACCATTCACCTCTACAGATCTTCCCCCACCCCCAACTCCCTCCACCCCCACACAGACAAGTTCATATACACATGCTTCCATTTTACCTTACTTCAACCTTTGTTTTCCTTTGTGTTTGGGTACATGATAAATATATATTGTCTTGAGCATAAAGCAAATAATCTGAACGAAGGGTAAAATTGAATGACAAAACATCGCTAAATAAACAGCAATTCGTGAATGATGATAATGCAGAGTCCCCAAAGTGTTCCATCTGCTAGAATTAAGGACGGTAATGAGAGATTACCAGTCCAGACAATAAGGTGGCTCCATTGAGCATCAGTATTATTTCTTTTTGTTCAAGATGGATGCAACTTATATATTTGTTGGGTTCCATTTTTCTGTCACAGCAACATTGCATCTACACAGACAGATGATCATGTGCTATTTTCTGTCTTAATCCATTACTTCTTTGACTTTTATTTCATGAAGCATCTTTAACTTTGCCACAAAAACACATAGTGCGTTATTTGCTATTTTTACAGATAAAGCTGCAAAAAAAAATTACACAAAGGAACACAAGAAAATTCATGGGTAATTGTTTTTGCTTTGCTGGCATCATTACAAACACACATGGATTAGGGTTTGCTATATATATGGTCATATATAGCTCTACACAATCACTATACATCCAAACCATTCGAACTGGTCAGCAGTTTCCAAACCACTAAAACACACAATATTGTGTGTTTTAGATCGTCACAATATTAGTTATGAACTTTACAATCACTACAATATTATTAACAAACTGTGATGCTGCATATTGTGAAAGTTTTTCTTGACTTTTTGTCGACTGAGATTTCGGTTGCATTCCTCTGAGATGATCCAGATTAGGATTTATGGTATGTTGGAAGATCACTCAGATCAGGGCGCATCAAAGGTTCTGATGAATCTTTGGGATTTAGCAGTTTCTTTGATGCACAAAAGGATGTGAACAACCTTAGATCATGAATCCTTCTACAGATCATCTCAAAGGAATCAATGCACCCTTTGTTGGAGAATGAGACCACTGCACAGTTTTATTATACAGCTAGAACTTTACCTCAACAGAACAACATTGCAAAATCTTGATGCTACTTTGTTTCAATATTAGATCTACTTAATATGTGCCATATACCAAATCTACTGAATCTCTGAGCAGTCAGCATAATCGCAAAAACAACATAGAAGATATATAACACAAAAACAACCTTTTTAGATAAAACTTAAAAGTAAAACATTAAATTAGAAGGGAAAAAAGTGATCAAATGTCCAATGGTATGAAAAACATCTTTAAGAGATCTGATATTAGGCAGATGAGTCAGCATTCTACTTGCTTTTTATTTCCTTTTCTTAATATTTCCCAAAAGCCTTGCTCAACCAATCTCACCTTTTAGTTAAATATTTTTGGTTATGTAAGAGAGTAAAAAATAGACTTTATTTGAAGCTGCTCCTATTAGGAATATACCGTATATTTTCAGATATCTTTAACCCATAGTTATTCGAGCCTCCTGATAAATTCAACCAACCATTACTTTCCTTCCCCAGTCAAACACTGTAATACCTCAAAATATTGTAAAAACTCCTAATAACCTTATCACCGGGAGGTTTAAAAAAAAATTGCGGAGTACTCAGAGCAGAAAAGATAAGCCTTGTCATAATAATAGACACTATACTGTAACACATAAACACTTACCTTATTATCACTTATTTTTGAGCGACCTTAATTTTGTGAATTTGGAATAGAAATATTTCGCAGGCCTTAAAATTCGCAATTTTGAAGAATCACCGTTTTTCAATGTAATTAAATTTTGCGAACCAAGTAAACTAGCGCTTGTTTTTAAAACTTCCATTTCTGCATTTTATTTAACTATAACTGAATAGAAATGCAACAAGCAACTGGTTGAAACATTAAACAAAGTCAGCAACATGACATCTTTTAAAAGTACACTGATATAAGCAATCGAGGCACTATTTAGCTTGATGGCGCTGCCAATAAGCTTTAAGATAAGGATCGCCTCAATGTTTTCAAATGGATCTTATGCGATAAGGTTGTCTTCCCTTGAACAAGTTAGGATATTCCTACTTTGCTCCATCCTGGGGCTGTTAAGAACATTTTTAAAAGGATAAACCAGCGAGCAGCTCTTCTGCAAACTTCTTGAGTTGTAAAATTTTTTATTGTCTCCTAAGCATTTCGTGTGACTAGTGCACACTTAATAAGGGAGTTTTACAATACAAATAAGAGCACCTGTATATATACCTAAAAACGAACTGAATTTTACATTGAACAAAAAACATCTATGTATTTGAATCTGGGAAACAGGTGGAGAACTATTTTGCAAGGTGTGACATATCTGTAATGTTTTGGGACCTACAGTTTTAGCTACATGCTCCTAGCAGACGGAAAACTTAAATAAAGGTTTTTATTAAGGTTACGCAATTTCGCTTCTTCAAATAAAGTCAATTTTTCACTCTTTCCAATCCTTTTTTTTTGCAGGACTTTAATTTCGCGAAATTTTTTAAATTGTGAAAATTGCGAAATTTAAGTCTTACAAAAATAAGTGATGATAAAGTACTTACCAGAAAGCCGCAAAGACTCCAACATCCTCACAATAACCATCTGAAGGAGGTCGGACCACAGAAACAATGGTCCCAGGGTACTTTCTGTTACACTTGTAAAACCTGGAATGTCTGACATTTCATCTATCAATTCTTCTCCAAAACTGGTCCAAAGCATTGCACTGTACTGAGATTGTATCTGATTCATGGTTTCCACGTCAAGTGGCTCATTCCATTGTACACGCTTGTTAAGCCTTGGCGACCCATGTCCAGGTGAATGTCTAAGAATACCATGTCCTTCTGGATGCATTGCCAAACTACTACCCACCCCTCCCTCATCAGCCCCAGTTCCACCAGCAGCTGTTACAACTTTTGTCTTAGGGGTTTGTAGAGGTGGAAGGACAACAGATTTTTTTTCACTGCTCATGTGCCGTCCCAAAATTAGTGTGGTGGATGTAGCAAGTTGTGATATCAAATTACTAAAAAATGACTGCTCCTGTGAATCAAACATTAACAAGGGCGACTCAGGGTCAAGTTTCAAGAGAGGGATTTGGTTTCGACCCAAAACTGACAATACCCCATTTGGGGGGCCTCCTTCGGTTCTCGTGTTGCCGCCGATTGAGACAACCCCGAAATCTTTCCACTCAAAGTAAGAAGCGAAGTCGTATTTCAGTACTCGTGAAACTTCTTGGTGTTCGCTTACAAATTTACGAACATACCCGGCCAATATTTTCGAGCGTGCAAAAGCGATGCCAGTCAAAAGTTTGCTCAGGCTTAATAAACAAACATGATCAGCAGAGGTAGAAACAGCTGGAAATAACAACAAGGCTCCTAACCTTCCCTGAGTAGAGTTCGACAGCGCAAAACGACTTTCCTCACTTAAACTCAGCATTTTATGTTCATCGTTTTTAAAGCTTTTACAGTATTCAACAAGTCGATTGAAATCTTCGATTCCTTGGCAAACGCAGTTTAACTCTTGCCGACTCAAACCCCATTTGCATTTTTCAGCAATTCGCAGTACACAAAGCAAAATATTCCCGATAAGCGAAAAAGCCCTTTCTGCGTGTTGATGAAGTGTTTTGTAAACCATCGACAAATCATCGTGCATATCAGGCAAAGAACTTCGAAGCCAAGGGTCCGTAGATACCATTTTTGTCAACGATACACGGTACATGCATTGAGTCTTAGCCTTTTGGCAAATGTTATGAAATCCCTCAACTTTGAATGGAAAGTCGCGTGAAATTTTCCTCCCGCTCTCCATGTAAGAGGTGTAGTTTTCAAAGGTTTCCTCCAGTTCTCCAATAAACTCGGCGGATGCTTGAAGCCGAACAAGACACTCTCTCGCCAACACAATCTTTGAGCGATCGCCAAATTTTCGACCGATATCAGTGTAAATCTCATTGAGGCGAACACCCTGTTCAAAATGGCCAAAACTCACCGAGTCATGTTGAGGTCTCAAGCAGGCATTTTTAGCCGGATTCACGCTACTGAACACTTTCTGAAGAGTTGTGAAGTTCTTGTCCAAATCTTTTGGCGAGATTTGAGTAACCGAAAGTCGTTGAAACGCGTTGTCGCTGCCATGGTTGCTGCTTTCCGAGCCGAAATTCATGGCACTTTTCCCAGCGCTTTCCTAACTCTTGTTGTCCTTTCATAGGTACAATAGCACAGCAACAAGGGCATGCTGCTATTACTGTGTCTTCTTAACCAGCATTTATGTAGAAATGTGTCGTCGTTAATTCAAACCAAAGCCGGTCAAGACAGCACTCATACTTAGACCATCTTTGTTGATAAAAAAGAGAACCTCTTCCCCAGTTCACTAGCGCGGTCAAACCGGAAAGACCTTGGCAAAGGGACTCTGACCATTTTTTGCAATACTGTAAATGGCCTGGTTTGAAGTAAAATGATATATTATTGTAACAGAATACTACAGTGTATTGTGGCTACGTTTTCAAGTTTTGTTTTACCTTGAAGTAAGTGACAACAACACAAAATGCAAATTAATTTTGTGTAGAATTTTTTTAACTCTTCATTTTAACTTCAAAAGAAAGAAACATACGAAAAGAGAAGAGAAAACGTTGTACCCAAAAAAAGAAACATTTAAAAAGATATAGAAAAAGGAACGCTTAAGACCATAGCAGGGGGAAAATGGAAGAAAAATACACCATTAAACAAAAGGACTGATATTGGTAAAGGAAAATATTTCATGCTTAAAATAGTTTCCGCTCAGAAAACTTGACAACATTAGAAATGAATTGAAATGAATTCAGGTGATAGAGTTTTCTTTAAACATTTAATATTTCAAGCGTAAAATGATTTTTTTTTCTAGTACCTTATGAAGAAAGAACAAATTACGCCCTAACCTTACAGAATTAATATACAGTAAGGAGTCGAGCAGATGGTCAACATAAATCTTTCGCAAGCTTTTCCATTGTATCTAATGCATATTTTTATAGAATGAAAAATCCTGGAAAACAAGTTCTTTTTGTTTTGATGGGCATAATATTTCAAAAGCAAAGAAAGTAAAACTAAGGAGATTGTCTCTGTTTCGCTGACAGATATGAAATGAAGGATATTTAAAGAACAAACACACTAAAAATAGCTCAGTGCCATAAGCCTTCTTCCAGGTGGTCTTTCACATCAGCATATATTGTTCAATATTTTCTTTTTCATCGATTTTATGGACCTAGCCGTCATAAATTTGTAAGACGCAAGAACAGTATTTGTTGTTGTGCAGATACAAGCGAACAAGATACTTAATTGTACTGAAAACTGAAGGGTCACCAAAGGCAAGTGATCGCTGGGTTTACGTTGCGCCCCTCATTCTGAGGTAAAATGCACCGAGCGTTTGCAGTCACTTTACAAGATCGCGAAAAAGAAACACGGCAAGACGTTTCTACATCATATGATATTATTATACATTTTTCTTTTTCCAAACCACAGTTCAGGAAACTCTAGCATTCAAAGGACCGCGTAGAGAACCAATCAAATTGTGTGGAGTGGTCGAACGATATATATGACAAATGGTCAGGCTTATACACTTGGTTATGCATAGTGAACGCAATGAATTAAGCACATTCACTCTAAATATGTAATGATGTAATGGCGCATTTGTCTTTAATTTACCTTCAGTTTTTATCAGTTTCCGTTCCCATCACCTAACAATCAAAAGCTAATTTAACCGCTTTTTAATTTCATCCCTCAGTCGTCACAGTTATATGAAAAGTACGTTTAATTTTGTTGCATGTCGCTAATACTATGACAACGCAAATCCAGTTATTTTGAGTCTCCCATTGCTAAATATTTACTGACAAAGAAAATGTTTATAATTTTGAATTCTTCAGTTTATAGTTGTGATATCAAATTACTAAAAAATGACTGCTCCTGTGAATCAAACATTAACAAGGGCGACTCAGGGTCAAGTTTCAAGAGAGGGATTTGGTTTCGACCCAAAACTGACAATACCCCATTTGGGGGGCCTCCTTCGGTTCTCGTGTTGCCGCCGATTGAGACAACCCCGAAATCTTTCCACTCAAAGTAAGAAGCGAAGTCGTATTTCAGTACTCGTGAAACTTCTTGGTGTTCGCTTACAAATTTACGAACATACCCGGCCAATATTTTCGAGCGTGCAAAAGCGATGCCAGTCAAAAGTTTGCTCAGGCTTAATAAACAAACATGATCAGCAGAGGTAGAAACAGCTGGAAATAACAACAAGGCTCCTAACCTTCCCTGAGTAGAGTTCGACAGCGCAAAACGACTTTCCTCACTTAAACTCAGCATTTTATGTTCATCGTTTTTAAAGCTTTTACAGTATTCAACAAGTCGATTGAAATCTTCGATTCCTTGGCAAACGCAGTTTAACTCTTGCCGACTCAAACCCCATTTGCATTTTTCAGCAATTCGCAGTACACAAAGCAAAATATTCCCGATAAGCGAAAAAGCCCTTTCTGCGTGTTGATGAAGTGTTTTGTAAACCATCGACAAATCATCGTGCATATCAGGCAAAGAACTTCGAAGCCAAGGGTCCGTAGATACCATTTTTGTCAACGATACACGGTACATGCATTGAGTCTTAGCCTTTTGGCAAATGTTATGAAATCCCTCAACTTTGAATGGAAAGTCGCGTGAAATTTTCCTCCCGCTCTCCATGTAAGAGGTGTAGTTTTCAAAGGTTTCCTCCAGTTCTCCAATAAACTCGGCGGATGCTTGAAGCCGAACAAGACACTCTCTCGCCAACACAATCTTTGAGCGATCGCCAAATTTTCGACCGATATCAGTGTAAATCTCATTGAGGCGAACACCCTGTTCAAAATGGCCAAAACTCACCGAGTCATGTTGAGGTCTCAAGCAGGCATTTTTAGCCGGATTCACGCTACTGAACACTTTCTGAAGAGTTGTGAAGTTCTTGTCCAAATCTTTTGGCGAGATTTGAGTAACCGAAAGTCGTTGAAACGCGTTGTCGCTGCCATGGTTGCTGCTTTCCGAGCCGAAATTCATGGCACTTTTCCCAGCGCTTTCCTAACTCTTGTTGTCCTTTCATAGGTACAATAGCACAGCAACAAGGGCATGCTGCTATTACTGTGTCTTCTTAACCAGCATTTATGTAGAAATGTGTCGTCGTTAATTCAAACCAAAGCCGGTCAAGACAGCACTCATACTTAGACCATCTTTGTTGATAAAAAAGAGAACCTCTTCCCCAGTTCACTAGCGCGGTCAAACCGGAAAGACCTTGGCAAAGGGACTCTGACCATTTTTTGCAATACTGTAAATGGCCTGGTTTGAAGTAAAATGATATATTATTGTAACAGAATACTACAGTGTATTGTGGCTACGTTTTCAAGTTTTGTTTTACCTTGAAGTAAGTGACAACAACACAAAATGCAAATTAATTTTGTGTAGAATTTTTTTAACTCTTCATTTTAACTTCAAAAGAAAGAAACATACGAAAAGAGAAGAGAAAACGTTGTACCCAAAAAAAAAGAAACATTTAAAAAGATATAGAAAAGGAACGCTTAAGACCATAGCAGGGGGAAAATGGAAGAAAAATACACCATTAAACAAAAGGACTGATATTGGTAAAGGAAAATATTTCATGCTTAAAATAGTTTCCGCTCAGAAAACTTGACAACATTAGAAATGAATTGAAATGAATTCAGGTGATAGAGTTTTCTTTAAACATTTAATATTTCAAGCGTAAAATGATTTTTTTTTCTAGTACCTTATGAAGAAAGAACAAATTACGCCCTAACCTTACAGAATTAATATACAGTAAGGAGTCGAGCAGATGGTCAACATAAATCTTTCGCAAGCTTTTCCATTGTATCTAATGCATATTTTTATAGAATGAAAAATCCTGGAAAACAAGTTCTTTTTGTTTTGATGGGCATAATATTTCAAAAGCAAAGAAAGTAAAACTAAGGAGATTGTCTCTGTTTCGCTGACAGATATGAAATGAAGGATATTTAAAGAACAAACACACTAAAAATAGCTCGGTGCCATAAGCCTTCTTCCAGGTGGTCTTTCACATCAGCATATATTGTTCAATATTTTCTTTTTCATCGATTTTATGGACCTAGCCGTCATAAATTTGTAAGACGCAAGAACAGTATTTGTTGTTGTGCAGATACAAGCGAACAAGATACTTAATTGTACTGAAAACTGAAGGGTCACCAAAGGCAAGTGATCGCTGGGTTTACGTTGCGCCCCTCATTCTGAGGTAAAATGCACCGAGCGTTTGCAGTCACTTTACAAGATCGCGAAAAGAAACACGGCAAGACGTTTCTACATCATATGATATTATTATACATTTTTCTTTTTCCAAACCACAGTTCAGGAAACTCTAGCATTCAAAGGACCGCGTAGAGAACCAATCAAATTGTGTGGAGTGGTCGAACGATATATATGACAAATGGTCAGGCTTATACACTTGGTTATGCATAGTGAACGCAATGAATTAAGCACATTCACTCTAAATATGTAATGATGTAATGGCGCATTTGTCTTTAATTTACCTTCAGTTTTTATCAGTTTCCGTTCCCATCACCTAACAATCAAAAGCTAATTTAACCGCTTTTTAATTTCATCCCTCAGTCGTCACAGTTATATGAAAAGTACGTTTAATTTTGTTGCATGTCGCTAATACTATGACAACGCAAATCCAGTTATTTTGAGTCTCCCATTGCTAAATATTTACTGACAAAGAAAATGTTTATAATTTTGAATTCTTCAGTTTATTATTTATATCAATTGTCCTTGTGTGTGGTCGGGTTTTGAACGCCCCCCCGTAATAAACTATTATTTTCTTTAATGAATAAAATGTCGAAAATTAATTGAAGAAGAATAAATGCCTTTTTTGCCTTAGGCCAGGCTGTATCGTAGAGTTAAATTAATAAGATAAAACCCGGAGGGGTATCCCTCATAAAACCGACGGGGTGTTCGTCAGAAAATTTCAATCAAGAACACCCCTAAAAAGTACCAGAATCTTGTTTTATGGGCGTCTCCCAAATTCATTTCTACCCCTAAGAGTTAACAAATTATATAACTGGTAATGCAAATTTTAACAGTAATAAAGATAACTTTTGAACACTTTCTTCTCGAGGACTTTTTGAAAGTATTGTCATAAATCTTTATCCTAATCAGTCATTTTAGGTTTTAGCTCCCTAAGCGGTACCAATCCACAAATTTAAACCCCTAAAAGGTACGACGAGCACCCCCGTCACTTTTATAGGAGAGTACCCCCCCGGAGATGAAATGGAATCGTCGACCACTTTCTTACTTTAAACAAGACGCTGTGGGAGCGTATATTTAGGCGTCGATGTACCAGTAATTTGTGAAGTTTTTTATGTGTATTAGGGATTTGTGAGTAGTACAGTAGCGTTGCCTTTTTGGGGGTGTTGGTTGAGAAGCGTGGAGTGGAAGGCGTGGAGTTATATTGGACGTGAATTGGTAAGATAATGGCTTTAGTTTGTAAATCAGTGAAACTTGCTTCTCGTAGAATTTAAGATGAAGTAACAAAAAATAGTTATTTTTGGGAGGTAAAGGTGATTTTAGATGTTGTAGTGAGGTAGTTGTGGAAGTGCTTATTTGGTTATGAAGGGATACTGTAGTTACAGTCTGTTGAAATAAAGTGGTGGTTGTGAAAAGTCTTATCAATAGTCGAAAACATACTTGTACTTATTTTAAACGTTGTTAAGTTTTTTGTTTAGGATTTTTTTTCGCTTATTTTGAAAATATTGTATCGAGAGAACATGGGTTGGGCCAGAAGTTCATTTAATATAAAGAAGCGGGTATGAAGATGTTGCGGGGGAGCGCTTAAACGCAACAAAAATCAACTTTGCGATTACATGACAACCGAGCCAGCCCGGTTGGCTGGGATCCCAGTATAGTGATGCCGGGATCCCGGGTGGAAATTTTCCAAGTAATCACGCTTGCCGGGCGGCCCGGCAAATGAACCAAGTGAGAAACAGGACAGTGAGTAACACACTGCTCATGTGCATTGCTTCCCCGGCTCATGTGATCAGGCCCTTACTGTGAGTTGTATTGTCACGCAGTTTGCACGTGAAAGCTTTGGAATTTGTGGCTTGTCGTGTTTCGTGAATGAGAGAATACGACTCAACCTAATTAACCCAATAAATTAACCCAGTTCTCCACTTCAAGTCAGCAGGGCCCACATCCCGTTTAAGGGTGTCAACAAGAAAAGGGACGTCAACAATGCCTTTGTTTGTTGAGGGGCTTCCAGATAGCAAGTTCCTCTGCGGGCAGGTCTGTGACCTGTGGGAGCCAGTCTCCGCCGGACCACTTTGTTGGAGAGTCTGGGATGGGTTCCATAAAGGAATTCATTAGTCACATGACAGCTCTACCAGTTGGTGTTCAGGACTGCCTGCTTGAAACATCCTACTATAAGTGGTGTTGAGTGACAGTCAGTGCATGCTCAGGACTCACAACCACACATACCATGTGGCAAGAAATTTTTGCGGGTTCTAATTTTTGCGATTTTTCCCGCAAAAATTTACTCCAGAGTAGATATTCTCTAACTTAAATTCGCTACACCAAAATACAGTACCTGAGAAATCGTGTCTGTTCAATCACAACTTGTCTGTTTCATCAAGAAAAAAAACGAAAGATAACAAAGTACTGGTTTATTGTTTGAAAATATGTATTTCTATTGCAAGTACTCAATAAAGACGAAAATATTAGCAATACTGGGTACTTTCTGAAAATCGCAAAAATTAGTTCCCGCAAAACACAAAAACTCACCAATCCGCAAAATTAAACTCCCGCAAAAATTTCATGCCACACGGTAGGTACCTACCGTCTACCATGTTGTCGAACAAACACTAAGAAGTTCTCGCCTTTTTTCAGGGACCTAAGTTTTTAATTCACTTGTCAACGAGGTCATCAACTCTCAATCCCTTTCCTCCTTTAAGAAAATACCGAAGATTAAATAATTTAGTAAATATAAAAAGCGATCATAAATCTTGCCTCTTCGACTTTTCGCCATCTTTTCTTCAACTGATGTTAAACAGCTCCAGCCCGTAGTTCGAGGAGGCCTAACGTCTCATAAGCTCCCATAGTTTCTGTTAGCCTGCGAGCAGAGGCTACATTTTCGTGGTATGAGCTGGCGTGCGAAAAGTAGCTACTTTCCGCACGCCAGCTCACACCGCGAAAATGTAGCCTCTGCTCGCAGGGTAAGTTTCTGTTAGGTCTCTTCGACACTTCCTTTTTCTACTTTTCCTATAGTATTTGTAATTCATTTTCTACTATTATGTGGCAAATAAAATAAATTAATAATAAGTAAAATAATGGCAACTAAAATCCTGACAACAGTGGAAAACTTACAGTAGTCCCAGCCGGTTTGTCTGAGGCATTGGCTATAGATGGATCCTTGAGAAAGCCAACCCGACTTTTTTTAAGCTGGCAAGCATTTCTATCATGGCTTCCCCTCTCCACTCCAAAACAAATGTAAATAGCTTTTTTCGCAATCTGGTCACCTCGCCACCAACTAATCACCCTTAAACAATTGACACACTAACCAAGGATTAAAGCTGATACAAAACGAAATCTATACAATTGGTTTCCATTTAATAACATATCATTTTTCTTCTCTGTTAAGCTAAGTCGGATGTGACGTCGACCCAAACACAAATTGAGCTAAATCTGTTGATCCTAGATGAAACATTCGTCGAACTTCCCATGTCCTTTGTAGTTACATTTGATTCTGTGCATGTTAAGTCCGGCGTGAAATGTATCAAAAAGGCGTGATACAAAACTTGTGCATGTGTCAGGGTTCATCAAAGAGACAAAAAACAACCACCAGTGACCACTGAGTGGTTATGCAAAACGGCTCTAGAAAAAGAAGAAACATTTTGAACAAGGAGGCAATATTGCAGAGTGGTTTAGACTGCTGGATTTCAACTTGGCCACCCCTAAGTTCCATAAACGTTTTTTCGGCCCGTTGCAACTGGTACCTTTAGAGACTCCATTGATTAAATTATTGAAGTGTCATATGGATTTACCAATTAAGTCCTGTCCTGTCCGAACCTCTCGGTACGGACACCTCTCTATTACGGACAGTTTCCAAAGTCCTTACAAAATTCCCTCATATTTTCTTGAAAAAAAAAAACCTCTATAATACGGACTCTCTCTAATACGGACAACGGGACACTAAATCTCGGCCCCAGAGAGTAAATTCATATAAACTTAACCTCTTTATTACGGACACTGCGGTAATCAGGTCCCGAATCCCGGTCAGGTGAATCTGCACAGGGTAAATCCTGTCTGGCTGATGAGCTATGCAAGGTGGTTTCAAAAACCCAGTCGCTATATATGAAACAACGTTTTGCGAAAGGTTTACAGAGGAACATAACCGACTTTTTTAAGGCTTGAATAACTGCAGATAGCATAAAGATCTTTTCTATTACATTTTGTGTTCTAGTTATTGTTTACTGCACTTACAAGCGCTTTCAGAATTGTGCTATACGTTACAACTTGTTACTTGAAGCATTGCACAGTAGCTCGTTTCGTGTTAAAACAGTGATTTGTCTACGACTGAACTTAATTTGTAGCTGAGATCTGCAATATTGTATGCTACTGAAAGACAGTTTCTTTGTTCTGTGAATTAATAAATTTAAATGCAGTTTAAAGACGAGTGTGAGCCTGCTTTTAGCTACTGAACACTTAAAAAGGGGACGCATCATGTTGACCTCTTCGATATGGGCACCTCTCTAATACGGACACTTTGATATGTCCCTTCGGTGTCCGTATTAGAGAGGTCTGACTGTATACTCATTCGCCAACAACTCTGAAAACTAATCCTTTCTTCTAATGAAGGCTAATAAGCCCTCACAGATAAACAGAATGTAACAAGAACATGGTCATTTCTGTTATGGACGCACTTTATGCTCTGATTGGCCACTGACTTTGCACAGCTGTTTGATGACACAGTTGTCCTATTGTGAGCAGCTCCTCAAAATGCTAAAAGAGAGTCCAAATGGTTGGACTTGAAGGTCCAACTACATTTTATAATCAATATCTCACTCAGGCCCCATCAACATCACACCAGATTACTTCATTCTTACATTTAGCTATACCTTACAGAGTAATCTGGTTAAATTGTCCACCAAAAACTGAACTTTGCGACACTCTTTAAAGTGGATAAATTAGAAAATGACAGCCTTGCATTTCAGTGTGACTTCTCTGGCAGAGTTGCATTTTCAAATGCCATTATAATTACCGAAAAAATTAAACTTTGCAATACCAAGATAAGATTCCACTAGTACATTAAAAATTACTATTTTAATTGTCCCTTTTGAGGAGTAGGATTTCCTATTTAAATCAGCTGCATTCAACATGGTTTTATCAGCCAAACAAAATAACTTTAACCACTGTTGCTCTGATGTTTCTTCAGTCTACTGGAGAAAGAACACTCTTTTAAATACAGTTTTTTGCATCATCTTCAGGTTCTGTCAAAGTTTGTGATCTTAAAGTCAACATCTGATAGCAGTGCCAACAGACATAAATACTCCAAATGTACCACCTCCTTGAAGCATGATTTTTCCTATACTGCTGACCAGCTCTCTTCCTCTAAGTCCATATCTGAAATCAATTAACACCATTATTATTTTCAATATGACAAATGTCAAAAGCGATTGTGTCATAACTTCTATTTAATTTTCCTGGTGACTAACATTTTGCATTGCAATGATTAAACCTGTAAACGGTTGAACCACTACTAACATCAGTCCGTCAGGGAAAATGAAAAAGTCATTTTTTTTTCAAATTGGACTCCTCCTACGTGGTCATCTGATTTTGTTAATCACTTGTATGATTACAGGCCTAATCATAACTGTAACAAAATTCTCAAATCTGATTGGCTATCAACTGTCCTGATTTCAGCCTTAATAGGACAGTTTAATGGGACAGTATGCATTGTGCCTAAGTAACTGGACAGTATGCGCCATTGCGCACGCTAAAATGGCTTTTTTTTTTCACTGCCAGCAAAAAAACTTTGAATTTCTTGTGTGCTGATAAAAAAAAGGGCCTTTTTTCAAAATTTTGTTAACTGGACAGTATGTGCCATTAAACAAAATCGGACTCCCCACCACGCGACGCTAAAATGGCTTTTTTTTTTTCACTGCCAGCAAAAAAACTTTGAATTTCTTGTGTGCTGATAAAAAAAAGGGCCTTTTTTTCACAAATTTTGTTAAAGTTATGATTAATTTTCACACCTATTTTGCCTCTACTAGGGAAAAAATTGTTTGTATGCTGCACCGCATCGGTACATAATGGCGCTTTCCGAGCAACAAAAGAAAGCTTTGTTCGCGGTCTGTAATCATACCCGTGATCAAACAAATTGGACTCCCACTACGCGGTCGTCCGATTTTGTTAATCACTCGTATGATTACAAACCGAATTGGACTCCACTCAGTCCAGTTACCATTACAAATTGGACTCCACTCAGTGCTGTTACAATTACTAATTTGCATCAGTGGAATGAAATGTCACTCTTCGACACCTGGTGATCTCCAATGAATCGCGAAACTATCCGCCACCCCTCCCCTTCAATGTCATATATTAAAAAACCAGATTCACCCATGGTTCATTTAATGAATTAAGTTATGACTAGGAAAGGTCCGTATGATTTGTCTTACTTTAGAGCGGAGTAGGTTCCAAACAGTGCCGCCGAGCTCATTCCAATTGCAAACCCCATCATAAATCCAACCTTAACGCGGTCAAAACAGCTTGGTTGAGGTGCTCGTTGCATCATATACTTCTTGTGTTATTTCTGTAGGCAAACCCAGTCCTGAAAAGGCAAAAATTCGTGCTTACTTTTGCAGTTCTTTTCCACAGAATTTAACATCAGATTTCACATGGAAGACGAGCGACCGTGACCAAAGATCGACAAGGGAGCTTGGACGCTAGCTACGGTTGGCATGAGTAAAGTTGTGAGTCTGCTGGTTAGATGTACTGTGTGTTCACGTACCTGGTATGTTTCGCTTTTCGTTTTCCCTTCCGGGTAGAGTTTTATTTATCGCCGGTTTACGTTTAGATCTTTCGCGTTTTAGCAGTAACATGACTTCAGAAGAGTTTATCGATAAAAGGATCCCAGATAAGTAAGTGTGTTCATTGGTAAGGCTTTTTTTCGTAGTGGTATAAACTAAGATATTGCATGAGGGTCCACACATTAGCAACAAAGAAAAGCTTTCGCAAGCAAAATCGCACCCACCATAAAATTTATACGATAGTGTCTCAAGGAGTTTAGAAGCACAGTATATCTTCTATGTAGTTTCATCTGAAAGCCGCCTTGTTCTTTACTCTCTACTGTACCTGTATTATGATATGATGGAAAATCGAGCTGGATTTGAGTTGATGAATGGAAATATGATAGCTGATAACTAGACATCACAATTAAGTGATAACTTTTACTTGATACAGTACATTATGACCTGGAAATGGTTTCCCCCATACAGGACCAAAATACAATATATCCGGTAATCGTCAAAATTTCACTCCTGGATACGAAGTAACCTGTAAATTTTCTTAAGGCAGGATCTGGATCACTGCTCAACACTAACTTTTTTGGACACTATAAGGTAAAAGCTACTGGTATAAAAAAAAAAAGAAAAAGTGGGGTACAGAACTTTCATGACCCCTTATTTTATTCAAACAGAAATTGTCTGTTCCTGTGGCAAATGCAGAGTTCAAATTTGCTCATCTCTGAGTGCTACTGTATGAGTCCACACAAGTTCATTCAGAGCACATTTTCCTTCAATGAATTGCAGCTTAGAATATGTTTTCTTCCAACTTGGTTGAAAAGTTCTCGGCCACTTATTGCACTTCTTTTCCTCTTCATGCCGTGTGTTGTACTCTGGTAAACAATGAAAATCTGCCTAGGAATGACTGGCTGTTGAAGGACTCTATGTTGAGGATAAGTTGTCAAAAAAGGTGCAATCTTCATTCCTTCAGTGAATTTACATGAAAAAATTCCTAGATGGCAGACCTATGCTTGTTCCCACCCAAGGTCCTACTTTATTGAGTTTTTTGTCCATATAACTAACTAGTTTAGGGGCTAGGATGAGCACATTTTTATTAGCCCAGTGAGAAGTTTCACTAGTCCTGGCCTAGTGGACCAAGAAAAATAGCCTCAACAGACATTCTCGTATTCAGTGCAACATGGTGGGTAATCTGAAGGTTGTGTCTCTGAACAGATAAATTGTTGACTTTCTCATTGAAAAGTCTAACATGTGAAATATTCTACAGAATGATGTTGGAGAATGTTACTGTTATAATATATGGGGTATATCAAATTTTCCAAAAACAACCCCTCACTTTCAGATAACCCATAATACACCTTGTTTTCCCTGCCAAATTTTCCACGCACATTGTCTTCAATTTCTCCTGGGTATTGGAAACAATGCTTATGCAAATTTTTGGGAGGGAAACAAGGTTAATTATGGGCAAAGTGAAAGTAGCTAATTTAAGTAATCTTCTACTTTCCAGCTTCATTGTGTTGCAATTTTGTAGTCACTTGTTGGAGTTTTCAAAAAATCAGTCCCAAATACATCAATTCAGGAAGAGTTTACTTACATTGAATTCCCAAGTTTCCCACTATTTCCCTGATTATCCATCATACACTGAGAGCATGAGCTGATCTATTACTTTACTGAAACAGAAACTTTACTTTGGGGCGTTAATAATTATTATTATTAATTATTATTTGAAATGGATTCATTCAAAGGGCTCAAATTCCTTTGGGTTTACCCTCCCCCACCCTCCTGCCTTGCCACCCTGGGTTTAGCAATGGTATGTGCATAATTTACAAATGGAAATGGCTTTCACTAGTATGTGGTGATAAGTAAACAATTTTTATTGTAAAACTGTGAATTGTGTTGGTAACAATTAATTTTAGGTCGATCCTCTACTCTTTTGATGTAGGTGGAGAGATTATGATTCATGTGGAGTTCCAATCAGTGGTGAAAGGATCATTGCTTTCAAGACACCTCTCTCAAGTGTAAGGACTTAATGAACTACTTTTCCTTTTTCTACTTTTTTGACTGTACACCAGCCTATATTTTAAGCCCTGCAGTGCAATATCATCATCATCATCATCATCACACTTGCCACTGTATTGCAGTGTGGCTTTTCTCACTCCTCTCCTTTATGTGGCTTTCACTGTAACTCATCCCACGATGGTGGGTGGGCATCGCTGATCAGACTAACAATCTATTGAAGACACTGGTTTTGCATTTGCTATGTAGGGTGCAAAAAAGCATACCTAAGGCTTGCTATATGGGCAATCTCCTTAAGGTGATCAAAGAACAATCTTAGAAGATTTTTTTCTTTTTTAACAGAAATATGACAATGAAAGTGACATTGACAATGGAATAAAACCATTTGAAAGGTACATTGATCAATATTAATAATATTAGATGTAGTCAGGGGTAACGAACAAATGATTTAAATGGAACATAACATGGGTAAAAATCCCAACCAGTTGACTATTTTTCAGTTGTGGCTGAGGATTTGAACTCAGGACTACCGAGAACAAATCCAGCTAGCGGTCAGAGTGGGACTTGAACTTGAGGCCTTTAAATTATAAGTCCAGCGCTCTAACTGCTCAGTCACGCTGCCTCCAGATCAATCAATATTAATAACTTTATGAAAGGTTTGAATGCAGGAGTCATTTCAAAAGTAGGTTGAGTTTGATCGTCCGGGTGAACGTAGTCCCGAATAGGACTGTTGTTGTTCACAGTGGCTGACGTTTCGACAACCTGTGCAGTAGTCATCTTTAGAGTCAAAGTGAGTTGTATCACGTCAGTTGATGGTATTATACTGTGGTTATTGATCTGACTGGTCAATTACTTCATGATGTTATTGGTCGTCTGTCAGTTAAGCCGTGACGTTATTGGCTATGAAGACCCATAATCATCAAACCTCTTTCAGAAGCAAGCTGTTAGAGTGCCAAAAAAAACTCATAACTGAAGAAGTTAACCATACTCACTTCTTTTATTCTTGCACCTTTCTAGTGCAACAGTGACTAAACAACTGTGTGTCAACTTTTGCCTTAAAGATTCACCCCTATGGATCTTCTGAACCATCTTAAACGAAAAAAACTGAAACTTGGGATGGTGATAGACTTTACCAATACCTTCAGATATTACAACGGAAAGGTAAAATTACCGCAAAAAATAAACAATCCAGCTTTTGACTTATTGAGATGTACTTTACCTGTTAGATTTTTGCAATATTATTATTTTCAGACCTCCTAATAATGTCATTTTAAAAGCTTTTAAAAGCAAATCAGAATTAGTTATCCTTAGGCTTGGCCAAATGAACAGAGATGAAAAATGCTAACTAGCTTACTGAATTGTACCTCCTCTGTAGTGTTGTAGAGGTGTGAGGTGTTTAAAGTTGTTGTGATAGCATTATCGTGTCATTGACAGCTTTAGTTATACATATGTAGCTCCTAAAATTACATGTTGATGATTTAAGATTTATAAAAAAATTATGTAGGTAATACCATGTACACACATGGGAATACTGAAATAAAGTTGTTGTTGTTGTTGTTGTTGATGTTGCTTTCTTAGGAGTTCTATGATCATGGGATTGAATATCGTAAGATAAAATGCATTGGAAAAGAAATACCCAATGAGGATGTAGTGAGAAGGTAATATCTAAATTTTTCTAAGCCTTGAGCTCCCTCAAACTAACTGTTTACTCAGTACAATACACTTTTAAAATTTTACACATAAACTTCAAAATACTTGCACAAAGATAAACATCAGCTCACAATTAAAATGGAAAATTTTCAACTGGTCAGCAGACAAGTTAAAAAACTCATGGCCTTGATGGGTTGCTGCACCTCTTGAGCCTGTAATGAGAGTCCCCTATACTTTTTCCGTGAAACGTTACTGGGGCTTTATTTTTCTTGGAAAACATGATTTGAATTTTTATATACTGTATTTTCTCAATTTAACGCTGGACCCCGATTAAACGCCAGCCTCAAAAAAACACCGGGTCAAAACTGCCGATTTTTAAATAATCGCCGTGGGCATTTAATCGTGAAAATACGCTATTTGTGTTTGCCCATTCCAAGACAATTAACATACTGGTAAAAGTGGTTTTGAAATTAAGAATGACATATATTCTTACTGACTGTGCTCAATCCACGCTTCTGGTAAAACACTAAACTGACTTTGAAGGTAAAATGTAGGTAAATTTTATGTTGTTTTAAATTGCTTGCACAGATTCAAGACTGAAGTTTGTTCGTTCATGGCCAATAATACTAAAGGTAACAATATTTTGGTAACATAAAATAATTATATCTTAACAGAGCTGTCATTAAGAGGCAGGGACCGCGGATTTCCCCCGGCTACTAAAATCTTGGCTCCCGGTTCCTTTCATAGGAAGATAGAAGAAAAATAGAACCAAACGAAATCCGTAATACTAGCTGCTTGATTCCCAGCCTACTTGTTGTATTTACCTGGAAACTTGAAATCTTAGTGGCAGCCCTGTTTCATCTCTTTAGTATCTGTTAATATTTCTCCTGTGAGCTTTTTCACTTCATTTCTTCAACTACGACTTATAGTGAAGTACTAGCATTAAATTGATCTGTAAAAGTGCAAATCAATACAAAATAGCAAAGATTTTTAATAAGACTCAGTTTGTTTACCATCTCTTCAGGTGACCTTGTTGGAGTACACTGTACTCATGGACTCAACAGAGCTGGCTACATTGTTTGTAGGTGAGATAAGTGAGAAATAGTTATTGCTCTTCACACTCAAAAAATAGAGTACTTACAATTGGTACAGTATTTTCGCAGGAACTTAATTTCGCAATATGGGGACGCGGGTGTATTTCACGAGACCTGCTCAGTATTTTCTTCTGAGAGAAGGGGTATTTATGGATACAAAGCACCAAAGATCATCTGTTTGAGAGGGACACTGCAAACTCCAGTTGCTTTTTGTTTAGCCTGTGTACGAATCCCCCCCCTACACAGGCTACTTTTTGTTCCACAACAAGGAACAGAGAAAAAGAACAAGTATATGCTTGTTGTGACGAGTCAACAACAAGTCAGAAAGGAATGGATTGTGTAATAACTGTGCACACGGCAAAGATGTCAATTATATAGCAGGGTATTTAAAATTCCTGTCGTTTAAGTTTGTGAAAACTTTTTTCGCGAATCTTCAATTTCGCGAATTTCAAAACATCACGAAAATTGCAAAAGTTATTAAGTTCATTAACAATAAGGCAAGCTTTGTAGATATCATATAAGTGTCACTTGTTGTTAATCAGCAATTCAGTATTCCATTTGGTATTTTCTCAACTTAGATATCTTATTGAATGCAGAGGATACACGCCTGAAAAAGCTATCAAAGGTTAGAGGTAGTCATGCTCCTGTATTCTGTGCAGCAATCACACTTTCTTGAGGGTCTTGTGGTTGCTTGAGTTTGTCTCCTGCTTCATGCACGGCTAAGTAGGCTATCTGATTTTTGTTCCAAAGCAACCTTCATATGAAGACCCCAACCCCAATAGGGTTTCTGAATCCCAGTAATACCATCAGAAATTTTCCCAGTCTCGCAATCCCGACACGCTATCCCGATTCCAAATATACGGTTTATAGTAAGTGGTTTATGGAGGGTACAGCCTGATTCCTTCACGTTCAGACAGCCAGTGACAGATGGTCGGAAAGAAAAGTGACGCGGTAATCGCCCCTTATCCACCTGACAGGCTGGGTGTGGAAAAAATGCATTCCGGTTCTCCCGACTGCCCGGTTCACACAAGAGCGAAAAAAAAAAAAAAAAAACGGAAAAAGACCTCTTTTAAACGTGTCTGTGCGTTCCAGATTGAATTGGAATTTGAACAATTTTTCGAGGAGAGGGAAAGACCGGAGTACTTAGAAAAAACCTCTCGGAGCAAAGGAGAGAACCAACAACAAACTGATATGGTGTTGACTCTGGGATTGGAACCCGGGTTACATCGGTGGTAGGTGAGTGTGGCTCTCACCACTGCGCCACTGTTGTTCCCCGAAATCCCGTGTACCGTTTGCCGCTAAATAATCCCAAATTTAATAATTAAGATGTACTACTCCCGACTGTACCTCCTCTTCTCTCTGAAATCCAGAATCCGGGCTTTCAATTTAGGGAAATCCTGGATCCCGAAAAATCTAATGGAGATCTTCGTATGTAAGATTTATTTGTTTTATGATCTTAAAACTAATTTATAAATAGTACTTATTCTTTCCCTTTTAGCATTTAATGATGCCAGAGGTTATCAGATGGAAAGAGAAAATTACCTGGATGACCTTAAGACAAAGACTCCTAAAAGGTGAGTGTTCGTCAAAATTCGGAAATTTTCTCAGCTTCATTAGCATATGACAGTTTTTAGAAGCTGCCCCCAGCTCAGGCGCTACTTTTTTCGCACAGAGGCGAGGGCGAAACGCAAGTGACACGCGAGTGACTGGTGATGAAGCACAAGGGACCATGGGAAGGAGACAAATGATAGGCGAAGCCCGTTTTCTGCTTTCCTCCTTCTTTTGCGCACAAATTTTATCGAAATAGAGACGTCTGGTTACGAGGGAGTGAATGTTAATCATCACGTGAAACTTTTAACTCTAATGACAGCTGATGTGCATCATCGTCTCGCTGTTCCCCGCTGGAGAACGCCTGTGAATTTGTCATGTTATCTACATGTATAAAGTGAATTTGTTTATGTCTGTTTATGGAATGTCATATATTTACTGATGCACTACGAGGGACAACATAAATTCCGCTGTGAAGAACAATCAACACAAACCGAAATTACTGTGTTACAGTGTATATTCATTGGCTAATCAGCATAATACCACCCGAATACACTGTTCTTTGGTTTTTGTGTACAGCTATTTCTAGAAAAGTTGTCGGAAAAGGTGCACGCGACAATCTCGAAAGGTATTGTGGGTGGTTTTTTGTTTACTGTTTTTCAAAGAAATTTGAAAGAATGGCACGAGAGGCCATGGACGTATGTTTGCGAGTGCTAAAGGAAAGCAACGAAAGTAGCTTCGACATCTTCAATGTCAGAAAGTACTCATCATATCCCACATTACCTTTTGGGTTGTCAGGTGCACATTTTTTTCTGACGAAATAACTGTATATGGTCAAGCATCGGTATCAGTGTTTGATCCACGGACTTCAGAGTTAGAACCATTTTGAACGGCGACTTTATAAACAGTATCACTGTGAGGTAGTGCTCAGTGTGCGTGTGTGTGTGGTTTTTTTTTTTTTTTTTTTTTTTTGATAATATGACCAAAAGGTTTAAGAAGTAGTTAACATAAGCTCTTCTTGTTTTCATCCAGCGAGGACTTCTCTCGTATTGCAAATCGAGACACGCGGAAAAGGCGGGACAGTTTATCTGGAAGCAGACCGAGGTATATTCACACTGACACAGAATCAAGGCAAGTCTCACATGGTAAGAACACAGGCAGAATCGATGGAGTTACACCGTATTACCTCCAAAGACGAGGTAATGAATATGAAGACTTTGAATCAAACTATCGACACCGAGATCGAAATCGTTTTACAGAATACCACAGTCAGACGAGGAACTACACAACAAGGATGTATTCAAGGAGAGAGCGCAGAGATGTTAATTATCATGATTATGGTAATACCTATGATAATTCATATCATAATTATAATGATCGGTACAATAATCATGCAAACTATGGTTATCGAGAATATGGACCGACTAGGAGCCGAGAAAGATCTTACAGAAGTGACCATGTAAAGAGAGGTAGGTCCTATAAGGACCGTTCCGAACCATACTCGCATCAGCGTAGTAGATATTATTAGTCAGCTTCCTCCATGTTGGAGGAATTTTACCATACGCAGTATACACCCAAGATGGCAGGTGGCAAACAAACCATTCTCCAACATCGTTAACGTTGAGCTTTTGAAAGCAATACCGACGGCGACGCTAACGAGAACGTAAAAAGAAAGTAATGAGTTTAAAATAGCAAAATAACATTTTTACATTCAGTCTCTAGTTGCCGTTATTTGACGACCAGCACGTCAAACTTCCTATCCGTTTTATGGTGGACGTGAACGCAAGACAACGATTTTCTTTTCCTTGTCCTAAACTTGGATGCAGTCCCTCCTTTAGAATTCAGCTCCTAAAAAAGTCGCGAACATGGCAAATTGAACGAGATGGAATACTGATGGGATGAAGTTTCTTAGGAGTGCGAATTCACTTTTCCAAGAGACTTTTTCACAGCTGTCGCCGTCGTGGTTGCTTAACTTCCCAGTCTTATGATTTCCAACTTTTAGTTGGTACGTTGCCTTCTTGGTAATAAAGAATTTTAGATTCCAGGAAGAGGACGGCTATGAGGACGACATTTAATTTTAAGTTTTCTCGTCTATTCTCTAAAAATAGACACCCCGGAAATCATCATTGTACTTTTTTTTACGACCAAAGTTAGTTCTGTTATTTCCGTTGAAAGAGGTAAAGCCCTCTCCCGATCGCTAAATGATAAAATTCCTAATGACATTTGATAACTTTTTTTGGCCACTACGACATTCTCTCTAAATCCCGTAGTAGAATGACGAGGGCCATTACATTTTCCCGCCAAAATGACGTTGGGTCGTATGCGCGCACTCCTTATTATTGGGAAAATCTTGTAGTCGTTCTCATCTTAGAATCTAATAAAAGTTCTCTAATTTCAAGGAATCAACTCAATTGGGAGCTTGCTATCGTTACATTGGGGACATTCCGCTACTTTCGCAATTTAGTGTACGTTGAAACTACGAAGTCGTGTTTCGATTTTAGGAGTCGTCGCTTTTGAAACTTTGCTTTCCGGTTACTTGTTACAAGTAGACTCAGTATCATTTTATGTGGTGTATTGAGAAATACCGGTTTGCTTTTAGTGAAGCCACTCGCGACATTTTTATTGCCATATCTCACTCGTACGTATATCCGGTAAACAAGTGAAATGAAGCTTAAGATAGTGGAACATACATTAATGGGAATTCTTACTCTTTTTATATCATATTCAGCAGAGCTGTAAATAAAAGCGGTTGTCGGACCCGTTGTCTGACTGGCCAGTCTTAACTGGTGGTCGCACATGACGTCTGGACAAAATTAATACCGGGCTATAACTTTACAAATCGATAAAATCTACCTCTTTAAGCACATGTGAATAACCTTGCAGTGAATATATGGTAGTAAGTGTCGCCATGCACAAATTTCTTTGAAGACACTTAGTGTGTCCTGGATTGAGACACACCAAACTTTTTTTTGTCTTACCAAAATACTGACTCAGTGGCCGGTCATACGTGTTATGAAGAAAGAAAAAATATTTGCAGCTTAAATTTTATTTTAGATCATAACCAAGGTCACTGTTGAACGAAGAAAGTACACGGAGGCGTATAGATCGTTTTCACATGACGTCACGGCGGCCATATTTGTGTACAAAACAATGAATCGGCGGCCATCTTTGTGTACAAAAAAATCCTGTGGGATTTGAACTCTATTCACATGATAAAACTTTCTTTTGTTCCAAGCAATTTGCAAAACTGCTGACCACGTGACTGAAAACGATCTATTTTAATGGTAGTGTATTTAAACTAATCAAGTTTCCTACTGAAGTACAAACGTGTGAATAGAAAAATATGCAGATATATGCATAAAGGGACATCAATATGTGAGAATCTATCAATAATTACAATAGGATGCAATCATCACAGTCACCGAAACCAGGATTATTTAGAATCAATTTTTGAGGTTTTTCTTTTCTTTTATTCCTTAATTCATTTTGAAGCATGAATTCAGTTTTTTGATACCCGTTCCTGTTTCTAGTAATGGCTGTTAGTGCCGGGATTACCTTGGTCTCACTTTGCTGCGTCTTGTGATTTGCCAACATATTGGCGCCAGTTTGTTCAACCAATCACAAATAAAACTTAAACCAGCCGTGACTTGCTTCCTTTTGTTTTCCCGCCCTTAGCGACAGATATTTACTTTGTACTCTGATTGGTTCATTTGATTTTGTTGACTTTCTCCCAGGTAGGCTACTTTGGTTAAGGGTTGGGTTACGTTGCTTACAGAACACCACTCTGAGAACAAACAAATATTTAAAATATCGCAGATTCTCTGTTTAAAAGTTTTTCGGTCCTTATCAGAAACACACTTCAGTTTCACTGAACCTGACCAGAGAAAACCACTGCACTGATTTTATTTGGCATCTGTAAATGGAAGCTCGAACACTTGTTAGTCATGCAAGTAGATGTTGGTTACGAATCAGGGAATGACTGGATGTCTATGGTGTGGTTCGGTGTTTTCTTGGATGATTTTTAAATCTCTGTCAGTCTGTGAGTAGTCTCTCTTTTAGTGGAAGCAAGTGGCGTTAAACGCGATAGTTAATCCCAAGTGAGAAGAGCCGGCCGGGAGAAGACCCGGTGGGGACTGGAGAGACCGTCTCCCTCCGGATGGTAACTCCTCACGTAAAAGCCCACGAAAATCCGTCGGCTTGAATCCTGCTCGCAGGCTGTATTCTTTTCTGTTTTATAATCATTGTTGTACATTGGGACTACCACGCAAGTTAAATAAATTTCAGTTTTTCCTTTTTACTGAAACTGTGAAGGTTTACTTGACAAAGAGCACCTTGTGAGATATGGTATTTTGACGCTTGTGTAGAGCTTATTTTCCCTGGATCCACCTGGCTCACTTAGCAAGCAATGGGAGGAGAATGGTGTTCATTAGCTTTGCATCAGAAACGCCGACAGCAGACTATCTTGTCGCTCAAGCAGAGCTCGCGGATCATCCATTTCAACAATTCTTCCTCCCTCCATAACAACTACACGGTCGTAACATAAAACTGTTTCAAGGCTGATGGGTTTATATTCAACAGTGATCACCGTGCAATAACCTAGCTGCTTCTTCAAGACATTGCGTATTATTCGTAACGTGCTTAAGTTGACATTTGACATGATTTCGTCAAAAATAACGATACGCCTCATCTGCAGAAGAACGCGGGCAATGGCCAAGAGCACCAGTTGAGAATATGTAAAGAACGATGGCTGAGTCATGATGTAATCTAACTGCCTGGAGAGTTGCTGTACATAATCTTTCATCTGCACAGCTTCCAGAGCACTCCATAGCTCTTTATCCTCATGGATTCCTTCTGGGTCTAGGTTGGTTCTAAGAGAGGCCGTGAATACGAATGGTTCTCGCTGAACCACGCTGAAGACACGCCTCGCTTTTTGAAGATTGACTAATTTTAATGCTATTTCATCCACTAGCACTTCTTGGCGTGATTCGTTTAAAAGCAGCATATTATCCACAAGATAAATCTTGCTGGCATTTCTTTCGCCTATGACAAGGATCTTTTCACCTGGTGCCATGTACAGAGTCAATGTTTGGAAAGACACTCGCCGACGAGGGGTGTGCGCCATTATATCATCACTGACGCTCACAGAACCTTTACTCGGCCAGTCTTCGGGAGTGTTCGTGATATTATCGTAACCGACTTCGGGATGGAGGTCAAAGTAACTGAAGAGTCTCGCCGTGGACACCATGCCCTGCTCAATATCAGTGAAGAGGATCGGAATCAAAGCGATTCCTACAACCAGCTGTCTATCGTACGTTAATGATAGTGCTACAAGAGCTAAAAAAGGAGAAGCAAAACATATTATGTCTTTAGTTCCTGCAAAAAGATTAAATTCGAGGTGTATGCAGGCCTCTCAATTTCTGTGGGGCAAACATATTGTTATGAATAGTCTTTCAGAATTGCTGAATGTACAGTCAAGCCTAAACATGAAAAACTGTTTTTAAAAGGGACTATAATAATTTGATAAGCAGAGGTCACTGAATACAACTCTGTGGTGGACTTGGCGTTTGTAGTATTACTTCCCGCCATACTCGATCCTACTGCTTACGCTTCTGGCTTATCTCCCTGGTGGTCATGCGCAGAAGTGAGAGCCCTAGCTTGGTGAAGACTGTTTAACTACATGGTATGGCGAACAAAAGTACCGCCCCCCATCTGTGTACTAAAAAACGCGCCGTGATTGGCCGGCTAAAAAACCATTGTCAATTTGCCATTCAGGTTGAAGGAAAATTTCGAAACGCATTTCCTGTAAGCCCAGAACAAGGATGTTGGCGCTGCTTCGCAGACGTTACTAACCGGGGTTAGATTACGTCTTCAACGCAGGCTACTTGAGGACGGGCACTGGGCACTGACGTATGTTTTGTTTGCGCATAATCTTAACACTAGCTAAGTAAGGTAGGTCATATGATGTTCTCGAGGACACTCTTCGCCTTTTCATAAATTGTGCGTACATGTGCACGTGAATGAGACGAAATTTGAAAGAAACATTTCTTCAGGATAATATCACATGATCTGTGTTGAGAAAACAAAACAAACATGCGCCGGGGTGCACGCCAGTCACTGGTACTCATTTGTACACTTTGGGTAAGTGAAAGAGTTGAGTTGTCTCGGGAAACAACACATCCTTCAGTCCACTTACTGACATAGATTTACTTACTTATGTCGCTGGTGAAGATAACGATGACGGTAGCTAAGCACATAAACAGTGACGTCACTAACAAGTGTCTCAGTGCTAACCACTGCTCAGCCGCTGACCTCGTACATACTGCCGTCGTGTACTGATCATATAACCTAAAAATATACATTATGTAATATAATTATATAAAGTATTTTTTGATCCATATATTTTTAGTTGCGGGTTTTATAGACGTGCTGCAGTTCATTGTCATCAGGTGTTTACGGAGAGTTAGGGAGAACGAATTCGACTAAAGACAGTGGAAAAAGCATACTGCAGATACTGTCTGTTTTTTTACTTTTGTTAACTTATCACTGCGCATATTAAAAAAGAATGGACCTTTTTACCAATAAGGCGGCCATATTGAATAAGTTAGACTTAAGGAGGATTTTACCTTAAAGTTTTCTTTCAGAATAAAATTCTGATGGAAAAAAAGATCGTTGTGCCGTGTTAGGATGTAATAATGATCGCCTTTTTCCCGAGAAATATACAGTGAAAAACCATATTTCTAATACTAAGCGAGTACAACGGATCTTGTTCATGCCCCCCTGGGCATCCGATAATACTCTTTAAATCGAATTAATTTAATATGGCCACCGTATCGGTAAAAGGGTCTATTATGAAAAATCATGAAAAAGGAGGTGATCTAACCTGTAAAACTCATTTTCGAAGTTTATTTCCTTCTGGTAAGCCCTGATCGTGACCGCTCCGGCAATGGTATCAGAAAAATGGGTCAGGAAAAGGTTTAAACTTCTGCTCTCAAGGTTTCTTGCTCTTCGCTCTAAGCAGAGATAATACCTGCCCAACAGCAACAGAATGATTGCAGCGGGAACAGCGGCAAGTATCGCCCATGGAGTGGTGATCTTGATGATTATAACAGCTGCAATGTGTTCAATAACAGAATGGAGGAACCGTAGGATGTCAAGAGGGAGCTTCTCATCCAGGCATTCCACGTCTTTGGAAAACGTCTTTAGCAATTTTCCCTGTGTTAAAAGCATGACACATCGACGGTATTACATTGAGCGGTACGCTCTATGACGGTTACTTTGTGTTGAAACACTCTCAGACAGAATTGGTAAAATACCTCACGATTGATCAGTTGCAATTTAAACTAGAATGTGTACTATTTATGCATCTCGCTTACCCAAACCAAATACCCACTTCTGTAGTAGTTTGTCCGTCTTTTTTGCAAAGCATGAACGCTGATGACGTCATGACTAAAATGGGCAGGGATCAGGTGATTTACGCCTCGGGGTATGACAAATTATGGGCTTTTTACAAAGGCAGGTGAATGAGAGTTAAACTCGAGAATGCTGGGAAGATTTTCAGCTAGTGACATGTAGCACCAAAAGCCACACGGCCATGCTGCTTCCTCGATGTTTTAGTTGTAGAAATTCTTCAAATTTTTGGCATAAAAGATTATAATCACAGAAACCTTGGGGCACCTAATAGGGTGGGTATGACGCTAAAGAGCTTTTAAGCCAATTATCCCAATTATCTGAATCGTTGATATGCTACAAACTTTATTATAGTGTAAGTTCGTATTTCAAATTTGTCAATCTTTCTCGAGCCATACCTGCTTGTCTGCCTCAAAGAGTTGAACAGGTGCCTTCAGTAGCGACGATATCGCTTTCTTATGTATTCTCTTAGAAGATCTGAGCCCACACAGAAATAGAAAAGAAGCTCTTATAAGCAGCAACAGCAGGAACGCTCCTACAAGGACTGTCGCCGTGTAAAAGTGAACAAGATCTTGCTGGTTTTCCAGTGATAGGCCCGAAATTCGTGCAAACCAAAGCCCGAGGGCCGCGAGGATGGCTGAAAGAGAAAAGAGAGAGGAACAATAAATACACCAAAAAAAGAAAAAAAAATAGTCAAGTCAATTTCCAAGTGACGAATAATTTTTTCATGCAGTAGTAATGTACGAGGTGGTTCTAACTTTTCAGTTGCACAACTATTCGTATCAAAAGTATTTTGCAGTGATTTGTAGTTAAGCTTCGATTTATGGGTGCTACTCAAATTTTGAGCTGACTGCTTTTCAGTGGTGCTGATTAAAGCGTTTGAGGTCGAGGCTCTTCCATCTGGACAGCCCACTCCCTAGCCTCACTCAAACCAGTAATTTTCGGCCAGTGAGGTGTGTGTGTGTGTACGCTATAGCATAACACGAACCTAGAAAGCCTTTATTAATTATCACCACATTGCTGGAACTGTCTGAAACTTTTAAAACCAAACTTCTAAAGGGCGAGAACTCCTCCTGGCGTTGCGCAAAAATAACGCTTGTATCCAGTAACTCTTTAACCAACCAACCAATTAATCAATCAATCATTTTACCCTCTGGTATGACGCAAATGATGTGCACAGGCAACAGCTCGCCCAACCCCCTACCGCCAAGGTAGAGTGATACATACCTCCAGGTGCAGGCACCAATATTAATCCAATAACTAACAGCAGTGGGAAGAACCCTGCTTGCTTAGCATATGTTAAGTAAACAGTAAATCCTTCGTTTTCGTTAGTTTCATCACTGTCTGGGTCCGTGTCAACTGACTGGGTTCTTTTAGACTGTGGATCGTTAAACGCCTTCTCCTCACTTTCTTTCTCGTTGTCGCTGTTTGATAACCAAGAGAGATCATCACCCGACTCTCTAATCTTAGCAAAAGATCCTTCTCTTACAATAATTCCTTTTGTCATGAATAACACGCGAGGAGATCTAGCAAGGAAAAGTTCTCGACGTGTGACCAATAGTTTTAAGCGAGGTGCTAGAAAACCTTCGATGCAATCATCAAATATCTGATTTGCTAGCAAAGTGTCAAGGTGACTGACTGGATCGTCCAATAAGATTATTGAAGCAGTCGAGTAGGCCGCGCGTGCTAGATTTATACGTTGCCGCTGTCCGAGAGTCAATTCACTTCCGCCTTCACCAATGTACGTGTTTTCAGCACTGGGTAAGACTGCTACATCTTCCCCTAGTTTACACGCTGTTATTACGGCCAAGAAACGTTCCTCGTTATATGGATCTCCAAAGAGGATATTTTCGCGAAGAGTTCCAGAAAATATCCAAGGCTTCTGCCCAACGTATGCTATCTTTCCATCGTGAACTACACTGCCTTGGATCAGTGGTACCTCCTTAAGTATGGCTCCAAGTAACAAGGACGTACCAGCCCCTGCCTTAGGGGGTCCTGTGATGGTCACAAGTTGAGGGCCTTCAAAACTGCAGGTTATATAATTGAGTTCGATATCAGTAAGCCCATATTCACCCTCGCAGCAAACACTGCGTAATGAAAGATAAGGTGATCTATCAGAGGGACTGATTCCACTATGATGAGTAACGTTATCGGAGTGTGAATGTGATCTTCCTCTCCTGTTTAATCTATGCTCCGGACGACGAGTTGTGTTTTCCACAAATGAGTTAACTGGAAAGTCCAAAAGCAGAAACTGTTCTATTCTCCTGAGGCGAGCGAGGGTCCTTACAAGTGCCTCTACTCCTTTGACAAATGATTCACCACAGGAGGAATCAAGAATATACATCGTTAAGATAGTCAAAAACATATTAATGGCGTTGAGGTCTTTTCCACGCAGTGACAGCGTTGCTATGGATACAAGCGAGCTGATGATCGGAACAGCATGTTGGACGGATAACAGGGAGCCAAGAACCAAAGCTTTTCTTTTGATGTGATGCAGCTCTTTTCTTCAAAGAAAAATAGGTCGTGAATACATGAACAATCATTTGCTAAAAAAAGTGCTTGCTTACAGCTTTCTAATATGGGAAAAATGCAATAATAATATGTTGAGTCACGTGCATTTTTCCGCTTGGGACCGGGAAAATATCATTTTACTGTCCAATTTTACTTTTCAGCTGGTTTTCACGAATCAGAGAATTTATTTTTGAGTAAACAGCGGTAAAAGGCACAGAGTATTAAATACCAACCTTCGAACATCCTTGATAAGTCGCTTAAAAACTCCTTCCCAGGCGTTTATTTTGATAGCTCGAATGCCAGAAAGTATTTCACTGAGGAGGCGAAGCCGATGGTCCATGAAGAACACGGTATGTTGTCGCAGTTTTTTATAAACCCTGCCGATGCCACAGCGTAGGAGAGTGCACACTAACATATAAACGATCCCCATAACTGATTCCCAGCCAATCAGCACACTTAACAGTATAGAGAATACTACGAGCTCCACGGGGGCGGTGAAGAGGAATGGCACGAGTTGTGAACACTGATCAATCGGTTCCAAATCTTTTGATATCAAGTTGATAAGGTGACTTGTCGTGTAATCTGCTAGGTCGGTCTCTTTGAGTCGCAGCACCTATCAAACATATCAGTGTCACGGAGCAATGAATTTTCATGAAGAAAATCATACCATACAGAAATTAACAAAAAAGAAACTCTTCCATTACATGAATGAAATCATACTTCCAAAAAATTTTCTGCGTTTGCTTTCTTTGCTTCTAGCTTATCAAAGGAAGAAAAGTATTTAAGACAGAGAAAAAAGGTGGCATTAATAACGCTTTCAAATGAGAAAAATCCTAAGTGCCTGTTTCCGTTTCGGATAGTCGTGATAAGAGGTGGTCACATGAAGGGGCGTTTCACTATACCTGTTCATACAGCAAACCACTCAGACCGGATTTAACCGATGTACTTGTCAGATGCGTACAGAAGGAATAATGACTCCGTGCAAGACCCTCGGATGAGACTGCAAGCCAATATCCAGCGGTAACAACACAAATCCACGGTAGAGGTGAGCCATACAGCATCACAGGCTCAGAACTAAGGACAGCGGCAAACATGGTGGGCTGAAGAATACGGGCGCTGGCAATGATAATAAGCAACAAAAACTCACGCATGTACTCTTCACCAGAAATAAACGATAAAACAGCTTTCCACAACTGAGGGTCGGTTTCGCGAGAAAAAGCCTCTCGCTCGCGTTTAATCCACGCGCGACGCATATTTTCCGAGTTCTGCCAGGTTGAATGTTGCCCTGGAACAAATTCATCACATGACTTCTGATTAAGACCCAGCCTGCTGGTAACCCAGCCAAATGTACATGAGGTACGTAAGGGTACATCTTGAACTTTATTTCCTGTTTCTTCCTCGGGAATCCTGCTATAGATGTTTCTACCCCTGCTACGATACATGACGTTTTATCGTTGAATCTGCAATGAAAACAATCAAAATATTACAGTCGCATTCTCATGATTGAGTGAAATTTGCGAGTGCATTCCAAGATGTCACTAGGCCATTTCCGAGTTGAAAAACTATCACTTTCAAAATGAGGCCAAGTGTAAAATATTTGATGTGAAAATGAGCTTTATTTGCATAAGAGGATGAACGCACCAAGGATTTGAATAAAACTTCAAGCGTATAACGGGTGAAATCGTATTTCAATGGCTTTAGGAGGTTTAATTTTTTGGAAGCTTTTAGATTAATTTTTAAAAAATGCGCTCGCCAAGATAGGTTAGAAGACAAGATCAAACCAAGATGTTCATGAACTGTCACATCCTCAATAACACTATTGTTCAAAATCAAAGAGGGGTGTAAAGGCTTATCTATTTTTGCCGAAAAAAACTATAATCAACAACCACCGTTCAGCCCAATCAGATATTGATGTCAAGTCACGATTAAGCTTAGAAGCGCAATCACTGGGAGACTGAACTTTTTCCAGCAAAAAACAATAGTCGAAAAATAAAAAACAGCGAGAAGAGATTGTGACTGGTAGGTCATTAATGTAAATGCGATATTGTATTAATGGACCTAAGTTCGATCCCTGGGGGACACCAGCCTCGATATTACGCCAATCAGAATGCACTCCTTCGATTATCACTCTTTGTTTACGACAAGAAAGGTAACTTATAAACCAATTTAACAAATTCCCCTCAACTCCAATGCTTCTTAACTTGGCTATCAGACCGCGATGCCAAACTCTATCAAAAGCTTTGGATATATCAAGGAAAACTGCCCTCATCTCGCGGCCTTCCTCAAAGGCCTCATACATTTCGTGAACAATATATATACAAGTTGCATTACATTGGAATCCCCTGGAAGAAAACCACTTTGAAACTTATAAAAGAAACCAATCGCATTAAGAAAACTAAAATCTAAGATGAAAAAAAGCTACTTTCTCACAGATCTTAGATAGACATGGCAAAAGTGAACCAGGGCGATAATTAGTCTTCAGTTGACGGTGATCTTTTTTTTAATAACGGCAAAACATTTCCAAGTTTCCAAGCACTTGGATATTGACCAAGTCGAAATGAAGTGTTGATTAAACTTGTGAATGGTTTACAGAGACCCTCACTGAAATGTATTATAATCTTATCACTTATGCCGTGGTAGCCAGTAGCTTTTGAAATGTTAACAGATGACATAAGGTTACGAACCATTTCTTCATCCGCAGTGATAACAGACAAGCAGTCTGATGACCACCGAGGGAGAAAAGGAATTTCAGCGGAGTAACTATTTGGTACAGTAGCTTGACTCGCGAAATAATCATTAAAAACGTTAACTTTTTCTTTTAAGTTTAAGTTTAAGTTTAATAATTCTTTTTACCAATGTACAAAATAAAAATATATATACATATATAAAAGTACAATAGGTAAAGGAAAGCAATATTGGGAAACTGAATTCCCATATAAAAACTGCCCTCCAAAACGAAAAGATAAAACAATTAAGAATAGAAAACTAATACATAACTATACATCACGTGATACTAAGAGAAAAAAAAACAACTAAATAAACTACTTAGATATTAAATAAAAAAGAAAATCCAAATTCAGTAGGAAATAATAAACATATGACTATTTACAAAGATAATTAAGTAATAAAGTTTTAAAAGAGTTCAAGCTGGAAGCAGACATAACGGAGTTTGGTAAAGAGTTCCAGTCATTAACGTAACGATTAAAAAAATGAAAATTTAAAATAGTTTGTCCTTGCTGCTCTAGGCCTGATTTTAAAGTCATGGTTTCCTCTAGTTCTTATCGGGCCAGTCAGATCCACATATGTGGTATAATCAATATCAGAATAGCCATGAATTATCTTGTAAAGTTGAACCAGGCAAAGGTATTTTCTTCTAAGCTCCAATGTTGACCAGTTTAGTTCAGTGAGCCTTTCAGTGTAAGAATTATGAGATCCACATATCAATCGAGTAGCACGACGCTGAATTTATTCAATACTGTGTACGTGTTTAACCAAATATGGATTCCACACTGGGCAGGCATATTCCAGAACAGGACGAACTAAAGCGATAAAAGCTGTTTTGATTGGCACAGGATCTTTAGACCCAAACGTTCTCCTTATTAGACCCAATACTCGATTTGCCTTACCAACGATGTAATTGATATGAGCGTCCCACCTTAAAGAAGGTTCAATCCAAATACCCAAGTGCTTATGTTTATCAACAGCCGACAGATCATTCTCATTTATCACATACTGGACTTGGTAACATGTAGAGCCTTACACTTTTCCGACTTCAGCGTGACCTTCCACAAGTCACACCTGGAGGCGGCAGACTAGCCTGCGTAGCAAGCGTTTCCGTGCGGTTTAGGAGCAAAGAACGAGGAACGATTTGGCTCTTGTTTCATTTCTCGCGCGGCCAAAACCGAGAATCCCATTCCACGGTCTTTCTTTGCTCCGAAACCAAACGGAAACGCTTGCTACGCAGGGTAGCGGCAGACAATCATCTACAGATGCGATCTTACGATAGACTACACTGTCATCAGCAAAAAGCTCTGTGCTACAGCTTACACTAAGGGGGAAGTCATTTATATACAGCAGGGAAAGAAGTGGCCCTAATATACTCCCTTTTGGATCAGATATAAAAAAATCTCCTTCGAAGAACGCCAGGATAGCCGAGTAACACTTATTACCATATATAGATTTTGTAATACACCACCATTTTTTGGAAGAAATTGCTGGATCAAGAAGAGCTTGGTTAGTCTTTGTATTATAATTAATCTTCGCTTTCCTGACAAGACTAACTACTAAGTTCCTCTGAACACGATAACAATCCCAGGATGTAGGCCGGTGATTTACTGATTTGGAATAAGTTTTTAAAAGACGATCACGCTTTTGAACGGCTTTAGGGATCTGACCAGTCATCCATGGTTTGTCGCGAGGTCGAATAATCACTTTCTCATGTGGCATGAAAGACTCAACTGTGTTTAACAAGATACAAAAAAAAAAATAATAAAATTTGCATAGATAATCCAGTGATCACAGTTGGCTGGCGGACTGAGAGTACCAGAAGAAACAAAAAAGCCAGGCGAGTCTGATAAGATAAGGTCAAGAATGGACTCACCAGACCAAGTAATTCGCGTTGGATTATCTACAAGTTGATATAGATTGTTGCTTTTCAAATCTGTCTGTTGAAAACTCTGATGCCAAGATCGGTGTTTGGCGATGAAGGGTCACCATAATTAAAGTGAGCATTGAAATCGCCTTAAAGAACAAGTGGAACAATAGCTGAGAAGATTTGGCCGCAACTTTTAATTATCAAAGCTCATTTCTAAAGACTCAAAAAAGGCCTTTTCCTCATTCGCTTATTGATTAGATGGACGATAACAAACTCCGCAAAGAAAAACAAAATCATTAACACTGCATTGAACCCAGAGGGGTTCTAAACCAGTAGAGTATCCAAACTCAACAAGTCTTTTAACTGCAATGTGATCTTTGGCATAAATTGCCACACCTCCCCCACGCTTCCCGACCCTATCTTTTCTCAAGGGTAAACTATAACCAGGAATGAGAATAGAGTCATTAGATACGCTAGAATTCAACCACGTTTCAGAAAACACAAAAACATCAAATCCATACAAACAAGCCAAAACAGAAATTTCGCTGGCTTCTAACATTTCAATGAGCGATTGAAAAGTTTAAAATACTGTTGGGCCCAGGATTAGGATGAGCTGAACCTGACATCAATAATAAAAAAACTAAGGCTCAGCATTAAGACCAAAAGAATAACAAGAAATAAAATTGGGAGCAAAATAACAATACTACACGAAGTAAACTTAAAACGATTAAAATGGTCCAATTGCTGCTCTGTATTGATCTAGACTAACCTCCATCAATAAAAATAATGAATTTTAAAGAGCTTATTTCCAGCTGCACAAAACACATAGCAATATACTGAATATACTGTACGTAATAAACATCTACTAAAACATAAATTAACAGCAGAGACAATAACAGTTCGTGGAGCCGGCACACGAAGGAAAAATACAAAAGTTCATTGAGCGGTGGCAGCATCCTGGACTGTGTTGGGAGCTTTTTTGTTCAAACCATAATGTTCGAGGTCATCACTCTTCACAAATTCATGGCATAAACTGACCCAAATTACCCACAAATTACTCCACTCCACACACACCAGATGCCAAAAAACTTAAAAAGATTTCATAACAAACGACGAACAAACGAAATAAATTGTAACAAATACACAGAGCTCCAAAACACACGTCCGATCGCGACGTTCAGGTGTGAAGAAATTGGATAATTCCGTTCAAATCGTCAAGATTACTGGTCACGCATGACGGAGGAAAGACTAGGAAAGTTGTCCCGGGTAGGCGTGTTATCTCTAGCAGAACGTTTACAAGGCAGGTAGAGTAACCCTCTTGCACTAGGATTACCCTCCCTCCTTGTAAACAGGGCCAAGTAACCGGTCTGCATAATAAAACATTCAGCACTGGGATTATTTTGTTCAAGTTGCATAATGTTTATGCTCGTGTCCACAACCATTTTTCAAAGCAACTCGTCTTGAGCTAATAAGAACATCTTCTCATTTTCATTGTTGAATTGTGCTATCACAACAACGGTGAGCCAAACTGGGAGATTGCGGGGTCCTTATTGTCAAAGGGTGCAACGAACTGTTTAAAGTTCATTTCCCTTTAGCTTAGAATAATTGACCACTCCAGAAAATACCATAACATACCACAATGCTCTTTGTTTGTCACCCAAATTTTGCAGAAGCATTGTTTTTAGTTTCTCTTGGGGCCATTTTAATTTCCAAGAGGTTTTGTTTGTCACCCAAATTTTGCAGAAGCATTGTCTTTAGTTTCTCTTGGGGCCATTTTAATTTCCAAGAGGTTTAACTGAAGACAATGCTTATGCAAAATTTTGGAGTGACAAAGAGCATATGGTATGTTAAGGTATTTCAGGAGTGGTCAAGAATAGTGGTTAAAATTTCCTACTCCGTCTCGTCCTATTTACAAACATTTCAAACATGACTTCGAAGAAATCTGAGGTGACACGAAGACTGAAAAGTTTATGGAATGACTGAAAAAAAGGAAGCATTTTTGAATAAATGGACCATTCTTCTTCGAAGGATATAAAAATAAGCAAGGCAGGTATTCGGTGAGAAACATCCTTCAGTCGATTTCGACTGTCTGATGGAAAGATTGAAGTATGGCAAATCATTCAGTTAAGCATATGAATGTCATCTTTAAACTCGCGCGCACATAAGGATTTCTGGAAGGAAGCGTATAATGACAGGAAAACATAGTCAAAGAAATTGCACTCACGCAAGTAGTAGAGATCCTGTTTCAGTAAGTAACAGATTTCCACGCACGTCGTTTGGAAAAAAGAAACTAACAATGTGTTCTACCCATTCTAGTAATTCTTGGAAAGTAAATTCTCTACTGTTTAACTTCGGTTTCGAGGGAACAGTGGTGTTCCTGAAAAGAATACTGCGAGCTGGAGGGCGAGAGAGAATTAGAAATACCTCAAAAGCTGGCAGTATTTTGGTACACACTTAAGGTTTTCAGGGATGAGAATAAGTTTCTACCTGCATTCATGGATTAGGCGCGTTCTGATGGGAAAGATAACTGCTTGTGTACCAGTCGGAAAACATGCTGACAGAAGGTTGAATTCTTAGCATCCGATTGGTAGTTGTTAGATTTTCAAGGTGTAGTGCATGCAAAGGAATCAAAGCTAAAAAGAAGGCAAGTTTAACAAAATGCATCGAACTGACTGTTATTGGTTTCCAGCGATTTTAATGCCACAAGACACGCATGACTGGGAAAACTGTTTCGCGGAACTAATGTTTAGCCAGGCAAACGAGTCCTTGCAATGAGCTGTAACCAAGAGTGAATAAGACAGTCCAGCTACAAGTAATGACCAAGTCAAACGTTCTTGCAGTATGTGGCTTGTATGCGTCTTTCTCGATATCTACTATTCGCAGCGCATACCCAATTACCTCAAGTTCCCCAGAGTAAACTCTTCAAGTAGTCTATCGATCTGGGGAACCGGCTGATAGAGCAAAAACATTAACAAGCTCTCCTGAAAAGAAACAAAAAGGTTTACCTGGAGTTGTAAAAAGCGAAGCAGTCGAGCCAGGGGCAGCATTTTCTTTTGAAATAGTTATAGCAGCACAGAGTTGACAAATGTCTACATAACTTGCAGATCGGATCGGCTCCACCTCGAGGATTTCGCTTTCAGAATAGTGAAACAAAGAACATGAATACATTTAGGAAATCCCTTGAGCAAGAACACCCAAGAGCTTTAACAAACAAATGAATTTCCTTTCAGAACTAAGAACCTCTACGAACACAAAACGAGAATGAAACGAACAAAAAAAAGTTAACCGAACAAAAAGAATTCTTAATACCCTTTATTCAGAGACTTAATGGGAAACATAGTTGAAAAGCGCCGTAAATTTCATTTAAATGAAAATTCCAGAGAACAAACAGGGAGAAAGTTTTAACTTAAACCGATATTTATCAGTTAATGAACAGTATTCTCTCCGCTGCAGAATCGCGTCGACGAAAATACAAAATACACTCCCCTACCTGGCGATCGACGAAGTACCTGCACATATTCTTTTCAACTCAGTGACCCCTTCATTGAGGCATTCTCTTGGGTAAGTAATTAGTTGTGCTTAAGTAGACGAGTCTGGTTTTCTCTTACAAAAGAAACTTGCATACTAACAATTAAAATTGTGAATGATAAAAAATAATTACTCAGTACCGGCTCTTTATACGGTTTAGCCCGATTAATCAGGCTTTTCTATAGGTGACCATGGAGGAAGGGTAAAAACAGCGAAAAACTCTACACCCCAGCGTTCGGCGGCCAACAGGACACATTCCTATTTCATACACATCTTCACCAGGCAATTACGCCGTCCCTCTCGAATTCAGATTTTCGCCTTTGGTCAACCTTGAAGAGAATCTTAATGCGGGCGTCGTTGATTTTATAAGCTTAGAACCTAGACTTTTACAATGCAGCTCAATCCTGAAGTTTTTCTTAGAGGACAACCTTTTGTATTTGTTCCCACGGGAACCGAACTGACGGGAGGTTATTGAGAGTATTAAGATAAACGTTGTTCTCTTTTTGAAAAAATAAACTCTGTTAATTAACAATTATTCCACGAGTGCGCGTTGGATATGAGTTGGCTATAATCATCTCATATCCAACAAGCGCGAGTGGAAAAATTGTTTTATTAAAAACGTCCACAAAATACCGAGAATTCTTCCCGACTTTATTTGTAACAACAACCGATTTTCGGCTTGTTTTTAATTTTGAGCAGACGTGTACAGTTACCATATTTGCAGAGCATTGGCTCATATACCATGATGGCTAAGCCAGTCAAAGCTCTAGAATTGCATTATCCAATGATTCAGTTTTTAATAATAGCGTTTATTTAAAATGCTTTAGAGACTAGTGCAAATAGACTAATTCTTCATTTATCCTAGAAGTATTTACTAAAGACAAATATTGTAAGATTTGTGTACTCAACAAATTGATACATATAATTAAGTAAATGAAATAAATGAGCTATTCATCATTTTCTGGCAACTGCTCCGAACTTTATCGCTAAACAAAACATAAAAGTTAAAGGTACTGATTGCATTTAAAATGAAACAATTAATTAATTCATTGATATTACTTAAAATGAAATTGTAACACTAATAAATGATGATCAAGACGTTTTTGCCTTCACTAATTCTCAAACTCATGTTAAAAGAACTTCACAGACATGGGGAGCAAGCATTCTTTATTTGTTAAAAGTTAAGAATTTGAGCTCTTTTTAGGTATATTTGCAGTACAGAGATTAAGAGTCACGTTTACGGCAAACGTCAGTTTCCAGTTGCAAATTTCTCAGAACAGAACATGAACAGATAAAAACAATACAAACAGAAGAAATAAACAGTAAACGACAGTTAAAGGGAAAACTTGTTGGTCACGGGGTAAAAATTCAGGATTGCCGTTTGCTCTAACCGCGACTTTAAATCTCTTTTGCTCATCAGAAGTTCTTGACTATACAGTCACTTGAACAAAAGTTTCTTTTTCAACACACTAAAATAGTATGAAGCAAAGCAAAGGAAAAATTAAGAACAGCAAGTGGTTGAAAAGAGCAAGGATTTAAAGGAATTGAATGATCGGTCGGTATGCTCCCTGTCAGCAATATTTGCCACTCTTTTTGCTCTATCCTCTATCAATGTCTGAATTTTTTAAGCAAAATGTTCAGTTTCTGCAGAGTCTGCAAATTCGTACAATGCAAATTCTTAGCGTTTTATTTATATTAATTTCATCATAATCTATCAATATATTAATGACTTTCATCAATACTGCTCGTCTAGCAAGATATATTTTTTCTTTTTTATACGATTTTGTCTAAATTGATAGACAGTTTCATCCAACATTTCGGATTAATTGAAAATTTCTGAATTCCTTGGCGTAGTCATATTCACTTTTGTTAAACTGTTCTGTAATGACAACCACAACAATGATTACAGAAACATGAGGTTATTGCTTGATATTGTCAACAGAAACGTTTTCAAGAAAAGTGCTAACTTTGATATAAAACTTAAAAATGTGGGGCAAGCAATCTTATTACACTTGCTTCAGATTCTATTAAACAGCAAAAATCAGCTTAAAATGTACCTGGTGTAATGTTCCACTAGATTTAAATTTTCATTGGAAGACCAATTGATAGTATAAAAAATTCCACTACTCCATTTCTAAAATATTTAAAAACAACTTGCACAATTCCAAAAATAAGCTATTAAATAGAATTTTGTCCACAGACACAAAAGTTCAAACTCGTAAATGTCGAAAGTGAAATGGTTCAGTCAATCAAGGTACAAATTGTGCTTTAGCAGCTGACAACGCAAATTTGATACTATTACTTACAATATTATTTATCTTGAATAAAAGTTATTGCCCATGGAAGTATGCCAACATGGTTCAATGGAGCAGGGTTTTACATCATCCACCACGCCAATAGTAGGGTGGTCCGTGCATTGTTTATCCAGGCACACCAATGTTAACTCTGTATATTGTGTCTCCTTTGCCTTCAGTCAGCTTTCTGCAACAAAACCTAATACCTCCACTCTGGTGCACAGGAAATCTGAAGTCTCCGTGAGCTGCTCATTTTTAAATGTCTGACCGGGACCACTGTGTCCTCGACATAGTTCATTGTCCAACCAAATGGCATGATCACCCCCACTGAAAACAATAATGATGACGATAATTACTTCAATGAACCCTTTCTCACACTTTCTTTATTCATAGCATTATTGCCTTGCATTGTGTGTTTGCATTCTACGTAGGTATGTTCACGATATTTTTATATTATGTGAAGTTTTACACCAACATTTAAAATTTTAAATTAACATTAACATTATTTAAATTTTTACTTCAATGCTTGGTAATGCTGGTGAGACTTGTTCTAATAAGGGGACAGGGGGAATAGAAATTGATAAAAACAGAAAACTGCATACTGCACAATGATAAAAAAGGTGTGCCTCAGTTTGTGAATAGACCAACACAGCAATACTAGAAACTGACTGAAGAAACAAATATGACACTCACCAAAGCACTTTTATTTTTAAAACAACAAACACCAAACCCTAACAAAAACAAAACCCAATGACTGCTATGGAATTGAAAACCATCCCATCTTTCCTGGCTGCAATGCAGAGAAGGTTTACTCTTTGAACTATTTTTCAGATCGAATGAAGTGTTTTCATTGGTGCTGATTAATTTTAAAGACTTAGGTACTGATGACCACGTTATCTCAGGTTACACCAGATTGATCAGTCTAACACCAGAACAGTGCATTGGTCAAGTTTAGGTTTTGTTTACATACCCTCCTCCCACCATGAGACTTTTATCATCTCCAGCCATAAACAGATCTGTTGTTTTGGATCCATCCTCCAGTAGTCCACTCCACAAATACCTGATAGGTCTGGGACTCAGTCGGAAAACAAAGCTTTCTCCAGTTCCAAAATAAGTCAATGTCTTGGGTCCGCTGTTTCGCTCACTCCAGCTCATGGTCACAAAGGCACCAATGATCTGTTGTCAGGAAAGATGAAAATTTGTCATTCCTTGTAGAAAGCCTTCAATGTTTTGTAACTTACATAGCTAGAGATAAACGAAATTTATTATTATATGAACACCAACGAAATACCAGGTGAGTTTTTGCACGAAAACTTGATATTTTCACATTTGAAAATAACATGTTATCTTCACATGTGAAAATATCACCGTTGCCATGGCTTCATAATAAATCACGCCTTCCACACCAAAAAACTATTAAAGTGAAATGGTTTGGTATTTCATTGGTGTTTATATAATAAATAGAACATTACATGGCCGCTTGGAGATACGAAATTTCTCTTCTCATGTTGAAAAAATATTTCACTCGTCCACTGCGCTCACTCGCGAAATATTTTTCAACACTCAAAGACAAATTTCACATCTCAGCACTTGTTTATGCCATGTTGTTTGGTCACCTATAGTGCGGATAATAAGGCATAATGACTGGCATTTCAGGGGAGGGACACCAGTACACCGAACCCTTACTAACAAGAAACTCTTCAAAATAATACCCCAAATTTTAATATCTTTTCTTGACGTTTACTTTTTGGAAAGGGACTGATGGAAATTTTGACATCTAACAATATTATATTTTTCAAATGCTACGCAATTCAGATCACCCTTATAAGCCACTTTAATTACTGTAGGTCTGAGGAAAAAAATAACAACCCAAAATGAACCCTGAACCCTCACTAACACAAAACTCTTTAAAATAATACCCCATTCTAGAAATACCCCAAATTTCAACATCTTTTTCTTGATGGGAAGGTCTGAGGAAAAAAAATGAATGGCCCTTCTTGACAAACAACACAAAATGTCATTATGGTTTCAATGTTATTAATCTTCTGAGAATTAAAAACTTAACAGGAGGCTGTTTTTTAGTACTGAACAGATGCATGACATTTGCTCACCTCACCAACAGAGGACTTGACTAAAAGTATTGTTTCATCATCAGCCTCACATTTGTTATATAGAGTTCGAATACTGATACATGAAAGAAAATGTTTACGTTTCACTAAAGTGAAATACAAGGTTAATGACAATATATTAACTGTACTGTTAAGCAGTATATGCAGTTGGATAAAGTAAAGAAAGTAATGTTAAAGCTTGGAGTATGATAATAAATTGCTACATTGACCAATTGACCCACTTCAGTTGTTGGGCATTTTAGTTTCTAATACCAACAGACTTTTATCACATTCCTGTAAAAAAGCACCAACTTGAAGCTAGGATTGATGAAAAGCAGTAAAACAGTTAAACTTATTTGCATGAAACTGACAATGAACGCAAGCCTCTATCTTATTTCATTGTGGGTGCTCACTGGAGCTGAATGAAGGAAAAGACTAATATAATATTTTAACCTATCATCCCATAAAGTGAATAATGGTTAACCAATCAATCAATCAATCAATCAATCAGTTTATTATTTATTTATTATTTTTATCTGAGACAGAAGTTTATGTTAAAAATGCACAACAGAAGGATAAGTCTGGTATAGCTACCATATAAATCGGATAGACAGGAATTTGCAAATTGAAGGAGAAGCATACAATATCCAGGGAGAGAGAGTCAGGCTGTACTTCCCTTGTGCATTTTGAGGAATCATAAAAAATTATAAATGAATTGTTTCCAAGATAAAAGTAAGAATTGGTTTGAGAAAAATAAATACCTGCATCCATCACTGTCTGTTGTAAACAAGCAAACAGGCTTTCTGATGCGAAGTCTGTCAGGTAACCATGAAGATAATAACTCCCACTAAAAATTGAAAGTATTGGATAAAAACACTCACACACATGTATAACCAGTCAGCTCTCCCTAGGAAAGTGCCTCCTAAATCAAACACAGCGCTGGCCAACTTAAACACAAAACTGCAATTTTGTCAGCTGAGTTTGCCAAGGTGCTTTGGATGCCATAAAGGATTAAAAAGCTGATATTTTGTCCCACATCTGAAAGCAACTTGTTTATGACACTTGACACAAGCTGCACTCGCATAGCTTTAAGTTCTGACTGGATCTTCGATCGACAGAGTTTCAGCATCTTCTGTGGCAATATAGTCAACTGTCACTGAATACCCAACTATAAGATGAACACCTCCATAAAATGGAAACATAGAGATGGTCTTTGCTGGCCTGAAGGACAAACACTTTTTAGAGGTGATCTCAACAGAGTTCCCTGGTAGGGTTCTTCAATCTCATCATCCCAACCAAAATTAATTTTCCCTCAATCCTGTTATTTCATCAGTTTTTATTGGCTAATACTGGTCCTGAACATACGTTCAAAGGGCCTTACAAAGCTTCCAGATTCCCTCATCTAAGTATAACCAGCGACAGATAGTGGGATAAAAAAGGTGGTAAAACAAGCTCTTTACAGGTTGTTGTGGGCATTTTTGAGTGAAAATGCACAGATTTTTGCAGCATAAAAGAAAATATAACTCACTTTCCTATGTGGATATTGCCCTTAACTGCATTTATTTCCTGAATCCAGCATCATAGAAACACTAAATCCCACATCCTGTTCATAGTAATGTTAAAGTCCCGAATGTTGCTTACTTTTCCTTTAAAACCAAGAGTCCTTGCCCCTGCCCTCAACAAAACCAAATCCTGGATCCCAAAGAATCAGTTTCACAGGGGACCCTCTCAATATTCGTGATTCCTACTGATGCTAAAAGGTTTTAAATTACCAACCTCTTGCTTCGTCAGCAAGTTGGAACCTTTGACAGTAAACAGGGTGAGCAGGTGCAGAGAATTCCATCCTTGTTGTGGAATGTTCAACATTCCATTTTCTAGTAAAGAAATATTGTTACTCTTAAGTTTTTCCAGTCGCTTCCTTGAAAGGCCTCTAATCCTAAAAGCTGTCTGAAAATATAAGAAAACAAAAAATTAACAAGCGATCAAGAGATTTTCCTCTACCTCATGAAAATTTTTTAGTACTCTTATTAAATGCTTGGTTTTTACTTTTGACTTACAAAATTTTCTTTGAGTGTGAATACTGTTTGGACATTATTTTTGGAAAAACCTGTTTGGCTTTTCACTGGTATTTGAATGACTGGTCACATGAAGGGTTACTTTAAACTTAAATCCCTGGCACATTTTGTATCAAAATGCATACTGTTGTATATTGATTTCTTTTGCCACAAACATAGAGAATCTGTTTTGGATGTTTTATCTTCGGTGATCATACCTTTTGTGTTTGATTAAACAGTTATAAAATAAGGAGAAATTATGTAGATGATGACAGGTCATTCTTTGATAGAGGTTAAAAGGTGAAACCATGCCAGGATTCACATTCTGGTTTACAGACTTGAAAGCCGTGACCAATTTTCCTTTACTCCTTGCATGTTTGATGTCATGCAGTTAGAAGTGAATCCATCAGAGGGTTTTCAAAAATATGTAGATTGAACTTGTCAAAAACTTTGACACCTTTTATAAATTTTTATGGCAAGAAACAAAACGCTATAATTTCATTGACAATTATTTACTATTGTAAACAAACAAACAAAACTAAAATTTAAAAAAACTTAGTAATATACAGACTCATAAATAATATTAACAGTCCAATTTCAACCCACAAAATTCATTTTTGGCTCCAAAGCTTGAGGGAAATAAAACAAAAGAAATGTATTATTAATCTAAACCTCAATGTGATTTCTTTTGTTTTGTTCCCCCAAGTCCTCAAGCCAATTGAGAATTTTAAATATGGAAATTGATCTATAAACCAAAAAAAGTTACAAATGCGAGGACACAATGGTGTGATTTACCTGAAGAAGCTTGTAGCCCCTCAGGGGCATTAGTGCAGCAAACTCTTTGAATAGATCTTCTAAATTGTTGTTCTCAGATGTTTCCGCTGCAAAAAAATGTTATCCTTTATTGAACTAGGAATCTAACTTAAGATTAAGAGCTTAGAGGATTTTATTATGGCCTCATATCCTTCAGGTTGACTCTTTCGCAAAGTCTTATTACTTAGGCTGCATTTTTGTCACATTTAAGATCTTACACATTATTCAGTGAATTTAGGAAAAAAGTGGGGTGAGGAGGGAAGGGTGGGGTTAGATGAATTCCAAAGAAAACTATGAACACCTTGCTTAATCTCTGATGATCATTCCACTAATATATCTGGACAGTAGCTGAATCACCAGCAAAAATTTCAGATGTTTGACTAAAGTAAGCCTCTGCAAGTACCATCTCTCAATATTATGTACTAGTGAACACTTTCTAGGTTATAAATGCAATGTTCTAACTCTTGTTCTAACAGACAAAAAGTAGCATCTTCAGACAGACTTTCATCTGCAGTTTGCTGTTATCTTTTTTAGTTACATTACTTATTCTACTGTTGTACATCATCCAAAATTGATTATGAGATCAGTTCACGTTATCTTTACAATGCAAATATGTTAAATATTTTCTACAGATTTTTTCCTCATACAGTTACCGGTATACTGTATTATGGATCTTGATATTAAGAACACTAAATTTTCATCCCCTGGCAGGCTGTCTGCTGTAATAGTAGCCTGAGATCATGCCCTCTCCCTATTATCCCTTTATGTCTCTCATGGGAAGAGGGCATGATACATTTCCTTGTCGGATCACATGTAAAAATGCCAGAATCTGGACTTTCTTCTGATTGGAAAGGAAACAATGCGGATGATTTGCGCTGTTCCGATTGGCCAAAATGACGCCATCCGTTAGTTGTTGTTGATTTCAGTCTGCATTTTTGCTTGCGTAATAAGCAGTGAATACACACGCGAGTTCGTTATGAAATTTCTGCCCGCTCAGTTTTCTTGAATTTGAAGAATGCCTAAATAGAAGTTTCATCCATTGAAATATTTACCATCTCATCGTATACCAAAACAGTTGCAGTCAAAACTTCACCGATCATTTGAATGCAATTTGATACCGGCTACAAGTTACAGAAGCGACAAACGGGTTCACTTTTAAAATAATCAATTCATGAATGGAATCTTGACCTGGTTTGACTGTAATTCCTCCTTCAGAAATCATGCTGCGAATTATTCTGAGCGATCTTCGCTTTCACAACACCTTTCAGTTCGTGAAATATGGTGCTTCAGCCTAATTTTTTTTCCACTGCTTTCGGTACAGAACGAAGTCAACGAGCTTTAACCAGTAAATTCTTTATTATTTGTAGCTATTCATAAAGGTACGACAGCTCCAGCTAGCAGCATATTTCATCACAAAAACAACGCATTAATTTTTTTTTTTACGAAGCGCCATCTGAACACGAACGTACTTAAAAAATTTTTTTCCCTAAAACTGATTTCAAAAGAGACATTATTCGCGCCAAAATTTGATTCCCGTTTGGTAAACGCTTATTGGCTAAAAACATGACAGGTCAAGCAAACGTTAGATTATGTAAATTTGGGGGCGGTTGACTGCTTGTTAAATAAATGTATCAGGCGTTATTTTTTTTCCCTCTCGAGCCAAAGAAGCAAAAAAAAAAAAAAAAATAGATGCCTGATCTCAGGTTACCGTAATAGAAGTTAACTGTATAATGCTGTTTCTCAGAAAGTTTCAACCTTTTTGCAAAAAATTGAGAACTAGACCATAGAAATGCTAAATGATTTAATCCTAGCTGTGACATCCAATACCTTCTTTGTCAATGAACTTTGCAAACTGGCTGAAGACAATCAACCCAACACGTATAAGAACTTTAGGACCTTGAACAAGAAAGCTGTCTACAACATAAACCTGAAAAATAATACAAAGTAATAATTATTATTAAAAGGAACAATGAATAAATTCAGCTAAAGCCAAGTATAATCAGTATTATTTAGTTGTAGTAATTTAAGATACATAGCTGTCTGAAGGGACAGGACTAAGCAGAATCTAAAACTTGAACAGTTATATATGGAAACAAGAAATCAATGATCCACCCACACAAGACTACATTCACCCAAATAACTCTAAGCCTTGTCTGCTAATGACATTAATCATTGACTGTAAGAGCCTTGTTCACTCCTACTCACCAAAGTCCAAAAATCAATGTAATGAAACATCCACATTAGCCAGTCAGGAATGAGAATGGTATTTTTAGGAATTTTCTCCTCTGTCTCACTGAACTCTTTAAGCTGTTTGTAAGATGCCATCTGCAATTAAAAGGTAAACACACACACACACCATGGTATTAACATTGGCTCTTAACATATTAAACCAGCTTCTTTAAAATGACAACATTTTAACTAAAAATTCAGAAACACCTTGCACATCCACATCTTAAGAAACTGAGTTTATTACAGGAAAGTTAATCATTTTATTATTTTTACAATGTAATACTTATTGGTAAATATTTTATAATACTAGTTTATAATCATACGATATTTTGTTCAACTTTACGTTACATATTATAAGAGTATCACATAATATTAATTTCCAGTTTGCTCTACAAATTTCCAATGTTTGATATTGAAAGTGAAATGGTAAAACTCTCCAAACAGTAGAAAACTAAAGTAAAAGGAGAAAGACAATTTAACTTACAAAATAGGACTTCAAGGAGTCTTGGAATGTCTTAGCCATCACTGCATATGCCCTTTGGCTTTGATCCAACATAGATCTCCTGGAATTCACCAGGGCAGACATGCATGCATAACACAGATTTTCATCCATGAAATGAAGAAAAAGTGATGTCAGAGGAGGTACTAAAGGAGCAAACTGGACATCAGGGTGCATGTGAGACAGAATATACAGGATTTTTAAACAGGTTTTTTCCCCATCTGACGACAAATGGTATGTTGGGACATTTCTTTTGCCATTGAAAATTGTTGAAGGTATACTGGATGGTACTTGAATACCTAAGGAGAAATTGTAACAAACTTCATGTTATCATGGAAAAGATGCCTCTCTCCAATAATATTATTGCCACTCTGTAATTAAGTATCTGTTGAAACAACTTTGTGAATATTTCAAAATATACTTTTCCCTTACAGGCAAACTTGTTTGGCCTGATTACAGCTCTGGCAATTCCAAAATTGTCCATTCCCTTAGACATTTGTTAAGTTGGGATTTCTTACGGTGAAAAATGGTTTTGATTTTAAAGTTCATAGTATGGTCTCTGGTGGCATAATTGCACGTATTTCATCACTGACAAAAATAATACCTTTTTGCCATTATAGTCAGGGGAACAGCTGTTGATGATCTGTAATTCAAGTAAGACTACTTATAATGTCCTGAGCCATACCCACTTGGTTGATATTTGAGTGTGAGGAATGGGGTGGTTTAATATTGGCAAGTGGAACTAGGAACCACAGGTGGGTAATTTTACTTCAGAGTTTTGAACATTTTGATGCAGATGGAGATATGGCTTGGATTGTAGCTTCACCATGCACAAGAAGAAGATTTAAGAAGGCCCTCATACACCCAGGATGGGTTAGTTACAGAAATAATGTCAATCTTACCCATATCATCAATCATTTCTTCATAATAATGAGGAGAGTTTAGAATTATATCTGCTCCGCCACTTGCATCTTTCCAAAGTTGAGGCCTAAGCTGCAGTAGAACACCTTGTCTTATTAGCTTCTTCAATTTGTCAGTCTCATCATGCTCTGGATATTCTAGCCATTTCTGCAGGGTTTCCTTAAACTCATCTTCTGAATATTTGCCCTTATTATAGTATGGACCAATAGAAGAAGTGGAAGATCGAGAAGTCCTTGAGGCCCTTCTTGATGTTTTTGACGTTCTAGAGTCCTCTCTGTACAATTTTCTGCTCTCTAGTGAACTTTGAACCCACTGAGAGAAGTAAGGAGTACTGACCTCACATAATTCCATAGCGATGAATTTAAAATTAAAACGGTAACAGACGTCGATGTTATATAAATCTGGTAGAAACAATAAATATTAGGTTTATACAACACTTGTCGACTATTAATATTTTGGCAGCAATTTCATCTTCTCGCGTTAGTTTGCTTGACAACACCGAATTTTGTGAAAACAACGTTCCTCATTCCGTGCTGTTAGAGAGATGCTGTTGGTCTAGTTTACTCACGTGAATCCGCACATACAGACCGCTTATGCCGCATCATGAACCAACCACCTTTATAACCCACCAAAGACGTTTGTATCGTCCATGTTGACAACTGCAGTCCCCGTTGGTGAAGAGCCTGGGTTCCACAAGAAGGTTTCAGGAGCAAATCACGAGTTCAATCACGAGCGACATCATCACGAGCAAAGAGCAAATCACGAGCACGAGTTAATGTCCCTGTTGACGTGAACATGTACCTTCGCCCCAGGCCCCAAGGCCTTTCTTCGTTCATGGGGATCGCGACGGGGATCGCTTTTATCATAAAAGATGAAGATTACATTGCCAATTTTATAAATATTTTCTTGGATTGAACAAAAGGGCTTCCAATGTTGTCGCTCGAAACGAACATCTTTAAACCCAAATTGGGCAAATATTCATCTTTAAAAACCACAATTCTTACCCGCTTGAATATCCTCAAAATTCTGGCAACATGAACCTGTTTAGAAAATTTGAAACAGGTTCTTAGAAAATGTTTCAGTTATAACCTTCTGTCAAAAAAAAACATTTTATTCAGGCCTGGACGTCGTAATCGTTTCCGTTTGGTTTTAATACAAACTTTTAGACCGAGGAACTGGATTCTCGGCTTTTGGCCATGCTCTTTTAATATATATTCCACCTTTCTAGCCATTTTGATGTTTCGTTCCCATTATTCTTTTAAGACCCTCTGTAGCCTAAACCGCAAAGAAACATTTACACGCCCGTTTAGGCTAAAATCGAAAAAATAGGTTCTAAAAGCATTGCGAAAAAAGCAGTGCCTCGTCGTATATTATTTTTCGGAGGAATTTTTGAAATACCAAGAGCCCTTTGGCCGCTCTTTTGCATACTCATTTTGACATTTTTTTTACTCCTAAACCGAACATTTTCTTTTTTGCCTATTTTCCATCTATTTGTATATTTATATTGTTTTCATACGAATAAATGCATTTTCCCGCTAAAAAGTCATTTTCTTTTTTGACCATTTTTCAGTTTATTAGTATTAGTATTGTATTTAAATAGTTATGTTCAACTTTCACTTAAAGTTTTTTGCTAAAAATATTTTTACTAGTACTAGTAAAGTTTTAAATACGCTCACAGTTTTGCAAAGAAGGAACAAACACAACAGGACTTGACGATATTCAACCGACAAATAAATTTCCTCCGATAAATTAGAGATCCCGGTTAGAGATATCTAAATTAACACAAAATATTCTTAAGATAGCTAAAACTGAAATAAAGAAGAAACTAAAATTTTACTCTCTTTTCAAACAAGACAACAAGAAATCTGAAGGCAACAATTTATCATTAAAGTAAGTTCCTGGCGGCTTTATAACCGGCAAGAAGAAGGCCTCAACCAAAAATCGCCAAAAGTTATAGATCGCTTCGTCTTCAATTATCTTGCTGTTGATAACGGGTTGATAACGAGGGTCAAACAGCAGATAACAAGCACACAGGCAGCATGATTTTTCCTTTCTTTCTTCTGGTGAGTAAAACCGACAAGCTGTTGGGAGATCATACTTTTCAGAACGAGTCAGTAAAACTCATCTGCTGACAGCCCTTTTCCTTCATACGGTTCTTCAACTTCTTTTTTGTATTCTCCTTTTAAGCTGAAATTGATGCCTTCTAACGATGAATTCCCGTAGAGAAATCTCATCACGCTTCACTAACGACAGATGTTTAGTTACTCAAATGGCGTGATGTGGAGGACAGGGTAGCTTCAGGTGTAGCTTCTCTTTTGTCAGGGATTCCTCTGTTCTCTTACCCTGTGTTCCAGGGTCAAAATTTTGGTTTGGATGTACAGTCGACTCCCTATTACCCTGCTGCCCTTGCTAGCTCGAACCCGGCCTGCACTATTAAACTCCAACTTAAGTCAATTTCCCCTGGATTTCCTTAATTATAAGTAGGTAGGTGAACCCTCAATAACTCGAACCTCCCACTAATTCGTAATTTTGGTTTCCCTTCACATCATTTCTGTGTCATCTTACCCTCGATAACTCAATCTACGTTTTAAGCGCGTTGTTAATCGAAGCAAACAAACAAAGCGTTGCAGTCCAAAGCATTACTTAAAAACTTTTGTGTCAACCGTGTATTGTATATTCTTTTTCTTTTATACCTTTTTTAAAGTCCAGTTCAGACAGGGGCACCCAACGAGAGTATAGTTCAAAACGACATAAACATAGCATTGTTGAACGTACTTTAGTATTTAAACGGTAGATAAAGGCTTATTTTTATCCCCTAAAAACTTTTCATCTGTTCGGATTTCCTAGCTGAAAGTATAGTGATCCGAAAATTATAGGGATCAAAATTTACCTTTTCGAAAATTTCAGCCAGAAAAAAGGCTCCCGAAAATTGTAGGTGACCTTTTTAGGGTAAAAATCCCGTTAAAAATGGGCAATTATACGATTTTTTTGAAGTTCGAAAATCCTTGGAGAGGTAGTATAGGCAAGCAAGAAATTTGTCAGAAAATGATCCGAAAATTGTAGACCTCAAATCGTCTTCCGAACAGATAATTTTCCGAAAATTGTCGTTGGGTGCCCCTGTTCAGATACGGTAGGTGTCCAGCCCTGTATATTGATCAAGCTTTATTGTTGTGTAATTCCTATTTTAAAATATCTTTATATCTCTTAATTTTCTGGTTCTGCCCCCTCTTACTGTTGGTAGAATTATCAACACAGTGAAATATAACAGTCTATATATGAGGAAATTAGTGCTTTACGGCAATTTATTCTGTACACGAGTTCTTGATTATTATTTGTAAGGTCAACATGGGGGAACACAAAATACCCTAAATTTACAGAAAACTATCATACATTTTTATTAGTACAGTTAAATAGTCATGAAAGAATTCTTATTGATTAACGGGGATGTCCATAATGTTGGGATTTCCATTATTATATTTGGAATATTGTATCACTAAGTGTCAAGCTGTGATAGACTTAAGTGATGAGAGTATACAAGTGCACAAATTTACATCTTCAATTTATTAAAAATATGTACTTTAGTAATTCAACGCTATCTCGTTTGTAGTTTTCCTATTTTTGAAGTCAACAATGTTTCTCTTTCCTTGAGCTTTGCTTCAACTTCAGCCTGAAAATTATAAGAAAAAATCATGACATTTTATAGACTTAACTGTATCCAGATTATCAAAAAAGCTTCTCCAGCACAGTTTAAATTAGCCCCACCTTAATTCAAACCATTTTATCTTGGTATCATAACAGGCCTGAGCTAACATATCTCACCTGTAAATTATAATACCTATTTCAAATTTTGATCATGTGTGTTAAGCGATGGTGCATCGGTTAAGATTAGACTGCAATCAAAACATATTTCTGCAGTCACGTGTTGTTACAGGTTTTCAACTGTCGAGCATTTCCTTGAACAAGCACCCACAATTCACTCACCACTCTCTCCACATATATGATTCATGATTAAACCTAAATCAGCCATACAACCAGAGTCCCCTCCCCTCCCCTTGACACATTTCTATCCAGTTTAGGTTACCACAAGGAAATCCTAGTTCTTTCAGGTCTTCCTGTGCAAAGTTATCTTCATCCCTGTAAACTTAGACAGCCAAAAATGGTTGGTGCAAGAACCACAGTTTTTTGAATTCTATGTACAGTATCTGTTAATACTGTGTTCTTTATAAATAATGAACAATTCTCTACTTATTAAAAATTGATAAGCATTAAATCCTTGATATTTCAGTGCCCAAGTTGTTTGACTTAGCACTAACCCTATTGAACTAAATGTCTTTTTTTTCTTATTCAAGGAATATAGGATCATTAAAATACTTTAATGTAGGGCAACAGAGCAGCTCACAGCATACCTTGAAATTTCCTAACACCTCATCTGCCACCTTGTTAACAATACTCTTGACCTGCTCTGGTTTCACAGATGCCAAAATATCTTCTGCAGTTTGATTCTCAGCAAGGTTAAGTGCAGCTGACTGGGCTGTAAACAAAATTACCCAACAGAATTACTGAAATGACTTAAGTGCCCAATATTCCACACCAACTTGGTCAGATTATGTATCACACTTATTGTTTCACAGTTAACAATACATTAGTTTAGGCTAGCAAGGAATTCATGAAGAAAAATACCTTCCTCTCCTTTTGAATCTACATCACCCTATGAATGTGGAATATTGTAAGGAATAAAATTAATTCAAACTCACTTATTTGGGTAACAAGATTTTAATTTTTCGTTTCGTACTAATACTCTTATTTATTTAATTTTTTTCCATTGGGGGGGGGGGGGGGAAGAAGTAGCATACACATTGCACATTACACATTACTTTCCATGTTGGTTTGATTTTATAGCTGTAATAGCTGAGATTTTTCCACAAGACATCAGAGACTGGTCTGCAGGCCTAAGAAAGTGTGAGATCAAAGTTTGTGATCCACAGAATTGATGACAGTCATGTCCTTGAAGGTATGAGAACAGCTGGCAGTATAGTATCTCTGAACTATGGTAGCTTAAGTCAGTTAATCAATGGTGAAATTCTTACATCTTTTTGTTGCTTTAGTTGAGGTGATTGTGGTGGTGTCATCACGTGTTCTCTCCACACATCTTCTGTCATACCCTCATCAAGTGGAGGGGGGAACGGAACACTGGCCAGAGGTGGTACTTCAACAGCAAGCTGTGTCAAAGAAGAAAGACAAACTAATAGTGAACTAAACTGAAGGGCAAAACACCCTAACTTTAACAATGCTGTATCAAAAACTAATTTTCAAAATAAAAAATCAGATATAAATTGAAAGTTGCTATCCAATAGAGGGGTGAATAATTAATAAGAAGAGGATGGTAAAGAGGCGCATGGTCTTATTAGAGACCATTAGAAGAGGGTGCAACTGTAAAATTTTACAAGCTCTGTTTACTTTAGGTCAGGTCATCGCAAAAAGTTATGTTTCCATGCATAAAGATGTTTGAAGGGCTGAGTGGAACAATTGCCTTAAGTAACTCTAAACATAAATGTCAAAATATTCTTCTTTTCTTTCAAAAGCAAACACAGGACAATTTGAAAGGTAAATGCAGCAGTTTATCAAAAGTTACTTTAAAGCTTTTAATATTATGTATGCACTAGAAGGCTCCAGCAACAAGCCAGTCCAAGATGACAACAAATGCATACCTGTGATATAACAACTTCCTCTTGGGGCTCTTGAGTAAATAGAAACTGGTACAATCTGTAGTGTTGAAATAAGCTGTGAAAAAGGAACATCACAATGGTCAATGCCTTGACTTTTTGTATAAATAACACTCAAATATATCCTGCAGTTGAAGAGTAGCAAAACATCCTCTTATCTTGGAAAGAACCGTTAGAAATTCTGATCTGAGACCCTTTGAATTAAAGGAAGGAGCTCATCAAGTAATATGTACTTGATACCCCTGGATGAATCAATATCACTATGATGCAACAATAATATTATTGTTGTTCTTTACCTGTCAGTAAAGTAGTCTGTGATGACTTTAGCCTGATTAACGTCAAAACATTCAAGCCCTCCATTTTGGGGGCAGTTTTCTACTCCAATGCCTGCCAGAAGTGTCTTAAACTTTTGAATGCTCTCAATCAGGGAGAAATGGTGTTCTGAAAAAACGAACCAACAAACAAACATAAGAAAAAAGAGAAAGGAAAGCATATATAAAGTATGATAAGTTTATTGTCCTATATCATGATACTTCGAATTCTAATTTTCATTTGAAACATGAATAGTATAATGTATGTTAGTAAATCATTAAAATAAGTATTAACAACACAGTTATTGATGACAAACTGAAAGTATAGAAATAAAAATTAGTAACTATATCAAAAATAACTGTCTAAAGAAACACAACCATTTCCCCAGGTCTCAGAACTGCAAATAATTTTTTTTTCTCTTGAAAGGATATATGTCCTACTAAGACACCATCTTGGTCAGACATTTCCTGGCTCTCCAGGAATTCCTGGAATAGTCCAGAAAGCCATGAGAAAATTTTCCACACTTACCAAGCTTTTCCTTATGTGCAAATAAGGCCAGAGCTTCTGACTAGAATGATTTCTGGCACTCCCTAGCTCTTCCATGATTCCGTTCCGGGTTTCCCGGAGACCTGTTTCCCGCCTATTCTGCATGTGCAAAAAAGCCTGGAAAGCCAGGAATTTTACCCCAGAATTCCCCGGAATTTTGGGCTCCTTTTTGCAGGTGTATGACTTCAGGTGTGGCCCGATTATCTGAATGCAAATAACCTTCTTGCACAATTATTAAGTATTATTATTATTATTTTTATAATTTTAGAACATCTCCCATACTGCGATAGAGATACCTTTTATATTGTCTAGCATCACTTTAAGAAGGGTAAAAAATGCTGAAATCTGCTGAAGTGTAAAATTTTGCTCCTTTGCAAACCTTAAGAGGAAGTCTCTGTCAAGGAAAAAACTTTCTTGCATTATAATTAAATTTAACACCAGCCTAAAATGAAAATCTTCCCGCCTGCTGTAGCTATAGAGATTATTATAAAAACCAGTTGGTGTAAAGGATAAACCACTCATCACAGTCTAACAAGATGAGCCGGATAATTTACCATTCACTCTTAATCAGTAATCGGGTATTAGTAAATTCTAGAAAAAATAACATAGGTTCCACCTGCATTTACATGTAATTGATGATGAGGTACATATCTGAAACATGTTCTTTTCCAAACTCAAAGAGTGAATCATTTCTTTTAAGTATCTAATATTTAATTTTTACTGCAACAGAATTTGGTAACTGCTAGCAGTATGATGAAAAGGATACCAAAACCCAGCAACGTAGTAGTCCAACACACACGCTTCAGGAAGAGAATTGTGATAACTTTCAATGGTCAGAACTTCACCCAGTTTCCTACAAAAAGAATTACATCAACTTTTTAATCAACTAAACAAGCCTATGTTAGGTTTGTAAGGATCACTTTGCTTTTTGCTAATATTCATCTGTTAAGTTAATACTGTTTCATTCATGTATTTATGGCATGGCTTTCTTATTTGTCCACTGGGTGGGAAATTAGCACACTGCACGCTATTTTATTGAAGCCCCACAGTGGAGTCTTTGTATGAATCTGTTCACATGGGGGCTGCATTTGTAGCTTTCCAAAGCAAATATTAGCAATGACTGACAAACACCCACCTGCAGAATGCTGGGAGATGGGCACCCTCTGTTGCTGCCATGGCAGGTGTCGAATCGAAAGAGGTGGGAAATCTGGAGGAAGGGAAAAGGGAGGAAAAGAGATGCTGCACTTCTTTTCCCAGCTATTCCCCTTTGCATTTATCTCCCCTTCCCCCCCCACCTCCTCCTCCTCCCCTTTTTTGCCCCTGCCATGCAGGCTGAATGCTTTGTTGCGGCTGTGATTCTGACCTCATCTCAGTTCAGGTGATTGACCTCCGCATTTTTTGTAGGACCAGCAAAGATCAAGCTGGGGCCAAAATATCAAACAACAAATTGTTTCTTTAATAGTAAGCTTATAATGAACTAGTTGAACGTACACTTCCAGCTCACGTGCTGTAAGTTCCTTGAGTGCTTGAGTTTGTTCTTCAGACAAAACTTTCCAGGCTAATGATTCTTTCTCCTCCTCTTCCTGTAAATCATAAAGTTATGGATGAAAAGTTGACATCCTGTAACATAGGTACATGTACAATGTTCTCCATTTTAAAGTACATTTTTACAACACACTTATTGATCAGCCTAAATTTGCATGAAACTGTTCAAATAACAAAAATCATGTTTAGAGTGATTTTACTTGACCCGTGAAACAGATAATAACTACTTGTGCAAAGTTGCTACAATTAGTAAACAAAAGAAGACAATGAAATTAGTGCATAGTGCGTAGTATTCTACTACCTACTTCACGGGTTAAGTGAAATCCCTTCATAACTCTTGTTATTTATCTGTACAATACAAAGTGGAACAAACAGGCTTAGAGACATCGATTCAAAGAAATCATGGAAAATGTAACAGAAATATTTGAATTCAAACTTAAAAACAAAGTAGACGTTTTTACGGTATTTCCGAACGACCTTAAAAGTAAAATTCGAAAAAGGTAGGTTACTAACGGATTGGTTTTTGTTTCTTGTTGTTGCGGAGTCCCGTTTGGATGCAGATCTTTTTCTTTCCGAAGATTTGATCCGAATAGCTGATCGAGACTTCTTCGTGTCCGCCATCTTGAATATGCTTCGCGGATAGTTGTTGCTATGCAACGCCACAGGTTGCAAAAATCTATTTTCCAGCAGGGAGGGGTGTTGTTTATCGACTAGTACTTCGTAGTTCATGAGGTCTTTCAACATACACAGAAAAACCAGCAGGCAAAATTAAGGTCACTTGGAATCGGTGTCTATATAAGTAAAACCTTTCAACAGTTTGTCCGTCATCCTTTTACAAGGTAATTAGACTAACCTTTCGAGATGTTTCAATTTTCTTTTGCCGCGAGCTTTTGCCACGCTTCGAACGATTTGGAAGCTCGAGACTTTCCATAAAAGATTCAAACGTGTACAAGGTTAATCGCCTATCCTTGACCACAAAACCAAAAAGCTATTTCGCGATGTAATTCCAGTATTAAACTAAGCAACAATGAGCCCCCGCACCGCAGTGTCCTCTATGATATTAGATTGTTTTTGTGAGTTAGTTAATTAGTTCTGTAATAGCAAAGAATAACAGGTCTAAGATTTCGGCTCTTTTATTAAACTATTTATGGCCATTGGGAATCAGTAATCTTGTTTGCATTGTTCCGCCAAACAATATCAAATCGGATTATTCTTTAATTACTGTAAATGCCTTATTAAGGGCGCTCTGTGGCTATTTTAATAAACCCCCTCAAAATTATGCTGGAGGGAGTATTTTTTTCAGTTAATGCGACTGCCGTTGGGGGCCATAAATCCTGGTCGTGATAACGAGATGGTCATATTAACGGGATGTTCAAATTAATAAAATACCAGTTTGGTCGAAAGATTGTGGTCGTAATAACGAGGCGATCTAATAAACGAGGTGGTCGTAAGGCGGGGTTTCACTGTCTCTCAAATGCTGGATATAAAAAGTATCTTTATAATACGGGGCGGACTATCAAAACTTTATGAGGAAACTGGAGAAACATCATGCAAGAAAAAGTTATTGATCAGGCATTCGTTATTTTTTTTTTTCGGGGAAGAGCGACGGGCAAAGGGAAAAAAAGGAGAAGGCATACAGTACCGCATGATCTCAGGTTAAAAAGATCATGCAGCTTGAAAATCCCTCCCTCCCCCCTCCTCCTCATTGTAGCTCAAAAGGCCGAAGATTCTTGGCCAGTTTACTAATAAGACAGCAAAGACGTCTTACAGAGTAAAAAGCAAGGCTGACTCTACAGCTATGAGATTATATCAATATAATCTTTATTAGGTTTTTAATATAATCTCATAGCTGTACAGTCAAGTTGTAAGTCGAGTTGCGGATCTTACTGTTACGCATGCGTGGTAGATAAATTCTCTCGTTGCACCACAGGACACCCAGACTCACAACAGCCTACTGGAAATTAAATTATAAGCGGGCTCGGCTGTCCTCTTGAGACCGTGGCTCATTGTATGGAATCGAACTAAATTGACATTTTCAAGGAGAGAAAATCTTTGGTCTATGCTCAAGCAAAGATTAAGAGCGACGGGAGTGGAATAAGGGTACTTTTTGGAGGTTTCTCTTCTGGTAGCGGAGGACAGCCGAGATTTCCCCTGTCTTCTTCTTAAGAGGTGAGAAACCATAACATCAAAACTTGCTCATTTATATGGCCGGAAACAGTAAGAAAACAACACAGACACAACTCTTTATGAGGTAAGTTCATTTTGATGGCTGTTTATATGCATTTTGCCCGTTTTATGGATCTTACGATAAGTTCCCATGCAAATCCTTATTATATAATTTGGCTTCCAGTACCAGTAGTAAGTCTGGGCGCCCTGTGGACGGACCAACAAAAGCTTGTCCTTTGCCCAAGTTGTCATGTCAGTTCATGTATTTCTTTGTGTTAACAATGAAAACTGTTTTTAGATAGAGAGAAATCGATAGATATTCACCTGAAGAGTGACATACGATGGAGTTTTAAAAGAAAAAAATGCCCAAACTCACTTTTTTGACAACGATCACGATTATGTCCGCGGTTACTGGTGAAGGCGGCACACGCTTCTTAAGAATTCCAGTTGAAGCTTTTTTCGCCTTTTTGGCTTTTCTATGCCGTTCCATTTTCCACGGCCGTAGTGATGTCGCCTTATTGAGATGAATGTCCGTGGATACTGGTCAATTAGAGGACCATCGAAGCGCTGACGGCTTTCAAAGACTGATTACTTTGACTAAGCACTGCATTGTGTTTTAAACAAACTGTTTTGCAACTTGAATGATTTTAATAAGTACTTGGTTGATAATTGTACAAGCTTGTGCAAACATAGTAACATTTCTTTTAAAATTTTCATTTGAGCACAAATCGCCTCCTCTTTGATCATTTAATTTGTGAGCGTCCACGGTGGAGATTACAAACTTTAATTCCTGTAGGCACCGTTTGAAAGTTTTATCATTATTGCTCAGCCGTTACGGTCACGTGTCAAGATTCATAGACACACAAAAATTATATTTTGCTTCTTATAAACAGCTGCCACTGGTACAGGACGCCAATACATCTGTAATGAACTTTCATTTGAATGCTTACGCTTCGGGACTTCTGTTATAAACTCAGAAGTGAGTAAACACCTTGTATCTGACAAATCGTACACCTTAAAATCTGGTCAGCGATGTGAATCAGTTGAAAAAAAAAGGCTGGAAGAAAGTGATACAACTGCTCTGTGGGAGGGAATTAAATGCGTTTGGAAATGATTTAACTATGATAACCTGTCGGCGCACCAATCATGTGTTGTTCCCATCCTCTGATTGGCCAGAGAACTTTTCTCCATTTGTTTTCCTTGAGTCAGTTAATTTCAAACCTTGTCAATGTTTTAATTAAAAAGGCCAAACATATTGTTGAATGAAATACAAACCAATAAAAGTGACAACTTTACTCTAACCAGCTGGATTATTTTGTGCGTTACGGTTATGCATTTAACAATTAACATAGAGACGAAGAAAGGACGTCTGCGTGCTTAAAAACTGAAACTGCGTTTTTACTCAGACAAAAGTATTACCTTCTTTGCACGTTCCTCTTTATCTCGATTCTTTCTTGCGCTTCTCTGTAGTTTTCGTTTGGCCATCCTTCTTGCGTTTAAAACAGTCGCCATATTTGGGGACTTGGATCTATCCATTCTTTGAGGTATCGGCGTTTATGTGTAGGGGGGAAAAAGCCAATGGAGGCGTCACCAGAGCAACTCGTGGCTACACACACACACAAAATAAACAAACAGTTTGAAAGGCAATTCTCTTGCGATCACTGTAATAGTTCATGTCCAGATAGAGAAAATACACACAACATGTTGTAAAACCTCTATAAATTATAGCAAGAAAATTCCGCAAACTGAACCCAACCAAATTGTGTCCACCTGCCTTGTTCTCATGGAAGGACCTAGACTGATGTGAAAATACAAACTAAACTCGTTAAAGAGTAGGTCAGGGTGAATAGTAAGCGATAAAAAATTAACAGGGTTTATTGTTCGACAAGATCTGTCGCTATATAAATGGGTTATTTATGGCTTAGGCTTAACAACCATAATTTCCGTCTCAACTAGAAAATAATGAAGTAGATTGCTGTCCAATCAGCGTGAGTTTCTTTCGCAACTGCCATGCGGGGCGCCAAGGGTCGAGTTAGGGATAATTTTAGCTTTTCTGCATTTGAAATGCCTGCCAAATGATTATCCCTTGGACACACGCTCGTAGGCAAGATTATTGACGTAGGTCTCGAAAGTTTGTATGGTACTTAGTAAGCCTGTCTGTTCAGTAAATTCTAAGTTTGATTCTTAGTGAAGTCAAGAAAAACGTAAGAAAATATTTAAACCAAATAAAAAATATCTGAATCTACTGCCAATTTATTAGCAACGAGGAGCAAATAAGTTCATTTCGTCGAGCCTTGTTTGTAAACAGAGATAAAACAACGCATTTCATTGAACAGATTGTTCGACTCCTTATCGTTTAATTCAAAGTTTTACTTTTAAGATCTTAAAGTCGGCCGCTTTTGAAAAACAAGCTCTATGAATAAATCAACATAACATTTTCCTAAACAGTGATAAACACATATATACGTTTTTGGAATAAACAAAATGTGGAAACTGACCAATTTACTTACTAGCGCAGTCTCTATACTGATGATCACTTTGCGACGATATGACCGCAGGTGTTTTAGCTTTATCGATCCTTTGTTTTGAAAGGACTTCAAATAAAAGATATTCAAGATCTCAGATACGGGTATGTCATAATTTTAAAGAGTCTTACCTTGCAGTCTGGGTAAAAATACGAAAGATAAACTAAACACCCAGGAGGAAATAAAAAGAAAAAGAAGAAAATCGCACTCAGTCGCAGCAATCTGAGGCTAGTTTTTGCGATAGAATACTTTTAAAATAAAGGCACTGATTAGTATTGTTATCGTGCCTTGTACAGCGCAGTGATTTCAGTTGTGTCGCATAGAGTACAAAACACGTCCACTATTAACAAGATAGCAAGCCCTCTACTCCGGCAAAGAGCAGGTTTGGGGAGGGGTACTCTCCATGAGTTGAAGTAATATGCAACTTCTTAGTTTAAACTGTTTTAAAAACCGATATTCAAGCCTTTCATTCACTGATACAACTTATGCTAATAATAAAAGAGTAAACCGGAAAAAAAAAGCAACAACAATAACAAGATTGGCAGGCGCTTAAGAACATCTGAAAGCCCTAGGTGCCGGCCATGCTGTGGGCTGCCGTTTTCTATCATTAACGACATCAGGCTTGTGTCTTTGCCAGAACGGCACCATTTACTTAAAATCAAGCTCACTTCATTTTTGATTTTCATTATGATATCAGGTTGGGCTTCAAGTTTTTCCATGAATCTCTTTGAAAGAGAGTCTGACGGGAGGTTAATCTTTTCCGCGGACGGAAAACAGAGTGAACAACAAAATTCGGAAACAGCAGAATGTTTAAAAAGTTCATCCTCACGGGACAAGCTGTCAATATTCCATTTAAGATCTTTAGCAAGGCAAATGAGTAAATTTAAGAGAATAATTTTAAGTGTAGGTTGTTTACCTTCCAGAAGCTTCGCAAAATACAACCTTATGACGGATAAAAAGACAGCTAAAAAGATTACAAACCTTCCAGAATCTAACCTTCAGTCGCGAAAAATAACCGTTTTCAACCGTGAAGCCGTTATTACTGTTCTATCTATACCCTGCTTTCATTGGTTTCTTTTCAGTTAATGTCGTAATTGTTCCTTTAAGTTTTCCGGCTTTTTATAACTACCATCCTTTTGAAATTACGAGATTTCAAATGCTTCTATCTGCCAAATTGGCGTCAGTTAATTAACAGATAATTCTCACCTCTTTTATACCCGTAATATTTTTTTTCTGTAGAAGCTTAACTATAAAAATTTTGAGAATCATACCGTATTTGTCTCCCATATGATCAACGCTATTGATTTCTACCTGGCGATTAAAAAAGGGCGATATGCAGTTTTTATTGCCACTACTAGGGGTAAGGGGGGGTGGGAGGAAACTGCAGTACTGCCCTGGCAATAGGCAATCCAGAAAAGGGGGCGGGGGGGAGGGGGTTGGGGTAGGCAACAGACATGAGGCAACAAAATGATGTAGAACGTATTTTGTTTCTTTTTATATAGTCTCTTATAACGGCTTGTAAAATTCAAATTCTAACACAAACTCCCATACAGAGTTCTCGGCCGCCTGTGCTTCCACGTTCTTCCGATGAACTCTGTTCAACTGATCAGGCCCTACACGACGGATTATCCTCAGCTAGTGAGAATAGTGAGACAACTGAAATAGACGAAGCCGAAAAATACCCGTTTTTATGCGCATCGTCTTAAACTTATTAAAATCTTCCCTTCAGTAAAAAAAAAATTTACCTCAAAGACTCAAATCCTTGTTCTTGTTACCCAACTCGGATGCCATCCCGTTAGCTCTTCTAGTTGTTTAATCGGCAAAAACACTTTAACTAACGGCCTACGGCAATTTGATTTTCATTGGTGCAACGAAGAGACCACGCTTTATCATAAAAATGTATCATCATGTCACCGTTTTTGATGAAATAAGTAAATCTGCACCAAAAACCGTTTTTATGTGTGAACAGAATCCAGCGCAAAAGCTTTCTAGTATGGCATGAACACCAATCTCATATGTGACTCCACCAATCACCGTTTTTATATGTGAAGAGATTCCAGCACAAAAGCTACCCAGTATAGCATGAACACCAACCTCATATGTGACTCTACCAATCACCGTTTTTATGTGTGAACAGAGGCCGGCGCAAAAGCTTTCTAGTATGGCATGAACACCAATCCCATATGTGACTCTACCAATCACCGTTTTTATATGTGAACAGAAGCCGGCGCAAAAGCTACCCAGTATAGCATGAACACCAATCTCACATGTGACTCTACCAATCACCGTTTTTATATGTGAACAGAAGCCGGCGCAAAAGGCTACCCAGTATAGCATGAACACCAATCTCACATGTGACTCTACAAATCACCGTTTTTATATGTGAACAGAAGCCGGCGCAAAAGCTTTCTAGTATGGCATGAACAGCAATCCCATATGTGACTCTATCAATCACCGTTTTTGTGTGTGAACAGAGGCCGGCGCAAAAGCTTTCTAGTATGGCATGAACAGCAATCCCATATGTGACTCTATCAATCACCGTTTTTTTTTAATGTGTGAACATGTTAGACCTAAATTGTCCAAAAACAAACCGTTAAATTTACTATTAAAGTGAAAACACTGAGCTGTAAGCAACCGTTCATTATTTTTTCTAAATTTAAAAAATGCACGAAGAAAAAATTCTGAAAAAAAACAATGCACAATTAAACATCAAGTGAGGAACAAACAGCCGTTACAATCTGTGTTTAGTGGCATTTTTTATTCAAAGTTCACACATAACACAATGCATGATATTAGCAGGCAGGAATGAGTTTAATAACCGTACGTTACTGTATAACTTGCATCATTGCCCGAACAAGTCCAAAGCCTCAAGAGAGGGGCGGTTTAAAAGCTTAGTATGTAACAGGAATGGAAGAAACTTAGTCTATAAACTTCCTATCTATGAACGGAGATAAGTGGCAAAGGTTTTTACCTAGAAGCTTTCGACAAGATTGCTGGGATTCGACAAAAACTAAAAACGCTGTCATGCTGTCATGTTACACTGACATTACTAACAAACTGAAATGCACTTTTTGAATATTTTCCCTTAGTATGAACTGATCAGCAAGGCAGGTTACCATGGTAACTTGGCAGTTCTCACATAAGCCTAATTCCCATATGAAAGGGGGCTATCACAGACCACCATTCGGTCGTTGAAAGTGCTTAGTTTTCACTGCTAACGCTTTTTCACCCGCACAATGAAAGCAAGCTTTTTGTGGTTCAAACGTTTATCTAATACCCACGAAGTTACTTTAACTTTCTATAAATTTAAAAATCAAAAATAAGTTTTGTACATTAACATTACTAACTACAAGATAAACCTACGATTTGCTTCATACGCGTAATAAGCAAACCAAAAAAATTAAGAAAATTTCGCTAGTTTTATGGTCGAAGAAAGTGAGTGACTAAACAACTTTCTTTGCTTTAACCACTCGCTATGATAAATGCTACTTCATTACTTGTCATCTCATGGTAATTACAAAGTAAAACAGCTACAAAAAGTCAAAAGAAATACAACTCTAAATTTACAGTTATTCTTTCCATACACTATAATTTGTCTAAATGTCTGTAATGGTAATTTTCCTCAGCAAGATAGTAAGACTGAAGTGTTAGATCTTTTGTCCTCTTATCTTTGCTTCACGAGGAAAGCAAACAGAAATGAGAGATGTCTGTGGGCTTCACCAATACCGCACACAGTTAGAATTGCGAGACAGCGCCGTCGCATCATCAAAATTAAGCGTCAGTTGCTGTCTCCTTGGGGATGCCGCAAGGGTTATTTTACTCACTACACTTCATTTTTATCATGTTTTGTTCTAGTAGGTAAATAACATAAAACTAAAAATTCGCCTTAGAGCAGGTTTACACTATCATTTCGTTTTGCCGTTTACACGCAGATGCGTGACACTGAAATAAAAACGCCCATGTTTGGGAATGAAATGTTATCCTTCTTTGTGATGTGTGTAAGAAACATCCATGAATCTTACGGTCCTCTAGTGTACACCTGACCCAATTCTAAAATAAATACCGGTAGTCACTTCTACGAATGGCAAACGTACATCAATGCACGTTTCTTGTCTAATTAGCACAGTAACCTAAAACCAACGAGTACCTAGTTTGTATTAAATTGTATCACAAACTTGATTTTAAGAAAACTAAACTCTAATTTTAGATAACATAGGCACGGCCATTCGCGGATACATTAGTTTGTCACAAATGTGGTATACAAATTTACCTTACAAAGGTATTTTTATGAGTAACACATAGGGAGGTAAGAATAGTATCTATACGCTATTACTGTCAGTTACTGTAATAACTGTATAACTTTAAAATTCAATAAAATTCTATTTTAAACGAGCTGGATTTAGAGGCTCTGACACATTTTACGACTCTGCTATGTAAGGTAGTATCTTTGTTTATAGTGGAAATGCTCTCAGCTTCTCTAGCCAGTTTACAGGCAATCCAATCAAGTAATCAAAAACAATAATGTAACTGAAATTTAGATATAATTAAAATCCCATCTGGCAGGTGGCAACCAGTCGGGTCTTTTCGAGCGTGATCGGTGAGTCAAAAAAACTGGTGACTGCCAAATAACCACTCCAACTAAATAGTTTGAGCGGGACTCGAAACGGACCACCGGAATACGGGTCCGACGGTTGTCCGACGCGCTGATCACTCGGTCAAGCTGCCTCCGGTCAAAAACAACAAAACCCGTCAAATATTGTCAGCATCAGTCCTATTTAGGACTGTAGACTCACTCAAACTTCTTATGATATAACAGTTACGATAGACCCCAGAGGGGGTACTCAGGATTTCAAGTGACGGGGATGATCGAAGGATTTTTTTTGGCTCGAAAATTTGGCAAGAATTTTTTTGGGTAGCTTGATTTGAGTAGGGATTTTTTTGGGGTATTAAAAAGAATCGGTAGTGCCCCGGCTTCGTAGTTCTGCGAATAAAGTACGAACAAACGTGTTTTGCTGTTGTGTAATAGTTAATTATGGTGTCGCTTTACATCGCACGTGTTATTCAATAGTCTGCATTGTCCCGTAGTGCCCGGCCGTGTACAAGACTTCTACCGGGATTTGGTCCAGGGATTTTTTTGGGTTTTGCTGGAAGCCCTAGGGAATTTTTTGGGTCTTGACTTTTGGCTCCATTCGATCATCCCCGTCACTTGAAATCCTGAGTACCCCCCCCTGGGCGATAGACATTATATAGACTTCTTATTGGGCAACAGCAGAGCCTTCACTAAAGGGAGTTTTGTCCTTCTGCATCAAAACTATTACTGATTTAAGGGCAGTGTCATTTTGTTTTTTTTTTTAATGGAACACTGAGAATCCAAGTGACAAGTTTTTCAACAATGTCAAGAGAAAAATAATGATCTCATTTCATTTTGAATCGGCTATATTGGCGAACAAAAGAAAAGAAATTCTTTCCAAATGTCATAGCCGGATAAGAACAATTAAAATGGAAATGACATCTTAAACGTATTATATGTTCCTAGTTCTTCTCGTAACACTTCCATGAAACTAAAGCAATTATTCTGCCTCATTCCTTTCATTGCAAGTTTCCTGGACTTTCTTCTCAATGGTGATAAAAATCAATAAACGTATGAGAAAGTTGCTTTGGTCTTTACCATCATAAAATCACAAACTTAAATCGAAACCATGAATTTCTCTAGCCAAGAATTCGAGACGTACAACACTATCAGCAAAATTAACAGTCTCCGCAGGTCTAGGGGGTTTCCCGTTGTTGAATTATTTGTCAAATGACTTTAGACATTTTTAGGGATCAGTATGGCGTCACTGTATTTGTGTTCTTCGAAGGGAAAAATGGCGGCCGCAAGATTGGCCGCAAGTATAGTCGGCTGTAGCCCGGCTACGCCCGTTAATTCCTATCCGTACGGTCTTTGGCGGCCGCAATAAAGCGATCAGTCATCCAATGGGAACAAGCAATTTTTACCTTAATATTTTTTAACAATTGGAGTGTTCAGAGGGAAAGCGTGACCCTCCATTTTTTTTACATTAGTAGCGACTCTTGGCACCAATTTCAAGTCTCATGACAAGAAATCGAGCAACTACCTGTATGTATTGCCTTGAAAACGGTTAATTTTTAAGGCTATGTTCATATTATACCAATTAGTTTTTGTGCTGGCCTGTATAGTATGAACACTTATCTGATATATGTGACGCTCCACTTTAGAGATGGGAGCGGCGCGGGTTCGCTCCGTTACGTACAGAAATCGCGCCAAAATCACCGTTCGTATGGTTTTTGTGTCGGCGCAAAAGCTATCTAATATAGCATGGTGTGAACACAACCTTAGAATTTGACGCAGTCCCGTAAAAACCGGCTTAGACCTATGCAATAAAACTGTTTCAACACAGCTGGGGACCGAAATTGTGGGATTATTCTTCATGACACTGCCCTTTTGAACTAGATGATCTACACTAGAAATGTCAAGTTAACCCTCAAATCACAAATAACCATTACAGGGGTTTTCGGTGCAGTTGAGTGAATTTTAAAACTTGTCTTAAATAATTACTTTATCATTTTGTCCTATTGATGTAAATACTAAAATACATTTCTTTGAGTTAAAAACTGCATACGCAAGCAAAAGCTATAAAAGCTAACGATTTTTCATAACTAAATATAACACTAGATGATGATGACCTTGTGTAAACAACTATACTGAATTTTAAATTACAAATTTTGAAAATAGATTCTACATAATATACTTTTGATTTTGATCTATCCCTTGAATGTACTTTTGGTTCACGAATTATTGCTTAATTTAAGCCAGGTATTCATTTTAAACTTAAACTGGAAACAAATAAAACAGTATAAACCATGTGTAATTATTTTGTTCCCACTGGAAACGTATAAACGAATAAAATATTTTAAATTTTATACAAAATGTCATATGATATATTATAACGGGCATTGCATAAACGCATGAACCTCTTGTTGGAATTACTGTCTTTACCAAATCACCACTTATATATTCCTGTGTGGGGGTATAGTTAACTCTCTTGAACCCAAACGCTGTCAGCAATGCAATAAAGTGACTCACAGAGGTACGCCATAAAGAGTGTCAAAGAAAGCAACTGAAGAATGGCACAGACAATCTCTAGGTATCTTTTGGATTGAAGTGGTCATTAGAGAGATGACTGTATTAAGTGACTAAGCTGTTTTTTGTTTCTAGAAGGTAATCCCACTATGTTAAAATGGTGTCCTGCCTTGCTGATTCAGTTGACATTAACCAGTTTTGAAACTAATAAATCATTAAGGATTAGAAATATTTTACCTGAAAATAAGAGTAGTACAGTATACTTCAACTCCTGCATGTTGACTTCAATCCTGACATATGAATGATGATGATGACAAGCTAAGCCTCTTTTCAAATACAGGTTTAAAACAAAACAGAAACTGCTAATACTGTTTTTAGGATCGGAAGAAGACAGTGAAAGAGTTTGACAAGGTTAGCATCTAGAGTAAAAGACAGCATAATTATAAGGACTCAAAGAAAGCTACCACAGATTCTTGAATAGTTGAATGCAGCACCATAAGATAGCGACTTTCTTTTGCAGCTCATGAAGAAGTCAAATAATTTTGTATCCAAAAGACCAGAACATAACCTAGAAGAAGTTTTTCACCACCAATTTAATTTTCCTCCGACAAACTGGACATTTCTTTTTATTTTCCTTCAACTTTTCTGCACAGCCAATGCAGCAAACTTGATGTCCTGTTCTTCCATGTACTAAACTTGCATTTCGAGGTTGCACCAAGCAGATGACGCACAAGTCGGGAGAAAAAGCAGAGTCTTTAGTTTTGGAACTTTTATTATCTGTCTGATGTGTGTGATGTGAGCTTGATTGTCCTTGGTTATTTATTTCTGCTGACGTAGAAGAGCTTGCAGCAAATGATGATGATCCAAGTAGCTGAGTAAAAGTTATTAATTGCGGTGATGATGATGATGATGAAGGATTTTCTATAGTTGGTGTTACAGAAAGTGAATGACTTTTTTGCAGTGTTGGGTATGAAGCAGATTCTTCTAATGTTTTTGATGATTCCATGGGTGGTTCTGAGGACAATCTAACAAGAAAGAAAGGCATTGTAGACAAAAATTAATAACGAGTTATCCTTTCAAGACTGTTTAAACTGATGACATCACAAGCAGATCAAGGGAAGTGGATCTGGCATCACAAGCTTTTGCATGTGGTTCAGGGGCAAATGGGTTAAGGTTCCTAGGTTACAGCAAGATGGCCAAATTATACTTTGTTTTCATCAAAGCTCAGTTCTGACACAAAAATTTGCAACTCTAAGGCAGATGTGTGGGTGTGTGTGGTGTGGTCCATTTTATGAAACTGCCCACATTTCATCTTTGAAGTGAGGGCTGGTGACATCACCATGTGGGAGGTGTATGCTTGGTCATTTCAAGTGCAACATGGTTAAGCAGTTTAATGGTGTATTAATCAAACACACCTTTTCAAATGAGGAAGCCACTCATGTCTTTCCACCCAGCAGCGTGCACACTGACGAGATAATGGATGGTTTTTGAGGTTACAATGTGGGCAAGACCACAAATCATCTTCATCAATGTCTGAATCAGACTCCTGGCCCTCTTCATACTCGTCCCCACCTTCAGCTCCGGGATCCTCATCTTCTGAGCTGATTACTATCACTACAATGGAAATAACAAACAATATAAGGGGCCAACCATTTTACTTTTGGCAGGGGGGCTATGGGTGATTTCAGGAAAAAAATAATCTTGCAATGAAATACCCAGGGAAAAAATATCTCTCACGGCATATAATGTGGGAAAAAAAAAATCCTACGCAGTTGTATGTTGGGGGAAACATTTCATCTCCAGAGCTTTTGGAAAATAATTCTTACCCTAACCAAATCACCCCTTCCCTCTCAAAAGTCAAAAGGTTAGCTCCTAAATAAACATTCACACTCCAATTTTTTTCCCTCTGGGGATAATCAATATTCAGTTTATCAGATACATCATGGCAATTGAGGAAATGATCATTGCATGTAAGAAACCCCACCAGAATGTTTGCAAGAAACCAACTGCTACGATAAAGAAGACACTTTAGTGATATTGGTTCTCTGAAGGGTTAAGGAAACATTTTTTTTCTAGCTTGTTACCTTCATCTTCAGATTCTTCGTCTTCCTCCTGCTCTTCTTCGCTATCAAAATCAGGGGGCTCAAATTCCACAGTTTCTATCAACAAAGTTAAAGTTACCTTAATCTTATCCGTCAATAAGCCAATGATCGATTGAAGAGTTATAACCTAATATTTATGGAATATGCAGGATATGCAGGATTAGAAATAAGCATTTTCCGGCTTGTCAAAATAAGTATAAATCCTATTCTGTGGTTACAAAAATGGAGATTATTTGACCAGACAAGTAAATACTGTTTTCAGTTTTGGCTCACAATAAAGTAAAAGGATACTTTAAGCCAAGGAGATCTTCATGGCTGGGATTTACTCCACTTTGAGCAGCATGAAGGTAGGCAGCGGAGATAAGTTTTTGGTCTAAGAAATATACTGGTATGGCTAATGTGTGAAGCAGGGCATTTAGATGGAAAGATCAACATGCTACTCTTTCCAAACAATGGCTGGCTCCTCTTTGACTTGAAGGAAAGTAATTTGATCTTATTTTCTTGGACAATACAGTCATCTCCTTCAAAACCAGTACTGAGCACCTGTTTTACTGAGGTGTTCAAGAGATGTGTCAGTGTATGTGTGTGAGGTAGAGTTGTTATTGAATGATAAATTATTGAACTTGAAGGAAAGAACATTTTAGGGAGGCATCCTTCTTATAAAGGTGCCATTAAGACAGAGAGCCCAGTTACCTACAAGGAATTTGCCTCTGGATGAATGGGAATTCAACTCAGTGATAGCATTCTGAAAGTTACCAGAATGGTCAGGGATCTCAGAAATAAATTTCCTTCCCTGTGGATGATTTTTAAGACATTAAAATAAACACTAACCATTTAGAAAAAAGAGGTCATCTTCTGAGTCTGTTATGACTGCTGTTACAGCTGAGTCATATCCTTTGACAAAGTAAAGTGCACTGGATGGTTCAGACAGATCACTCTCACTTTCTGATAGCATCACTTTTCCTATGCACCACGGAATATGATGAGGAGGACTGTAGCTGCTGCTTTTCATACCCCAAACATCTAAAGGAATAACACATTAATTAACATCCTTCAATTACAATTTAGCCTAAAGAGTTTCTTTTGAAGGGAAAGAGCACAAATATTGAAAGGTTTCAGTGCCACTTTTATAATCACAGGTTCATTGCTGGAGGTGTTTGGTTTAAGTAAAGTTAAAAATATAGATGAACTTTTCACCTTTCGTAAATGTTGTTTTGTAGTCCATACCTGATAGAGATTCCCTTTTCCGTTTCCTGCATGGCTTTTTAGGCGTGTTACAAAAGCTACCTAAAAGAGTGGAAGAAGTAATGATTAACAGAGTACAAAGTGCCAAAGGGAAAAGAATCGATCGATCGATGACATGATACATAACACAACCAAACCTTTAATAACAAGTTAACTCACAATTCCTAACAGGGACAAAAAAAGGGGAACAACTGAGAAAAGCCCAACGGGCACGTGAAGCATGCCTTTCACAGAAGTAGTGCTGACCCGTGCTGGCGAAGAGAGTTGTGTCCAGTAACCAGCTGGGGCTGCTAATTTTTATGGTCAGGCTGTTTCATAAATTACTCTTTAGTTTAGGCATTTATTGACAATAAATATAAATCATGTTAATAAACATGTTTTAGCCAGTACAGCCTCATCACAACTTGATCCCTGAGGGTCAAGCTGAAAAATTTACTTTGTTTGTCCCTGCACTGCTTTCTGATTGACTTTAATCCATTATAGCAACAAATGTATTTAAATACAATGAATAAAACACTTTGAAAAAATCTACAAAAACTTGTGAAAGTTAATCAGGAAATTATTTGCAAAATGCAATCTGGGAGAACTTCTGCACTGTGAGTCTTGCATTTTTGCCAATGGGTATCATGTGATTCAACACTGTAGAGGTTGTACTGTAACAAGTGAATCAACAAATGTGGCAACTTATATAAAATGTTCTACTGTTGGCCCATTCGGTTCTTCAGTAATTTTCTTCCACTCTCTTCTAAGTTGGACATCCTAAGTATCCAACCAACAAGGAATAGCACTTTGCTAGATTTTTATTTGCTAACCTGGGTTAGTAGCCTAGCCTCAAAGCTAATTTAACTTGAAAATGGATTTAACATACATTTGTACTTAGTTACATTTCATTACAGAAAAGGATCATATAATACAGTACAATGAGAACGTTTTTTAAATTATGACTGGAGCAAGAAAGTATCACAGTTCATTCATTCTGTTGTCAGTGTTTCAAAAGCTGTCACTTTGTACAACAAGTGTGTAGGGTGTAGCTTAGAGAAGTGAAAGGTTCCTAGCTAAGTGTTTTGGCAGAGCAGTTTTATATCAACTATTTTGAAGACACAGGTGCAGTCGGTTGGGTTGGGAGAAGAGGCCGTGACCACTCGTGTTTGAAAACTTTTGTTGCACCTTTTCTCCTGACCACCTCTGGGTCTCCAAGGATGTAAACAACATGTACAGATACATTACCTTGCTCATTGTCTGAACTGTCACACTGTGGAGCTATCAATATCTCACTGAAAGACAAAGATAATGTTAACATGACAGTTTATCATTAGTTTTCTCTCTTAGCGGAGTCCTTTTAGTCGTATCAAAACTGCAGTGCATATTATAGTATCAAAGGGAACAACTGCTAAATACTTTTCACTTGAATGGTCAAGTCTGAAGATTTGCAAACCTGAAAGCTAGAGTTGGATAGCACTGGCTTGATACAAAGAAATACATACAAAGCATCAGCCGGAATCACATGCCTAAATAAGTAAGTAACTGAGAAACAAATTAATTCAAAGAAGGCAACCCACAACAACAAACTAACTGAATAAACAGGAAATCTATGACCTCACATATCTCTTTTGTAAGCATGAAGACCTAATTAGTTTTTATTAGTGCAAAAGAAGAGAACGATGTTAAGAGAAATAAAAGGTATTGAGCTGTACAATTTTCATGTGTCTTTATTCTGTACAAGGTGGTTTTTACTTAAAAGATCTGTTCATACAATTGATAATTGATTTTTGAAGGATAACTACACTGAACTTCCCTATTATATACAAGACATTTGAAGAGCAGTTTTCTTTTAAGTGCCTCTGCTGTAAACATTCCCCTAGTGACAATGAATCAATGTATCATGATTCATACTTGAAAATATAAAATCATTTTGTTTTATTCATTTTGTTTCATCATTTTTAATCATTTTGTTTCATCTTCCTTGTGTGTATGTGAACTATAAACAGTTCCCTATCTGTGTAACCAGAAATGAGACCCAACAACAGGAAAGAGGAGAACTACATTAATTGATGATTTAGTTTCAACAAGTAGATCCTCAAGAAAACTATGTCAACCACAATTAAGTATGCTGGCTCTTGGCCCTGCATAGCTTAAAAGAAGGAGACTGCATTAGCTTTAAGACAAGTAGTTGAAAAAAACTTCTTGGTAAGAAGTAAACCATTTTAATTGTACTAAACGTAAGAAAAGCAGATAAATTAAAGCTATGTGAAATAGGCACCAAAACTGAACATATTAGAAAGTCCAATGGAGATTACAATGGATCAGCTTTAAACTATGAAATCCAAATGATTGCATTTCAACCTAATGCAGCTAGAATCCTGCTTATGCAGCTTCATGCAGAGTCTTAACAGTTAATCTATTATTGTCTACAAAAGGACAAGAAATGAACCCCTGTCTATTTGCTCCACCCTCAGTGCACACCACAGGAGAAGCAAGCCTGTTCAAGTTCTCAAAACATCCTGCTTAAGGAACCCCAAAAATGCATAATAACTTCAGAGATAGGGTCCTCCTACTACAGAAAACTCTGTAAATAACATACAGGATAATCTTCTGAACATGACAAATATGTAAAAATTGTTTAATACTGTACATTCAACATTAAGCTATGCAAAAGACCTTGGACACATTATTGGTAATTATCCAATGACTTATGCAAATGAATGGGTAAAACGTTTTCTGCAATTTAAGTTTAAGAATTACTGTATGTTGTAAAGGATGCATTGACCATGTACAAGCGAGATTAGATTGACATTCTTGAGGAACTACTTTTTAATGCTAAGTTTATTTTCCAGATATTGAAATCGGAGGCGAACCTCTTTTTTAAAAGGTGCTCAACATTGTTATCTCCCAGGCCCTGATAAGCTTATATTTTATTGGGCAAATGAACTCTGTTTGGACACGTTCGAAAGACAAGCCTTGGCCTGCAAAATATACCAATACCGCAAGTTAGCAATCTTCTAGAAAAATACGATATCCAGTCGATTTTCCTCGCGATCCTTTATCTTGAAGCAGTTTCTGTCCTTGGTCTTCAATTTTTGTGTATAGCCTTGCAAAATGCAAATAACACGAGGTTCTGTAATCACGATGCGTGTATTTTTCAGTCTTGAAGAGAATGTCACAACTAAAGTATTATCTCGCAAGCCAATAAGTGCCGAATGTTTCTGTCTTTTATCGTGAACAAGAATTCCAAGATCGACAAGCACAAAATCTAGCAACAGAACAATTCCACGATAGTATCGCAAAAGTTTCAGAACTCGAAACCATAGATAGAAGAGATCGCAAGTTTACAACGAAGTGGCCTGTTGAAATCTAGACCAGGCAGCTATAGACATTCAACTCCATAATCCCTAAACAAAGTGCATTGTGATCTAATGTAAGCGAGAAGGAAGAAAAACAAGAGATCGAGTAGAAATTAGATACGGGTTACAGGCGAGCGTGGGAAAGCGACCTTTAGAGCATTTGGTACTCAACAACTTCATCGGAGATTAATTCGGGCGCGTGGCGCGATCAGTAAAGAAACATCTCTTCTGATAAGTAATATAAATGTCATAGACATCTCACGATTTTTAGTAATTTTACCAAACATAAAACGCACAGAGAACGACATTTTCTCCATGGACACTGCATATGCAAATGTACAAGCGCGTTTGAATGAAGAAAAAAATTTTACAACACTAAAATCAACTTAAGCTTAAAAAGATATGGTATCTTTTGTTCCCCCAATTTCTCGTCGGAGTTCTAAGTTTCTAAATATTTTAGTCTGAATTTTTTTCTACATTTTAAATAATTTTCAACCTTTTATCTGACACAGAGATATTTTTATGTGCCTGTTTACATTGATGTGTCCATTCGCATTCGAACAAAATTACGAAACTTCAAAAATGTTTTACAGCAATGGATATAGTAATCACAAAAAAGGTGAGTCAAAATCTGTCTGTTAAATAGCATAAACGGAGGCACCATACAAAACCACGATTTCAAGAGAAGGTTTCAAAATCTCGAAGGAACGTGAATGTCTATCGGTGCCATAAGCTTAAATGAAAAAAAGAAATTGTAATTATCAATCGAACTCAAACATTTCTAACTTAAGAGAATCACTGAAAATAAAAAAATGCCTTCAAAAGGCAAAGAAAAAGTAACAAGAATGCGGTTCTGATGATTATAACTTTGTAAAAATCCAACGTAAGCTCTTACTATATCACAGTAACTCTGGACATTGTAAGTTATAGAAGCCCTTACGATTGTTGTTCAAAGTTCAAATAGCCCGACGGTTTACGACCCAGGGAATGAACAAACCAACGACAAAAACTTAATTTGTTAGCTAAACTTCTTACCAAGCCTTCTTCTTCTCCACAAGGCCGCCGTCCATAGCCTTCCTGCCCTTGCCGTCCTTCAAGCAGTCCGCTCAACTCACATGTATTTTTTCCCTGCCGTTCTCGTAAAGCACTAAGGAGAATTTCTTCACGATCTAAATCCTCATTTATCGTTTGACCAATTTTGTTGAAATAAGTTTGATAAAATGGTACAGACGTCAAGCAAAAGAAAATCTCTAAAAGTACATCAAGCCAAGAGGCTGAAGTTTAAGGGCCAAAAGGGTTGTCTGTTCCTTCAGAGTTTTGCTTGAACACGCTTGATACATCTCTATTTTCTCCCAAGGGTCGCAAAAGCTTTGGATCGAACCGGAAATGATCCGGTTTGTCAAAATAATAGTGAACCTCATTGAACCTTATGAACTTGTCCAAGCATGCCCTTGCAACCATTGGTTATCTAAGTTTAGATAAAAATTGATTGGTTAACAGTTGACAAGTTCAAAGAAAGGTCAATTAGTTTCATTTCACTTTCGCGCGCTTTTTAGCACGTGTTCCTCAATGAACATTTTTCGCGCTCATCACATTTGACTTATCTTGTCGTCACGCACCAGCGAATTCAAAATTGGGTAACGATCCCGCGGCTTCCCGCGGCGTGCTTTTGGTCCTTTGTAGAAAAAAAATTATTCGCCACTTGCACATCTCCATTATGCAGCTTATTTGCCCCCCAAATTTTGAATAACCTTTGTTTTTCATTTCTCCTGGGTATTACAGCTGTCTAAAGAGAAATTGAAAACAATGCTTATGCAAAATTTTGCGGGGCAAATAAGGTGCATTATGGGAGATGTGCAAGTGGCGAATGCACAGTCCAAAAGCAGGCTCCTGGCACAGTGAAATGGCGTCAAAAAAATGTTGTAAAGTACCTTGTTAAGTACAATATAAGCCATAAGGAAATCACAAACAAAAAAAAGTAGGCCCATCCGGAAAAGAAAAACAAATCGTCGGGTACTTTCAGTACGAAATTTTCAGTTTTTTGACGGGGTGTTCACGACAAACGCAGTGTTGACTCTTCCTATCATTCAAGGAGGTGAGTGTAAACGGAAATGAATGTGAATGGTAATTTTAAAAAAGTCACAGTTGCAAAGTGGCCTTGATGAAGGCCCGGGTGGTGGGGGGGGGGGGGCACTACCTTATTTGGCCTCAGTACTAAACGGTTATGTGCCCGACGCTTGTTTGTGCAAGGATCAGTTCGGAATTTGGGGAGTGGTTTGACCATGACAGGTCATATTGCACAGATCATGATTACAGGACACTATTTTATTGATAGGTAAATTAAATGCCCTTGATCAAAAACAACATTTTGGATAGGGATTAGGGCTAGCACACACTTATGATCCTTTTCATTAATCCGTAGCACGGTGACCTATATTCTGACCTGTGGAATGTGATCTGTAAAATACACCTGCTGCCAGCTGTGAAGGAGGTGGCGGCTGGCGATGAGCAGTCTACATGTGTGGCACCAACCATTTTCTTTTGATGTTATGTTTAAAAAATTACTTAATTCTGTATGGAAAACAAAATGAATCAGGGCCATGAAATAGGGTCTTTTGTCTAAAAAGGGCAGGGTTAGAGTTTGAAGGCCATGGTAGCACACCTCTACCCAAACTTACCTTGAGTGCCCTCCCCCCGACCCACCCCTGGGTGCTGAAGTTAATAATTGAAGACTGGAAATAAGCTCCGGACAGTGTGTAAATAATGGGAATGAATTATTTTGATCGCAAGGCATTATTATATTAGCTCCTTCAATTTCCAGGGGGATCGTCCATATCATGGCCTATTCAGGGTGGGGGTTCTGCACAAAAGGGGTACTTTTTTCAGTCAGCTTCCCAAATATACAAGGGCAGGAATTTCACGAGCAGAGGATATGAAGTGGTATAAAAATCGGTTATTTTGGTGTTTAAAAGGGCCTTTAACTAAAATATTTTGAACTGATGCTGATGTATCTTATGGCTAAATCTATTAAATGCCATATATTATGTCAAATAGACTTACCATCAGTAAGAGTGTGAAAGGGGCACCATTTTTCATTTGAAGGTATACGGAGGGGTTAGCTTTGCTATCAAAAGGGTCAAGGGGTTGGACTTCTGAACCCCCCCCTCCCCCCTTCTTGGGAAATGTAGTTCATATTTGATGAAGAGGGGAGAAAGGAATGGCGGTAATGAGTCTAATGAATGCTTTTTTTGGTTAGAGAGAAAAAAATAAAGAGAAATTAGAAGACTACATTTTTGCAAGCAACATTTGGTGACAGCGGTATTAAAAAAGATGGTGAACTATGGTTAACTTCAGTGTAATCATAGTAGTGTAAATTTAACACTTTTCGGCCATTATTTAGTTTTAAGAAAACAACTTTATTAACTTTTCATGTTTTAATACAGAGGTACTAACTGAGGACACTGGGGGCTCCCATATGGGAGTCAGGCTGTTTTTTCTATGTAGTCATCCTAGCCATGTGAAGGTCAAGCCACCAGGGGTGGGGGGCACCTCATGGTATATATGGGGAGACTCCGTCCAAGAGGGGTACCTTTTTCAGGCTTCATGTGAATGAAAGGGTAAGGATTTTACTAGTTGAAGTATATTTTAAGGGCAGGGGAATCTGTCATTTCCATCTTAAGAAGGCCCAAATGGACTAACAGATGCATTTTGTGGCTGTGGAAAAGTTGAGAAAACGTTCTGGTTTTGTGAGTTATTCATATTTTTAATACAGTGCCTTTACAGTAGCTAAAAGGGATGTAAAAGTCTTAACTAGTATGTAAAAGAGGTACCATTTGTCAACAGAACGTGTACAAAAGGGGCACTCTCCTCTCAAAAATGGTATATAAAAGGCTAAAGGGTTGGACAAGGCAAAGTAACCACTGAAGCCCCAGGGCAGAGCTTCCCCGTATAAAACTTTGTGGAGTGCCTCCCCCCCCCCCCCGGGGTCAAGCCAAGGCAAAGGCAGCAGTGGTGGATTCATTTCTTCAAGCAATGGGCGCCTGCTTATCCAGACAGTAGTAGAGATGATCTAAGTGTGAATTATGTATAAACCATACATGGCTCTGTTAGAAATCTAAATAAACACTGTACATGGCAACTTTTTAATAAGGTTATGAACTTAGTTGCCTTTATTATTAATACAAAACTGAAACAAGCTTTCCTTCATGTTCCCTTGAAATAATATTTTGGCATTATTAATTATTATGGTATGAAGAAGGGCTTTTCTTTTGAAATATTTTCCTTGCTACTTCCATCCAGAAACAGTTATTTTGCCTTTTTACAGGTATTTATCAACCATAAAATGTAAGCTGGGAGGACAAGAGGCTAACGCCAGCATCTGCTTTCTTGAACCTACGAGTAACAGTTCCAGGCACAGGATTTGTATCCTTTTGCTCTTGAAATAATTGGATAGCTTAACGTCTATTATCCATCAGGTACATCAGTCCCATTTGCTTTTCACAGGCTTTCCATTCTGCACAGACACAGACACGGTATGTTTTTTTCCTCCAGTTAAATTCATGTACCCAAGAAAGAGAACACAGCCAACAATAGCCACCGTACCACTGATCATTACCACTTTGTTCTACAATGTACAATATTGAGTTGCGTTAGAAAACAGCAATATGAAAAGTGAAATCATGGTTTCAGTTAAAAGACTTAATTTGATAGTGAAACCAGATTGCATAAATTCAAGCTGGTTTGACCCGTAGTGAGAAAATGAACCACAGTTTGGGTCTGGCTTTCAACAAAAATACACTTACGAGTTTGACTTACAGCTTCAATATGAGGTCTAACTGGAACTCAAATGTAAGTTAGAATAAGTTTAGATGGTTACAATATCAAAATTCTTTTCATTGACAGTTAGAGAGAAACTGAAAATAACTTATTCCCAAATTTTCGACAACATCTGTCTGTCTTGTTAAAAAAAAAAAATTACATTCAGTTTTGATCTACAGGGAGGAGAGGGAAGGGGCTTAAGGGAGGTACTTTAGGAAAGTTTGGTTAGGGATGTGTCGCTCGGACCTCAGTGTCATTAGCCCATACCAGACCTAATTTGGCTGAATTTTGATACCCTATACTAGACTTTACTTCCAAAATCTCTCCCTATCCTTGAGTCACTGTTTTCCATTAATTACTAGATCAATGTCAACACTTACTTTGCTATTAAGCTGAGTTGTGGGCTTATTCCTTGTTTCCCTAGTCTAGACCAAAATCTTCATCCAAGTGATCAGTTTCTTGAAAAATGATTCCATATTCTAGAACCAAACTCTCTGATTTCTTTACCTTATCCCAGAGTAAAAAACCATACCCTTCACAGTGGCACATACCAGTATACCTATATACACACTTGCCAACCCCCAAAAGACAAAAAATGCCAGTTTCTTAACCTAGAGCTGGCAAAAGTAGTGAGAAATGGGTAAAAAGTCGTGAGATGTTCCAAACTCCCTTGTGGAGGGACTTCCAGCGGGGATTATGGGCATTGGAAGTCCCATTAAAGCTGCAGCAGTAAACATGACGATCAATTTTAGACGATTTAGTTTTGTAACATCTAAGTTTTGTTGGCGGGGAGTCTCATTTTAAAACTTCTGTAAAAATGAGAACTGTTTCAAGGTGACGTGGTTCAGCTGAGCACTTCCTTAATTGCTTGGAGGAAAAAGACCCGAAAAACTGAACCCCCAACCAAAAAAAATCTTATCTAAGAACATTAAATTATAAATTTAACGTTTACTCACGGGTTTGATGAATAATTCTGGATTAATAAGCCGAAATGCAAACGTAGATTGCTGACCGGGGCCTCTGTTTCTTCCTTGAGAGGACGCCATTTTTTTTTCAAGTGAGGGAGCTGGACACTAGTTTTTAGTTTCTTGCCGGGCGGCACTTTAAATTTGACTCCGTTTCTCCAAAAGGCGCGAGCGAAATCTTTCGTGGGACTTCTGCCGGTCACCTCTGGAATTTAATTTAATTAACCCTGAGATAAGCAGCGGGGAGGTGGTCTCAAAAAAATTTTTCGGCCCTCAGTTTGGTCTAAAAATGTGAGGCGGGGGGGCGGGCCCCTCCCCTGGATCGGCCACTGTTATTTTGTGTCCACACTTTTCATGAGATTCTTTATTTTAAGGTACTTAGGGTATAATAAAAAAAGCTATTGTAACCACCAAATATTACGCTTTTTAGGGTGTTGAAATAGTGAAGATAAAATAGGGTGGCATATCTCAAACGGGAAGGGTACTCAAACAAACCGTAGATTGTTATTTACACAACAAGACTGAAGGGAAAAAGCCGCCATAGCTGGTCCGAAGCTATTTGAAATTTAACCCAAAACTCTGTAAAACACGAAAGAAACGTAGATACAATAGAGTCAAGTGACCCTTTCACGCGTATAAACCCCAACAGTCAACTGTGTGAGTTGACAGTGAAGAAGCTGAACTACTATTGTTGAAGAATTCCTCGTCAGTAGTGCATCATAGTTAATTAGTGCATCATAATTATAGAGAAAACCAAATTTCTCTATCATTGATCAGTAGATTACCTGTGAAACACTGCCAGTTAGTAAGGTCGGAAATTACCGATACTTTCAACGAGGAAGGAAATGTGCGCTTTTTAGCTTCTTCTTTTTAAGTTTATGCTTAACATCGCAAGGATCTATTTTGCTACAGTCAAAAGCACAACAAAAAATTGTGCTCTAAACATGATTTTCGTTTTGTTGTGTCTTTACAGCGAGTCGACGAAACATGTCTGTGAGCAGAAGCTCGACTGCGTTTGTCACAGAACTAATGCTGATCAGTTTTCTAATTTCAGTATATAACTGGCCTGCAATGTTCGCTAAATCATATTGAGAAACCTTAAATCAATTGCTTTTGGTGATATTCTAAGTTCTGAATAAACTCTCGAGTCTGGAGTGTCTTTGAGTTGTAAGTAAAATCTTCTCTTTGCTAATGCCTATAGCTGTACATTTTTCTCGGGCTCCTCTGGTAACTTCTCTTTCTTTTTTTCGTCCCCTGCATGGGACGCTTCAAGAACAACAACAGTTAAAACCCTCGAGCTGAGCAGGATTGGATCTCCTCTTACAAGTAATTAGCAAAACCTTGACAATCCAGCCTGATAAGAAAAGTCTGGTAAATGCGTGCTTATAAATTTTCACAGAGTTTTTGAGCGACCGGTCAGCCTTTGAACCACCTTCAACGGCCCGCGTGATAGACATCGAGAAGGGCGGGAGAGAGAAAGGGAGATGGGATTGGGGAGACGAAAGGGACGCATTTCTGCGGCCGCTGGCGCCCGCTAAATTCCGATTGGCTGAGACACATGGAGTAACTAATACCGGAACTCCAGGCGTGCGCGAGCGGATCCCCATACCTAAAAAAATTTGTTTATCTGTCCACCCGAGAGATTTTGGTGATCACGTGACCGTACGTCCGCTCGTCTGTCGCACCACGGCGAAGTTAATGTGAAATGTAAAACTTTCTAGCTAGTGTGGCAGGCTGTGACCTATGTTTAACTTGATGATAGACAGGATAGACATCCATATTATAGTCAATTGACAGCTGATCAGAGTCACATGACCATATCGCGGGCTCAGGTGACAATTCATCGAGGTCACGTTTTTCCGCTGACCAGTTATTAGCTTTTAATTGATCGCAGGCTTAAGTTAATGTTTTTCAGTCATATGGTTCTCCCAAGTCCATTGTCTGAAGTAAATTTAAAAGCATAAACTGGAGCTTCCTATATATTACTACAAAATGAGAGTTGCACGGTTTCAACAAAACTAATAAAGATGGCGATGTTAGATGTGGTAACAAGGATTTCGAGTGTTGTCATTTTCCCGTTCCCTTTGACGTTTCCCCTGCTTACGCAAGCTACACGCGAGCTAATTCTGTCTCATCTCCCCTCTTCTACCAGCATTAATGGCGTAAGGCATAGCCGGCCGGCAAATGCATTATGTGATGATAAATTGGGGTTCTTTACTGACGAATACGTCTACAGAGGATTTTGTTACTTGGAGAATTGTCGCTTTTTTTTAAACAATTCCTTTTGAACGGTAAAAGTTAGGGAGTGGGGAGAGTAGCAGACCTGATCCCAGACAATGATACAGAACAATAAAGACAATTCCTCTCATGATCTAACAATTTTAATTTCGTTTTTCTTTAAATGATAGTTGTTCCTTTTTTAAAGGTATTATTCTACTAAAATAGATTTGATAGAAATACAAGCAGTGCCTGCATTGACTTAACGAAGTTTTTTTCAAAGTACCTTACATAATTTTTGTTATACACCAATCATAATTCGAGTATAACTTCTAACAAAGGACATCTGTAAACTTGAGTTGGTTTTATAATTGCTACTTTTTATGATCTCCACCTAAGTCTATGGGTTCACTGTATATTGCAAGGTATAATTAGTACCACTGATACATGAAAGACAGAAAGATGCGTCTTACAAATTACATCATTAATTGCCTTTGAGCTTGGAACAATTCTCCAGGCAGCCTTTTTACTCACTATCTTTATCACGCATTAGGTCTCCCAATGTTTACATCGTTTATTGAAACAGCTTCCTGAAAAGCTGTTTTTGGCACACATACTTTGTAGTACTTTGCTGCAATTAGCAAACAGCAAACTTGGATCTTGTTATCTACAGTCCATCTATGAGTTGCTTAGCCTTTGGTCCAGCTTTATTAGCGAAGAAATAAGCAGCTTTTTTTAGTCCAAGACCATGAAGATAGCGTGCATACTCAGTGTACACAGCATGGACCAGTGCAGCTAATACAACAGGAGTCAAGGATTCAAGGATATTATACACTTTCGACAATACATAGCACAGTCCGCAAGAAACCTCCACTTGTCGCGTGCGTTCGTGTTTCATTTTCCTTCCCCGCTGCGGCCCCCACCCTCCGTGAGATGAATTCTAACTATCTTTTATCAGATTATCACGCAACGCGACGCTCTCGAAGTTGCGTAACAGAAGGCCAGAAATGGACTACCCGAGGCTTTTCTACAGGCTCTACACTACACTGACTAGTTCCCCCTTTTTAAGCAATTTTATTCTACATAACTTCTTCTTAACGTCAAGGACAATCTTGAAATAGAACTAATGATCATATTCTGGTGGCTCTTGACTTTTTGAAATTCTGCCACTGTTGGCAGGGCTTCTCAGAGAAAACACTAAGGGAAGCAGTTCAAATCAACTAAGCTTTGCAAGGATACTGTTTTTTTCCTCTTCGGGAGAAAGAAAACCAAACTCTTGACAAGCTTCCGCAAACAATCCTGCTCGGTCAAAATACCGCATGCTGCAGATAAATAATAAATATAAGGTACCTCTGACCGCGCGCGTTTGTGCTAAAATTAAACATTACATTTTCCTTAACTTGTACTGAGATCACCATCGTAGTCACTCATTTGAACTGACCAAAAGAGATCTGGATACGAGATAAACATCATGCAGTGATGCCACTCTCCGCAAGCTAACAACAATTTTATCGCAGTTTTTTTCGTGAATTGCTTCACAAAAAAACACACATTTGGTGTTAACTATACTACTCTCGTTCCTCCCTTAAACCTTAATATCTTACCACGGGGTGGTTGTAAGCATTATAAGAGACATCACTGTTTACAAACATTGTTATTGTAATTCAAATTTGTAACAAGTGAAACAAAAGCATCTTTTGTTTCAGGAACATATGTGCTTCTGCTTGGCACATTAATATTGATAGGCAAGGCCTGCAGCGTGAGTATAGCAGAAGTCCCGGAATCCAAGCCACATGAGAGTGAAGGAGGGAGGAGTGAAAGCTAGGTTAGCTGGTTGGCACGTATAAACGTATAATAAGCTCGCTCCCCAGTCTTATATTGGGATATTCGAGGGAAGAGCTACGATGCTCCAACACGATTCACGCCTAATTTCTACTTACCCAAGTTAATGGAATTCAACCATGTGAAATTTAAATTATATCCTTATCTTATACAGTTGTTCCACTTACCTGTACAACATATCTAGAGCTTTATAGAACTTGCCCAAAGAAAGTAACACCAATACAGCCTTGCTCTGAAAAAGACAAAACAAAACAAAACAAAAAAACATGACAGCCTAGCTAAAGTTGGGTTATAAAAATCCCCTTCGTAGGGCCCCATTTTTGCGTACAAATGACTCAAACATTGACAGTCTTCCTCCGCTAACTGGAGCACGTATCCTCGCAAAAGAGAAGACCACTCTTTACTCGGTCACGCTTCCAATGCTCTTGGTGTAATAGTCTCACTAACAGTTTCCGCAAGACCCGGGAAAGAGTGGTATAGGGATCATATTTGAGTTAAGAAATACCGCATGTTCGTGAGGGGGTGGGAATCACCAGAGGATCGACACGGAGACAGAACGATAGCTAATAGCAAAACGCCCGGAAACTAAGCCCTCGTAACTTTATCTGCAATGTTTACACCACACCCTATATATTTTTGTGTCGAGATTGAAGGCTTTGTTGTTCAGCATAAACGTTGACGTAACAGAACTGGAACAAGCCGTTCACACACTTCACATATCACACTTCACACATCGTACCAGAGCGATTAGCCCAGAGGGTTTGGAGTACAAGATCCCATTCCTCAATTCTGAATATATCCTTTTGCTCAGGGGTTCCAATCCTAGCTGCTACTCAGTTATTTCCGCTACGGTCCGAACATCTGTTTACACTGCGACGAAGAGTGGCAGAAATAATGTGACGGTCCACTTTTACGATCAGTGAGGCGCAATGTCGTTTCCTTTCAGCAATCACCGTTCTATGCGTCAACAGAAACCATATCCAATATGGTTTTCGTGACGGCGCAAGACCTATCCGGCATAGTGTGAATACAGGCAAACGCTCTCATCTCAACATAACATACCTCAAAACCAACCATTCTACCTTTGAAGCCTTTTAGCCGAGTATAGCCTTATGTCATAAACTATTAGATTGGAGGCTTAATTCGTATTGTGTACAGACCTGCTGACTGGTGTATGTACTAGAAAGGTGTTCAATCCATCTTCTCATCACCTCAGCGCAGTCAGGGTAGTTCAAAGTTGCCTGAAATTTAGATTAGTCAAGCAAGCAGGTGAGCAATCGAGGACACTAGAATAAATCTTCTCCTTTCGCGACCAATCACAGACCAAGAAAAAAGTCAAGAAAGGGTTTTGCATTCTTATAAATTTCTTTACAGTTGTTCTATTCTGTCTTAATGGTTTTCTGACTATAAAAAAGAGCTTCCTAAAAAAACTGTTCACAGTCAGTTTAGGAGTGAGCCACTTTGTTTGGTGAAAGAGGGTATGGACAAAACGAGGAAAAGAAAGAAAAAAAATCCACTGTCGTGTTGTACTTGTCATCCGTTGCCGTCCTTCTGTACTCCCACAATGGTGAGCTTACGCAACAGGACGGGAGAGGAAATACGGCAAATCTTGTGTGGGACAAGCGTGACACTTTCCGCCAACACTTTTACTTATCTTATCTCTTATCTTATCTTATCTTAAAGAAAAAGTAAGTAATAGCCTTGTCACGTTTGTCACACTCAAACGTTTTGCCGTCCTCTTCTTTCTGCCGTCCTGTTGCGTCAACTCACTTATGTTAGCGGCTGCGTGTACTGACACGCGCGCCAGACTCAGCCTTCACATAGTTTTAGCTTTACAGACCAACTTAAAACTTTTAATCTGCATATATTAAGATGTCGTTTTACTGAGAGCAGCGAAGAATTGAGGCAAAACATACATAAACAGAAACAGTGTTATCAGGTATTATTTAACCTGTTATTTTGTGTCGTCAGATTTGTGGTTGGTCAAGTCCTTTCTTATTACCTTTGCAAGCCACGCTGCTCGATCCCATTCCCCGTAGGTCTGAAGATATCGACAGGCATCTAATCCTTTGTCAATCAAACACAGCAACTGCACTCCCTCTGTATTCAGTACAACAGAACAAACGTCAAATTGTTAATTTTTCGGTTCAGCGTAAACTGGTCAGAATTTTATGATACATAAAGGGGCGCCGTATTTGACTGGCTGAAGATGCCGGAATCTCAACCTAAGTTAATAAAATAGTAGACTGCAAAACAGTCGGTTTTTTTCTCAAAATCGGTTCAGCCTAACTTAATAGCCTTGTGTTTGACTGCTCGCACGTACTTGAATACGTAAAAATAGGGACTGTTTTGCAGTCTAATAAAATAGGTTAAATGTACCAACCTGCTAATTTACCGCTGGCAATAAGATTTGTTGCTACAAGTTTTATTGTGCTTTGTGATGCGCCTGAAGAACGGATCGTCGCTACAAGACATGCTCTAAAAAGCAAACGGAACAAATGTAAAATTTATGCTTCAGAATTAGTTCAGTTTCTTCTCGCTTGGTTCCAATGTTCTCCGATGATATTTTTCTGAGAAAAAAAGCGAGCCTTGTAGTGGTTGAATAACATCGTTCAGGATAAATCTTACAGGAGAATATGAAAGGCGTCCGGGAAACAAATTACAGGAATTGAGGTCACGTTCAGTGTTTTGATTGTCAATATTGACCGATATCCGTCCCCAGCGCAGCTCCTCGGACTACAAATGGACGCTGACGGTGACATAATTAGTTTAAAAAGGCGGTTTGAGATAGCTGGGAGCATGTTCTGGCTGAGAAAAGGCTCCAATATCAGAAAATGTTTGAGATAAAGAGTAATAATACCTGAGAGAGTCTACATAATAGTTATCATTAGCAGCATCTGTCTCCAAGAAAAGCTGAACTGCTCTGTCGGCCTACGAAAGGAACAGAATATCATGACATAAGGGTCAAACATGAAAGGTTTCATAATTTGGTTAAGGTAAGAATTCGTCCAAGCTTACGACTGTGGCGGAGAGAGAAAGAAAGTTGTGATCAATCTCTTTGCCCTAGTGAGCACACATAATCAAACGAGATCAAGGCTAGGGGAGGACGATTTCATACAAATCACTGTATTTTATCCACCCAAGCGTTGAATTGCTACCTTTGTTTAAAGGAATGTAGAAACGCTCTTTTGTTGGTGAAAATATAATACTATAACTCTATGCAAGAACTTGTTTTGCCCCTGGTCTCTTTAGTAAATGTTTTTTTTTTACTGAAATCACCCAACCCCCACCTAAAAAGTCAAATGGAAAGAACCTAATGGATGAGAAAAACCTTTCTGAAATCATCTCTAGACTGAGTTAATAAAAAGTTCATACCTGTCCCAACAGCACCAGAGTCTCAGCACATTTCCTTGTGTGATCATATGTGGATCGTTTACTGTCATGAAGTGCAAGGCGATCGAGCTGACTTCTCTAAATAGCGAAAATTGCATTGTTAAATTGGGATCGTTCATTAATTACCGAGTACATTGGTCAAAGTTTTCAAACATTGGAGACTGATGGTGAATCAGTGTTGGGTTAACATTTTCAATAACTTTTAATCTTAAATCTAATGGACTGATAGGGGAGCTCCACGCGCACGGGAAGCTTGCGAGAGAAGAGCCTCATAGCTAACAAAATTTGGTTACTCTCCACCCAAGGAATGTTGATAGCAAAGTGCCCGCCCGTCCGCACCACAGGTAAACCAATGTAAAAATGTCACACTTTCTAGCTAGTGTGGGAGCGTACAACCTGATATGGCACATCCATGATGTGGTCAATTGACAGCTGTCAAAACAGAGTATCCGTTGACCAGTATCACATGACCATATCGCAGGCTCAGGTGTCGACCCATCAGGGTTACCTGTTTTTTTTTTTGTTATCCGCTGACAAGTCAGTACTTTTCGTCTGATCGCATCCCTAACACGTAGTGGATTTCTTTGCAATGGTTACAAGTTTTAAACTGTGAAAGTTTTGAACCCAGGAGTCATTTCATAAGTAGGTTGACTAGAGTTTATTGTTCAAACAAGTTTATTGTTTGAAGAAGATTATACGGCAGCTACGCTTTTAGCCTTGGCTAAATCTATATATAACTGATACTGATATCACTTTTCAATTTTCTATAAGCAGTGGTCAGGATGAGCGCAACCCGATCAAGGTCTATAAGCAATGGTCAAGATGAGCGAATATCGGCCAGTGTAATCAACATTTGTCCGTGGACAGCGAGTATATTGATAAATGAATGTGACTGTGAGGGTTTGCAAATTATCACTTTCCTGTTTTAAAACAGACACACACCTGAAAAGCATCGGTGTCACTGATAATATCATAACAGGTGTCGAGGGAGACTGGGTAACAGATGCAGCTTAAGCTCTCACTAGCTTCAGTTTCCTCTCGGCCACAGAGGTCAAGGTCGTCATCTATTGATAGTAGATCCAGGCTCCGGGAACTGTAGCTTCGTTTGATTTTGGTCGTGGATTCAGATGGATTAAAGAAGTCAACTGACTGTGACCTTGAACGACTACTGTACGAGGGCTGGTGTTCAGTCTCAAAAAAATCAGTGAATAATAAACTAGTAACACACTACACATGTTAACAAGAGGACAGTAAATTTCAACAAATTTGGCAGTCTTTGTGAGGCCCAAAATAACTTGAATGTTTGGGGTTTTTTTTTCCATCCTCTCAGCTTTTCTGTTCAAACAGTGAGGGCCGAGGGATTAAGTGGCGTCATTTTTTTTTCACACAAATACATTCTATCAGTGCCATGAAGCATTTTTCAATTGTGTCAATTGAGAAAAGTAAAGAAAACCAACATTAACATTGTTGTAAAGAAGTTCAAACGTACAGTTTTCATTTCCGGAAGTGAGATACTGCAACCCGTACGCGAATATGTTACCTGATGTTTCAAACATAATATTCTTGACTTTTCTCGTCTGAGGTAGTGAAGAGCGACCTCCCAAAACACTGTCTCTGCTTCATCTCCAAATAAACTGAAAATAAATGATAATCAGTGAGTTTTCACAAACAACATTTGAAATCACTGGCTCCCCGGATGGCAAATTTCTAAAATCCCACTTTCTCGCTTTCATAGACTTCAAGTGCCATAACTATTATTTACACTACATACCATTAAAACATTTTTTTGAGCGCAGATCAGTATGAATGAATTAACACTTTGAACCATATAACTCACTGTGCTGTTAAAAAACACTTTTGTGCGGTCCCCAGTGCTGTGTTCATCAGCAGATCTGTGGTGCTTCTGGAAATAAAAATATCGAAACACAAGATCTTAACGTGAAGGTTAGTCTGGTCTCTTTATCAAAAGAAATACAGCGACACTCAAGCGCCCGGAAAATCACCTCTCGGAGAGGCGACGCGAACATGAGGCGATTTTGCAAACATTCTTGTTTTTCGCTCTCTGTTAATATGTCAAAGAAAAATAAGAATGTACTCGCAATAACAGTCGAATAGTTTCCGTAAGCTAAATAACTACACATAATTGAGTATGGGCGACTCTGATATACCTCGTGGGAGGAGAGGGAGGGGATGGAATAGTGTTTCTGTTAAAAACGCCTTAGGGGGGGGGGATAGCATCAGATAAAGTACAAAGACGCTTGGGTGACATTTCCTGGAGTATTAAGAATGGCAGTTTTTATATAAATTAAAATAATGCAACAACCATTTGTAGTGAATCAAACCATGTACCTGTTGTAGCAGCAGAATAATGCAACGGTCTGTTTGCGAAAGAGAGGTGTCTACTATGTGAATATATAGTCAAGCTCAGTTCACGGCAGTAAATTACAATACTTACTGTGGAATCATCTTCAGTTGATTTTGAATTTCAGTCAGGGACTCTTTACTTTCTAATTCCCTAAAATTAAAATTAAAAAACCAGATTGCATCTTCTTTTGACGTGTAAGGAGATTGGGGGGCGGCAATGTACTTTACTTTTGTCTTCCATTGTAGATGTATTTGTTTGATTCACCTGATTATGCTCAACCTCTATAATTAGCCACAATGACCAGATCTTACAGCATGCCGGGACTGCTGGTTTTCGTTTTTCTTTCTGAGCGATTCTGTGTGACATCGGGAGGGAAGTCAGTAAAAAACGAACAAATGGATGATGTGGTTTACACAATCTAATATGTCTTAATGCTTCTTATATACGGTATACATGTAGGTAAGTGAAGTAGAAGGAAAGTGCATAGGTGGGAGTGGAAGAAAAGCTCCGATTAAGTTAGGAAAAACGTCTTTTGGTTTCGCACACGGATGTAAAGGCTTTAGGGTTCAACAACACTTTAAAAACGATTTTTTTTTAAATTATCGTTTTGGTAATCCTTCTATTCTTCGTTTAGCGCAACAGATGTGTGTGGGTACCAGTGGTGAGTCGAGTTCAAGGCTCTCTCTCTCTTTTTATTTACTAGAGAAAGTCATATTACAAAGTTGCCTCGAGGGACAATTTTGGTCTCGAATCTGTAAGATAGGATAGAACTAAAAATTGATAAAACAGATTAGAAGTTTCACGAGAAACTCATAAGGGGTTGAAACGTGTATCTCGCGTTCAATGCTTGTGAATATTCAGTTTTTCTAAGTACCATATTTGAAAGCCTCGCTGCGGCCTTAAAAAGGCAACAGGTTCAACAACAACCTTGCAAGGGCATCACGCTTTTTTGTACATTTCTTTGCCATCACTACACGACTACGATATGAAAGTCCCTTTTGTGGGGGGCGAAGACACAACGCAGCGAATTTCTTTTTCTTTTCCTGAACTTTCATACCGTCTTTAGACGAACTGAACGAGGTGGAATAAGCGCGATCAAGTTTGAAGCAGCGCGAATACAGTTTTTAGTAACGCTTTTGTTTCTGTCGCCATCGTTGTTGCTTGAGCTCTCTCAGGTTCCCTCCTGAGAACGTGGCGTAAAATTACATCACGTCGTCGTTTACGACATTTGATTGGTCAGTTGTTTTTTCTTCTCGTTCCACATTTGGTACTTGCAAAAATGAAAATTCACGAGCATCGGACAAAGCATACATATGAGAGTTACATGTTTCAACCCCTTATGAGATTCTGTTTTCACTAAATAGATCTTACAAGTCTGAAAAATCCGTCAGTGAGTACTGGTCCCTTCCAAGAGAGTGTTGAAGTAGAGACTTGAGAATAAGACTTGTCTTAGGTTCCATAATATACGGGCACCACAAAGGACCTATCAAATGAATTCAAACATATAGAGTGTTTTCACTCACGTGACCAGTATCTATGCAAATTTACTGGAACAAAAGAAAGCGTTTCCATAAGAAAAGAGTTCAACTCTCACAGGACTGGTTTGGAATACCAACATGGCCGACGTTTCATTGTTTTGGGATACCAATATGGCCGCCTTGACGTCATGTGAGAACACTCTATTAACTATATGAGGCGTGCAAGATTCCAGTCAAGCTTAGCCGCGTTTAGCATACTCTCACAGATTTCATCAATGATTTCATTGTTTGAAAATTGAAATGCCATAGTTGTTGCATACATGAAATTCATTTCCTCATTATTACGTACGTCATGAGCAGAGAATTCACAAGTAGGAAGTTGAAATGTCTAAATACGAGCACTGAGAAGTTGTAGTCTAAACTAGAAATTCACTGCCAATAACTCAAGCAGGATTTCAGACCAGTAGCTGTAACAACTAACGGATTGGAGGTATGTTTGACTTAGTATTCTGAGAAAACTCCGTATTCTCTCTCATCCATCTCTGGAACTTATGAAATCTGACAGAATTTAAGAAAATTGGGATTACGAGAAGCTGTCATTTACAACTTGTATATTTGGCAGAATTCCCAGGGAGCCAGGTGGTGATGAGGAAAAGAACACTTATAAGGGTTCTAGATACACTTTACTCTCAAGGTACCAAAGGAGCCTACCATCAAGGTCCATATCAGCCATAGCTGAGGAAGAGCTTTTTAGGCCCATTGTCATAACAAGAATAGCTCCATTTGAGTGTGTCACAATTGGTAAATCTGATGCTAACCAATCCATGTCGACAAGAGGAGGAGAATCCTTTGGAAGTTTGTAGCTGCTGTAAATTTCAAACTGGTGGAAGAGAAAAAGAGCTCATTCCATGTTTATTTAATGGCCAAAAACGAGTTAACAACTTAAACCTTTCCACTGATGTTTTCATCTGTATACCTTGCTAGTTCACTACCCAAGCATTTCTCAGAACTTTGCTCAGTAGTCATTTCTCACAATCATCATGAACCACTCTCGTCCGAACATATGAATGACGTCAATGTATTATTGGTTTAACTGATATTTAGTTATGTTTTAACAGGTTTCAATACCTGACGATATTTCACATTTTTGCCCAGATCACAATAATTGTCACCGTTCCATAAAAGCGAAGCAGACCCTTACATAGGAAGGGGGGAGGGGGGTTTCTTTTGGCCCTTTGGGCCTCAGTTTAGTCTAAAGATAAGGGCCCCCCTGGACCTCTCCCCTGGACCCGCCACTCTAACCTACCTTTTGCAAATCCCAGATATCAATTCCATCACTGTAGAGTGCAGCAAGCTTGTTGTTTCCTCTTCCTGGACCAAATTTGATTTTCTTAATGTGACCTCGGTGGGTAACCATACTCCTAAAATACAAAACTAGTAGTGAGAATAGTAGGGATGAAATTTACCCTGAATAAGGGGAGGAGTATTAAGTATTACTGGTAAGTTGATAAGTAGTATAGTAGGGATGAAATGAACCCTGAATAAGGGGAGGAGTATTAAGTATTACTGGTAAGTTGATAAGTAGTATAGTAGGGATGAAATTAACCCTGAATAAGTGGAGGAGTATTAAGTATTACTGGTAAGGTAAGACGTAGCTGCTTTTTTTGTCCATCACAGATAACGATTTGATCAATCAGCTCCAGTTCAGGGATATTGGCGCCTTATTTGTGCATAGTAGTGAAGGTGAATGAAACACAGCTCTTTCCAGCACTAAAGACATAGACTTCAGTTCACTCATTTTTACTGTTTTTCCCTCCTTCTCCTCCTCCTCACTCAATGAGATTCCTCCGCATTTTCACAAGATGAAAACAAAAGGCTATGGAGTCATTGGTGCTAATGTATTCCTTCACATATCAATAAAATTCTTGTGGAAAAAGGGGTTAATTTTATCCACACTTTACTACTAAAACTTATCAGTGATTTTACACTTGTCATAACATTAACTCATAATGTTCTCACTGGCAAATGACATTTTTACTAATTACTGGTAATTCTATGAAAAAAAGTTTTTTTTAAGAGCAGCCAACAAAAATCCAACAACATTTGATTACATCATTCTTGAAAGGGCATTATAAGAACAATAAGATCTGTATGTAACATGTGCATTGCGTTGATTACTGAATTAAGAACAAAAGCTGTGTTAAAGTGAAAACTAACCTTGTTACTCTTGCCTTGAGTTCCCAGATGCTTAAATTACCATCCACATCAGACAGCACTAACAGATCACCTTTCCATGCTATGTAGGTGACAAGACCAAGGGAACTCTAGGTAGTGGGGACAGCAAAAATAATAGCGTATTACTTGCAAGATTTACTAGTATTCTACCCCAAGACGTTATAATTAAAACATTTACTGACATTTCCGTCTCATATGGTAAAAAAGTCAACTTACATCACACTGAACTTTGGATCCATCTTTAACTGTTGTTCCTTCCACAAGAAAATGATAAAGTAGTTTATCTTGATCCACACACACAAAGTGCTCCCTTATCCATGACTAAAAAACACAAACTTGATTGTTACGCAACTTCATCAATATAGGGTCACCCAGTGATGAAGGGATTACTCTAGAGGGTAGCATTGCAGGGCTTCTGCAATTTGAAAAATAAGGCTGCATAAAATTTACATATCTGCAGCAAATGGGGTGTAGAAATGATAATCACTACTGAAGGCACATTTACCCAACGGATAAAAAAGAACATAAACGCTGTCTCATTTCAAAGAGCTATAAAATAATATTTCAGTAAACCATTAAGCTGTTATCAGCCTAGAAGTTTACAGAGAAGCCAACTGGCAGTGCTAGCGATGGTGAAATTCTGCACCATGACAATCAAGACAATGAAAAAGATGGTAGATGATAAATTCCAAACTAAGTGGTATAAAAATGTGTACTGTACTCTGGGCCCCTTTTCTTGAAAAAGGGCCCTCATCAGCCAATTCCTAGAATTAAACCCTGGTAATGGTGAACATGTGACACATGATCTTGTTGTTAAGGAACCCTAATAAAGAGGTGTCAAAAGGTACTGGCAACTGGCAATATCACCAGCTATTTCCCTAGTTTCACTGGGCACAGTTCGACAGTAAAAAGGACAGTAGAGGAAATAAAGGTGTCACTATCCACCAGCCAATCTACTTCCTAACTTTCCCCTTTGATAACCCTGGGTTGTGATAAATTGCTTGTTCAGTTGAGCAGAATATTATTACAGAGCAGAAGCAGTAGAACAGTGAACCTGTGTTGGGGTGATGTGTTCTGCCTTGCTTGGGTCCAGGACATTTGCTGCAATACCAGATGGACTGGACTCTAACTTCTGACTCAACTTCTTTTTCAGTTGTTTAGAATGACTCGATGGAGACCATTCCTTTCAAAGAAAAAAAGAACAGATTTTAGTAACTTCTGTTGCTTACACGTTGATGGTAGCTATAACTTCACAATGGGCTGAGGACTGTGAATTAGCACAGTTGGTTAGTGAGCAGCCTTCTGTTCCAAATTTCCTACTTCAGGTGTGACAACAAATCCTTCTTTTGACTTCTTTCTGTTCTGTGTAGCTTAAAGTAGCTTAAAATATCCGTAAAATGGAGTACTGATGGAGAAGGGGGTGGGGTGGTAAAATGAGTGCACCACTAGCTTCAGGTTTTTTAGTCAGGTGACTATTTCAATCCACCGACGTAAAAAAAGGACTCGTTACCTTTTTCTTTTATGCCAGGTTATTATATTGACAGCTCAGTAAAATGACATTTTTCTCTGAATCAAATTGCACTTTTGGGACATTTTAAAATACAACTGACTGACAAAACTAACAAATGTCCAAGACTCCAAAGCAAACAAAAGCATGACACTCTGAGCCTAGTATGTCTTACTTGGAAAAAAAGTTCTGCAAGTACACCGTATTTTTTGTCAATTCTAGAACCTGTTAAGAGCAGGAGTTTGGTTTATTACACAATATTGACATTTATGTCCCCCTTACACCAAAAATTCTTCCATTAACACTAATTTTCCCGGCTGACCGTTACATACCAAAGCAGTCACTGATGAGAAGTTAGATGGCATTTCTCTAAGAACTGTTAGGTTCTTTAAATCCCACAGCTGTAGCGGCCTGTCTTTGATTATGACAATGAAGTATTGCCTGCCAAATAAAAACAATTGCTAAAAAAAGAACGTCAACTGAAAGATACAGCTGCTGGTACTGGAAAAAAAACTGACAGTCAAATTACAGTCTGGCATTTCACAATCAGGATTGCATCTTGTTGGCAAAATCCATCAATTTATTGATTATTATGGTTGCTTTAAATGGTCTAATTGCTCCTTATTATATTACAGTTGCTTTTGGATTTTGCAGCAATAGCTACATATTCTTGTAAAGCCAAAAATTCAGACAACTTCCTTGGTGTATGCCTGTTTAATGTTACAATGCATTAGGGTCTTGGAAGATATCATGACATAGTTTGGCCATTTCTGATACTTTTGGGTCTTAGTGACGAATATCAAAACATGTTGCATTGTTATAATTTTCACTGCAACTTTAATCGGCCCTTATGGCATAGAAGTTCTTGTAGTACTTACCTCAGATGAGACACCTTAACTGCTTCTACTGTGGATTCTTCGGCTGCTTTGCCAAGCTGAATGGGAGTACTTTGACCTTAAATGCAACAAGATAACAAGTCACTGAAGAACTGAAGACTTTTTCTAAAGTCTGCAGCAAAGACCATTTTATTGTTGTAGCTGAATTAATGAGCTTGTGATAAAAAAGGACGACAACTTTCAGGTGAGATGATCATACCAGTTTTGATACTGACTAGCTGTAACTCATTTCTGCTGGAACTTCCTGATGACTGAGCCCAGGAGAAGAAACTGTGCAGGTTACTCCAGGTTATCCCCCTGTGACAAAACAGGAGAAAGGTTAACAAAGATAAAACAACCAAACAGAAGAGTCAAAGATATTCCATTAATATTTACATTGTGGTTAGGACATGACTAATAATGATTCGTAGTTATTGTATTTATCATCATCATCATCATCATCACTGTTATCATCATCATCATTGTTATGGTCTATGATGAAGGTTCAGGATTTGAAAAGACAAAATCTGCATCTACCCTTACTTGACTGCACAAGTATGGACGGTGTATTCTCTGGTAAGCAATCCTGTTCCAAGGTTGAAAACTTGAATGCAACCTTGACTGTTACCTAGTAAGAAAATTAAACAAGGTAAGAGATGAAATTTCTTCGTCACAATCCTTTTTTATTTTGAATTCTGGCATTTGGTGTGAAAATGCTACTCCAGACATCAAAAGTTTTCACAATCTACCACTGGATGTTAAGTTTTTTTTTTCCCGAAATGTGTGATTCATAGATAAGTAATAAATGAGGCTTATATAAAGAAGCAAAGGTTGTATACACTCTGAAGTAGGGACAAGGTGCAGATGGATTCCTATTCACTGCCATCATTGCAACATTATGCTGTTAGCAGTGAAAACTTCAATTTGCACATTACAGGTAAATCACTTGAGCATGACTGCAGCTTTACTGAGAGCTTACCGACAGCTATGAGTGGCTTGTAGGTAGACCAGTTTTTCGTTGTTAAGGGTGGACACATGACAGCACATGTTGGAGGAGATGACACTGTGCTTGACAGGCTGCTCATAATGAACTTGAAATGAGTTGTATTTGGAATTACTTTCCCAGAAGAAAGTGGTGGAGGGATCACATTTGAAAGAGTTAAATTGGGATTAATGCTGCAATGCAAAGCTCCAAGTTCAGCATCTAATGGCAGTGATGCTGTCATAGCTTCTTCTGACATCAGTGATGCTTCTGTGGTCTGGAGTCTTGTGGCTTTTAACTCCCAAACAATAATTCTACCATCACTGATCAACAATGCAACCTTTCTTTCACTTATGGGACAACACATGAAACCAAACAATCTGCTTGATTTGCTGAGTCGCAAAGGATCTGACTGACACTTATTTTCGTAAATAATATCCACTGATGTGCTTGCATCACTGGTGGTTTCATCACTGGGTTCTACAAAATAAGGGTTCTTTGCTACACGTCTTCGCACTCGCATGATCACACTTCCATTTTCATGTAAGCACATAAGGACATCACGCTGCTGACAGGGAATGATGTGAAGAAAAGAAGGACTGTTTCGTTCCAAACTGAATGAACACACAGCTTGGTTGATCTCCATGTCTAAGATCATTACTTCTCTAGGAAACAAGGCGAGAAGGTGATGACAAGTAGATTGTAAGTATGCAAGCTGAAGGCAGTCACTGAAAGCAACATTTTCCTCTCCAGCCCTGAAACAGAAGAAAAATTATGTTATCTTGCTGGGGTGGGGTGATGGTTCAAAGACTTACTTAAAGTGTAATGTAAATCTCTACAGTAAACTAAGCCATTATGGCTTTAACAGGTCAAATTTTATTTTGGGTTAAAAGTTTTTGACCTAGGTTGATTCTCAGTGTCTTTTGTCTTCTAGGGCTAGGAGACAATGGAAATTGAGAATCAACCTAGGTTAAATCAAAATGAGTTCTGAAATCAAATTTGACCTGTATCATAGACATTTGCATGCTACAAATGTTATCATATGTGTAGTATGTACTCCATGCCATTAAAATGAAAGCAGGACACTATAGCATGAGGGTTTTCCAAAATGACAGCACAAAGAATTTATATGCACTTAAGAGATGATACTATACTTGTATTGTGTGTACCTGTTTCTTGATTCACCTCCTGCCCAAATCCTGACTCTAGCCAGTGCAGATCTGGGAGTTGAAGGTTTGGATGAATTTTTACTATCAGGTCCTGCAGTTGGGGACCCTGTGAAGCTGCTACTGGGTGAGGAGGCACCTGAACTTGTCAGGTAGAACTTACGGCCATTACTCTCTGGTGCTTTGTTGATGGAAAAGTCATTAATAAAAAGGATCCAATCTTGGCACATCACTGAGATCAAAACAGAAAATAATATTAATAACACTCAGTCTAGTGACACAGTCAAACCTGAACACAACAGGGACAGTCATCCAACTATCTGCATTGCAGAGGTGTCCTTAATATTAAAGAGGGTATGTGTATGAAGTGTGGTATCTTTGTGACTTGTGTAACTCTCAATCATAGACAATGCTCTGTATTTCAAACAGTGTGCATAAGAAGTAATCAACATCATTGCTACTTATAGTTAAGCCAGGTAAAACATACTCTTAAAGATTCTATAAATGAATTCTTATCAGATTCTTGCAAATGAGCAGTGAATTCACATGCAATGCAGTTAAAATTTCAGATTTAAAATTGATGCCTGTAGTGACAGTGACTACTGGATTCAATTTTCACATAATCACTTCAGTGATAGAATCTATGACAGTGTAATAAAATTAAAATATAAAAAAACTAAAATGGAAAATTAATGAAATATAATTCACACAAACATTATGCAGATATTTTTTTACAACAAATTACAGAACTCATCATCAGAGAGATTCTACTTTCCAGAATTACTTACAAGTGACATTAGATGAAGTGAAGGGATCAAAAGCGAAGCATAGTAAAGGTTCTTGGAAAGTCTTCTTCCACAGCTTAGTTCCAGTGTCAGCATTCCACAGAATCATTGATGATGGTGCATGAAGCACCACCAACAGATCATGACAAGCATCCTGAGTTCCAAGCCACTCTAGATCCAGAACTGGCCTGTTTCCATCAGAAAACTCTGCTACTGAGCTACCTTGGGAGATGTCCCAAACAATCACATTGCCAGCTGCATCTCCAGAAGCCAAGCGAAGAACATATGGTGAATTTAAGTCATGGTGAAAGTTGTTACGGGCCCATTTTACCTAAAACAGCACATATGAGACGTTGATATCATACATCCCTTATACCGGCCAATGAAAAAGTGGTTTCACTGAATAGCTAGTCACATAATAAGATTTAAAAATCACATATGACATTGTCTTACCAAAATCATAAAACTTATTACTTTTTCCCTTGTTACATATTAAAACTCAAACCAGTTAAAAATACTGTTTTATTACTGAAAATTAATATTGAAAAAAATTCAAGGAATAAGGTCCCTAATTGAAAGGAAAATCTGGAAGTTTATCGTAAGTCACATGGACTTTTTCCAAAGATCCCTTTAGCTTACAACTACATTCCAAACATACAAATTCTGAAAGATAATAGTTACCTTTGTACAGGGTGCAGTGTGCAAGTTAAGTACTTGAATAACCTACAAAAAAAGATAGTCCATAAAAATCTATAATTTAAACCACAATCAAATACATGACCATTTTTTATTTAGTACCTGTACTGATTTGGGATCAAAAACAACCACAAAGTTTTGACACCCATAAGCAATGACTGACTGCCATCCCCTGAAAAAGACAAAAGATACTCGATAATGCCTTTACAATTAGTTTCTAGAAACAAGAGACCATTATTTCCTCAAGCCATCCCAAGGTGCTTATTTTACATTGTAAATCTCAACCAACTAATTGGAGGAGGGAAGGGAGTTTACTCAAAGGAGGCTGGTGTAGCTTAACTTAAATTACACGAGAGATCAGAGGAATGGAGGTAATGGTAAGTCAAGGAAATAATGGTAGATGGACATAAGAATTTCCTAGAGACAACTTTCTTCATCATTCCTCAAATTTATTTAAGGAAAAGGTCAGTTTTAGCAGCTAGTAAAGCAGGGCCCAGTACTTTTCCATAAGAAAAGGAGGGAGATCTGTTCAATAACATGTCAGGCTGCTGGCTGGAAAGAACACAGACGTCTTTGGGAAGGGCAGGGGGTATATTTCCCCATTCCATGAAATTCAGTTGTATTCAGGTGCCCAGTCCCATCCCCAGGTCTATAACCAATGACATTGTCTCAAAAGGCATTAACACATCAAACAAACTCATGAACAGTTATGAGACCCTCTTAGTGAGGGGCACATATGTATGTCCCTAGTCTGAGGTTGACGAGATTATAAACTCTCTTCGCTTGGAATTATCGTTGTTAACTAATGCATCGGTTTGATAATCAGTGAAACTGCCCCTCAGACAAGTGGCCAATAATGCCAACACTCAAGTGGTTCTCTGTCTGTTGTATTGTATCAGAACAATAGCGTGACTTCAATGAGAGCTCCCAAAGTTACTTTTAAGATATCGGCATGAATACATTGATGGCAACAGAATCAAAAGGGTCACAGTTTATAAAGCTGCTTGGAGTTTATGTTAGCAATGATCTTAAGTGGACCCGTCATGTAGACTCTACATTATTAAAAAGGGAAGTAAGAGGCATGACTCTCCACATGCGCGAAAATTATGAACGAGGCGGAACGAACGTGACACCATATGAACAATATTATTGGTTTGAAACCCTCGCAACCCACGGGGTTTACATTGATAGGTACATAAACTCAGAGTCTAGCTCAGAGTCATTTGGCGTTCTGCAAAATACCCCCTGCCGTCTGGAGGGGGGTGTAAGGGTTTGCGGTGATTCGGTTTTGCGTTATTTTTGGTGCCGTTTTGCGGTAATTTATATTTTAACTCGCGGTATTGCGGTTTCAAAACACTAAGCGGTTTGCGGTTATTACAACCTTTAAGTCGCGGTTTTCAGTAAAAAAAAAGTGTCTGCGGTGATAACACTCTTTAGAACAGTCGGCATCCGGTTGTTTTGCAAGCGCGAGCCAAGTGTTTTGTTTTACAATGCATCAGGGTTCATTATGTCAGCTTACAATTTAACTCTGTGGTTTGCAATTACAGCCTTTTCCAGTTAATACTTAATGTGATTAACCGTTTTGCCCAATAATGAGTCAATTTTGTGAAATTCCATGCCGGATGTTAGCTCGTACAGCCGTACAACCTCGTGTTCTCGTTGCTTTGATTCAATGCGCGACAATGGCAACTGAGGTCGTCGAGGTTGCAACTGAAAGCGAAGAGGACGTAATAATTAATTGCATGGCAATCTTCTATGAAGAAGGAAAGGAAGGGGAGAATTTCAGAAGAGCTGTACGTTTTAACAATCGTCTTCTCCACTGAACGTGAACTCTTTACGAGACAAGAAGGTCACAATTCCAGAAGAAACATTTATTCCGCGTTCCACAACTAGCACAGGGTCGTCCAAAGTAATCAGTCACCCAATTTAAGAGGTACAAAATCAGTGACAGAGTTTTTCAAAGTCAAGGGAGATATCAATACTCGTTCAAGTACATGACCAGCATACTTGGCATTTGGTTAGTACTAAATAGAGTATAATAGTGTAGTACAATATAATCGTTAGCGTTATGATGGTATGTTTAATACTAACGCACAATAGGGCCATTTATACGAGGAAAAATAAGACGCGTCTTAAATAAGACGCGAACTTTCCCGATAAACGGCACATTTCGTCTAAAATAAGACGCGGCTTATTTTAGAACAACCCTTAACACCTGTTCTTAGATGAGACGAGAAAAACTTCGTATAAATGACCATTGCGTCTTAAATAAGACGCGAACGCATGGTACGCATGCATTAATTTTTGGCGCGCCACGTTGGATTGGAGTTGCTACGGGCAACATTCACATGAAAACGAGTCAAGAACAGAAATAAGGCACGAACCATTTATACGAGCTGTTCTTGTCTTAGATAAGACATGCTCGTATAAATGGTACAGTTCACGTCTTATTTAAGACGCGTCTTATGTAAGACGCGTCTTATTTTTCCCCGTATAAATGGCCCTAATGTTATCAGAATATATCACAAGTCATGTGATATATTCTGATGATGTCAGCTTTCATATTGTGGCCTACATGTACGCGCGGTTTCGGTATTCGGGAAAAAATCCAATGCGGTTTGCGGTTTTTTGGCGTATTTCTGTGCGGTTTTGCGGTTTTCGGACCCCCCTTGCGCCCCCCTCCGCCTGCAGTTCCCTTAAAATTGTTACATCTCAAAATAGCTCTTGATCTAGAAGAAATCAAGAGCACATAATAAAAACAAAATAATATTCTTCCGTAAAATTACCAGCCTTACCAATCCCCCACATTCGGCAATGAAAACTCACCAATCACAAGCCCCTCGATTTTGTGAATGAAGTGCTCCTGGCACAACACGCGGAGACAGCTTCATTGTCGTGATGGTGAGTAGAGTGTTTCTAATACGTAATTTGCACTCGAGTTTGTAGTTATTACTGTTTTCTTCCAAACAGCAAGATCATGTGCAGGCAAAAGGAAACCAGCTGGAAGCTCAACTTCGTTTCCGCCATCTTTGTGTCCATATTGGTTTCATTTCTTGAGCCGCTGTGACCGCTGGTCCTTGTCTATTTTCACAGTTTTTCTAGGGAGGAGTGAAGACGGTGGTTCAAAAGCTCATATTTATTTTCCTTAATGCATAGCTAAAATTAAAAAGACGTTTTTATAAAAAAAAAACGGAACTATTACTGCTTTGGGACAAAACAAATATTTTTCTTGCAAGTTAAGGTAGTATGATGAAAAAAAGTTTTCTTGTCTACCTTACCCTACCCCCAGTAAACGAAGCTGTCTAGAGAACGATGGCGCGAAGTCTGAAGCGAGATGTTGCTGACGGCTGCTGACGGCTGCTGACGGTTTGTCTTGTACTGGCACAAAATAGAGACCGATTGGGGGACATTCTTGAAGAGGAAAAGTTTTTCATTTATGCAAGTTCACTGAAAGTCAAGAATCTCTGCAAAGTAAAATGTTGACAAGAGGGTAAGGGCACGAGCGCCATGCTAATAACCTTTTTTAAAGTGCAACTAACCCCCAAAAATGTTTTTTTTCTGCAAAGTCCTCTTATCTTCCATTGGCCCCCATAAAATCTTTCATTGAAAACTGGACGAATGAAACTAAGTGGTGCCTTGACGACTATTTCTATTAAGGACATTAACAGACATCTTATTAATACAATTTACTTCTCAAGGGACCAATTAGTAAGCTGGTTGCTAACCTCTAAAGGTAATACTGCACTTTTATCCGATTAAAACAAATTAGCACTTTCAATTAAGCTTAAGCTTAGAACGTGAGGATTAAATATATCATAGCGGTGACCAGCAAAAATGAAAGTCGGGCTTTGTTTTTGCCAAGGAAAGAATGACAATGTGTTTTAGATGCAAATTTTGTTTGACTTCAATGCACTAACATTACTATGGCTTCTAAAAATATACTTCTGCTGCACAATTTGCAATGACAACTTATTTTTAAACACAATCGTTGGTATGGGAGCTACACTGAAGACTATTCATTTATAGTTAAACATTCTTCGAATCATTAATTTGCAGTTCTTTAATTCACTTGTCATGGAATTTTAATAATGTCAGGTAAGTTTTGTGTGTTCTTTTTGCTTCATAACACATACTATTTAACTGTTAAAAGGACTGTCATAGCAGTTAGTCAAATAGTTGTTATTATTGCAATTTTTGCTTGTCAGGGGTCGGGGACTATGAGAATGAACATTTAAGTTACCGAAATTGAGAGCATGAGCAGCTTCAAACACCCCAATATTACAGTCTGCTTAATCTTAGTTCAAATTGTCCACCTTTGTTTTCTTTTGTATTTGCTATGTTAATGAAATATTTATGTCTTCATTCTTTTAAGTAGCTATTTTTTTCCTCCTCAGTGAATTATAAGCATGACAGTAACTAAGACAGAGAGAAAAAAATATCCTTATTGTCATATCTCTCTCATTCACCACTGAACTAAACTTTTCCTTTGATGAAAATTGTTCCATAAACTTGTAGCTCCTGAAAGACCTGCCCCCCCTATTGTTGGTAAGGTGACAGCTAACAGTATTGAACTATACTGGGACCAAGCAGTAACCACTGAAGACGTGTCAGGGGGAAGACTTCGATATTGTATTCAGGAAGAAGAAGACGATACTAGGAAAGGATTTGGGAATGTCTACAAGTGAGTACATTTGTGCTGGGGAGTTAACCCATTCGTTCCTGGAGATTTTGCCGAAAAACGCGTTTTGAAGCTAGTCGAGTGGTTTTCTGGTCACTGTCGTGCTATAAAGAGCTAAAACTTACCACAAACCGGTTTACAGGTACACTTACACGGCCTTCTGATCCAGATGCAAAATATCAGCTTGCGAAGTTCGGGCATGGGCAGAGAGCAAAATTTCGAGATTTTGATTTTTGGGTTTAAAAGTGACACAGCAGTCTTGACTTTTACTTTTCGCTTTCTCTCCTCCCCTCTTTTTTCGCTTTTCTTGCCTCATTTTTTTTTTCTCTTGCTGGGCATTTAGTAGGCTTCATTTTGGTGGGAATAGTTTTTAGGAAAGCTTTTAGGATCTTAGGATAAGGTAAGAGGAAAGGTAGGTGAGCATTGGAACAAGATTTTCATGGAGATTTTCAGGTCAATGTTACATGGTTTTTAGCCTCTTTCTCCGGTGTCCTTGACTGAATTGTGCTCATTCTGGTATGGTTTGAAAGATCTCTTCACTCTGCACAAGTTAGCGGACAAAGTAGTTTTATTCTCAATTTCCTTTGTTTTCAAGGGCTAGGAGACATTAGAAATTGAGAATCAACCTAGGTTAAATCAAAATTAACCTGAAATAAAATTTGACCTATAACACTGACACTTGATCATCCTGATGGAAAGTTGTTGTATAAAAATTAATGTTTTTTTTTTTCATGACCTATGTTTCAGTGGCTATGCCAAGAGCAATATTTTCAGAGGTTTGGAGCAAAATAAGACATATCGTTACCGTCTTCGTGTTAGTAATGACCATGGACATAGTCCCTGGAGTCAAGTTATCACTGTAACAACAACACGTAAGTAAACCTGGCCTGACTGATCCTCCATATTAACAGTCATCAAAGAACCAAGAAATAGTTTGTTAGGGCTATATGGGACTGAGATTTCCATGAAAATATGGGATCATGGTAACATAAACTCATACTTACACAGGCAGAAGCTACTTTAAATTTTAGCACCGACATTTCCAGTTAGGGTTGATTAGCAAGAAAAATAAAATGGGGTTTTCGTTTTTGCAATAATAACAGATAGGTGCAAAAACTAAGACCTCACTCACTGGTTAGTGAGAAATAAAAGGTGCTAGGTTTGGGAACCTTAGATGTAAGTTTTCATAACAAATAATCTCATGAAGCACCAAACAACTGCCGAGGTGTACTTGTATTGGAAACAAACACTGGCTTTTATCCATTATTTTTGACAGGAATTCCTTTATCTGGTTATGATCTTCATCACGCTGTCTTAAACTGGGAAGTAGATAAGGTGGTAGCAATTCTTGAAGAAAGGTTTGTCACTGAATTCACATCTTGCACACAATTCAGATGTTGGAGCTAAAGAATATGAAACCATTACAGGGGCCTTCATGGGGAGCATTATGATATGAGTGAAAATGCCTATAGCATTATTCAAACTTGCCCAGTTTGTCAAATGAAAGCCAATTTTACCAGCTAATGGTGATTTTGTTTTTTCATTAATGGTGATGTTATCAAACAAAGACTGGAAGACACTGGTCTTAATCAGTTTTAGAAATCAGAGCTGCAATGATGGATATAAGCAAGACCACATCCAGGAAGTTGTCAGCTCGGTTCAGGAAAATTTCCAGCCTAGATAGGTTGATAGAAAATCAAAAACAGTTAGGCACTTGTATGATTGTAGTAAAGAAAAACTGGTTCTAAGCGATGAAACACATATAAAATGACATTAAAAACTGTAACCCGATTTGAAAAACTAAATTGAGTAGGATTTTGGAAAATTTTGAGGTAAGAATATTTTCTGCAGTTCAGAAAAGCTAACACTGGATTTTGTTTGGGAGATTTGTTGACCCCATCGGGAGGCTGAGAGATACCCCATTAAAACCCTGTTTTTTAACCCTTATTCAATTGTTATTTATTTATTTAAGTGGTGAGAACTTAGTTGACTCCCCGGACACTTACGGCATGTCTCCTTTGATGATTGCATCACAGAAAGGTTATACGAGGTTAGTATCAATTATTATTGTCCCTTTCTGCACTTCTACAGTCATAGTCAAACTTATTCCTCAAAGACAAATCTTTAAAACAAGTATCATCTGTCAACTTTAGATTTAAAACATGGGTATTGTTATGGTTCAAACCAGTTTAAGTTTTATTTCCTTTCAGCTCAGAACCATGAACATAATCTGAAACAAAGCAAAACAAAACGTGATATCAAAGACAAGTACATTTCCTCTCACGATGGGAGTCCAAAAAAATGCATTCTGTGATTTTGCTTAAATATTTTAATAGTAACCGTGGTTACTGTTTACATGTTTAGTACAAAATGTAAACCATCTGTTGTACC